AATGATGTGTTAGTATCAATCAATCAAATATATTCGAGTGTTTATCATATTATTGGCCTGAGGAGAAAGAGGAAAATGAAAAACATAGACGGCACGTAGCTGATTATATAGGCGTCCAGCTGGCAGAGGTGGCGACAAAGGCCATAGAAATCTCGTGACGTAGGTCAAGACCCCCAAAATGCCGCACCGATATTGTTATCTAAAGGGCATTCGACGCAATCAGCAAGGTTACTATTTGATTTTGTTTGATATCAATCGAAGTTTTAAAAAGAACTTACCCAAATATTCAATATCCAGCCGTATCAGATGGTATCAGGCCGGTGTTGTTTACAATGGCGTCATTGATTGGAATCGAATGGATCGGATGGAATAACCTAATCGGAATATAAGTCGAATCAAAAGCTAATCGGATTGTCGAACAGGTCACGAGGTGTGTTGTTGGCGAGATGAAAAGATTAATCTGATCGTGTTAGGGTCACCGCTGCATATCGCTTTGAGGCGGTGTCGCGGGGCGGTCTTGGCAGTCGCTCAGCTACATACGCAGTCCACTACATGACAGCCCACGAGAGGGTATCACAGGCGGATCGCCAGGCCCCGATACATGAAATTTTTGCAGCGACAGCGGGGCGGACCGCCCCGCTGTCGCCCCGCCTGCGCTTTTTGCAGCGGATCGATTCAGGCGTTGATTGAGTGATTGAAGAATTAGAATTGTGCCATAGAACCGAAAGAAAGTGTTTGTTATGATTCACTGAAAGGTTTACGATTTGTAAGATATGATGAACTTCATTTGAATCCGACTCTTCGGAGGGCATTTGTTCGTGAACACTAAGGGTACTCAAAGTAAGTATGTACGTGTACATACTTTTTGCTATATACTTTTTTTGGCGGGGAAGGCGAGGCCAAAAGTATATTTTTTTTCTTTGTCCCCGCCAAAAAAAGTATGTAGCGAAAAGTATGTAGCGCTACATACTTTGCTTTGAGTACCCTTACTGAAGATGATCAAGATGATCGACACTGACAGGCTGGCAGGCAATTCTAAGTGTGAAGTGGCGGTGCAGGCGGTGCTATTCTGAGATGACACCGCCCCAATGTAAGTTTGATGTCGTCACCGATTTCACGTGTCATGAAGTGATCCGGATTTGACTATAAATCAAGAAATCTTTCCAAAACCATCACTTCAACTTTAATCTTCACATTCTTATAATCTTCATATTCACTTCCTTCACCTTACTCAAATCAATCATCAAACATGTCTGATTCATCCGATTGTACCATTCAAGTCTCAGGTCTGGGTCCAAGTACCACTGAAGAAAGTCTAGGTAAATGATTCTTATCAACTTATCTTTCGATCATACAATCCAAAGCTCATCCTCATTCTCATCACCTTTTCACTTGTAGATCAATTCTTTTCATTTTGTGGCAAGATCAAATCCATCACTCGTCATGAAAAGACAGCCACGATCGTATTCGAAAAAGCTTCAGCTGCTAAAACCTCCTTGATGCTCAATGGTGGCACTTTAGATTCGACTACCATCACCGTCACTGGTACTGAGTCGGCTACTAGTGCAGAAGACTCCAGTCCGAACCCTGTTCGACCTGTTAGTGCTGAAGGTGATGAAGTTAAACAAGAGGATAAACCGCGTTCAGCGATCGCAGCCGAATATCTTGCACATGGGTACAGTCACATCACTTCTTCAATTCGATTCTTTTTACTTGTCTTGAGCCTGAGGCTTACATTTCTCACATTTATTTAATTTTTATACTTATGAAGATATGTGTTAGGTGATCAAGCGATCGCTAAAGCTATTGCTCTGGATCAACAACATGGGATTTCCAACAAGTTTTTAGACTATTTCAAAAAGATTGACACAAAGTTTAAAGTCAGTCGTCTCTTTATTTTTCTTCAAAACACCTATACTGAAGCTTAAAATTTCTAACCCTTTGTGTAATTCAATTAAATCAAATTAGATTCAAGAAAAATCAACACAAGCATCAGCACAAGTCACCACCAAAGCCCAAGCTGTTAATAACCAAACAGGTGCCACCAATAAATTAGGTTCACTCTTTTCAATGGGACGTCAATACTATGAAAAAGCTTTATCTTCATCCCAAGGTTCAAAAGTTCGAGAATTCTATACAAAAACCTCTAAACAAGTTTTAGATGTTCATGCAGAAGCCAAAAGGATTGCAGAAGAAAAAGCCGGTCATCCAGTCTTTGAACCACTTAAGAAATCAAATCAACCTAAAACTACAACTTCAACTTCAGAAGAAGTTCCAGGTTATGATCTTTCAGATGAAGTCGTCAATGATAATCAAACGGATGTTAAAAAATGAATTTCCGATTCTTTCTTTGTAATCATTCAATCAAGTTAACTCATCAAATTCTTTATTGTAATCTGCTCAAATCACATGTATATATCTGATAAGAAGTCATCTTCTTCCTTTTGAATGTATCCCCTTGATAAGGCAATCTGTAGGAATTGCTTGGTGGAAATTTAGTCAATGTCTCTTTTGAACATGACTTCCTGACTGAACAATAACCTTGTCGATAAGCTTTGATTTTCAACTCCCAACGCCTGTGGTTTTCCACTCTATGTGCCCTCTTGGTCTAAGCTAAAAATCTCATGGACCGGGCTGTACCACTGAATGTTAAAGCGAACATTGAATGTTTGCACAGCCTCCAAATGAATGGGTCTCAAGCCTCACTCTGAGCCTCAGAAATCTATCTGTTGAAAAGATTAGGTAAATAAGGTAACCTGCTGAAATTGTTGATTCCTATGATCATATCAAAGATCCATTCCACAGATCCCATTAACATCTTTCATCTATCTTACCAATGTCACAAAGATATTTCTTCCTTACCATTTAAATATTAACTCAATTTACCTTAATCATTCTTTGATCAAGAGATTTATCAAAGGAGTTCTGATCATCATGACATATTCACCTAATCCGCTTCCCAAGCTCTGCATCTGTTCCAACTTCCAAATATCTCAAAAAAAAATCAATCCTTTTGATGAAAACCTCAACATTTTGTTTATTCAACAACCAAAAACATTCAAAACCACAATCATTGCTGGATACAAATTACATTGCCTGTACTTGAAAAAAAATCAAACCAGTCAAAATATGATAAAAGACTACTACACACACACGTATATATATATAGGAAGAACCTATTACTTTCTCTCAATTCAAACCTATCAAAAACAACAAACCAAAAGAACCATGCCAGAAAACAGAACAAAATCAAACATGTGATTTAATCCAATCAATAATATAATCCATGAAAATAATCTTATCATTTCCAGGTTCATTATGCATCTCATGATAATACCCTTCAAAAGTCTACAAGGCAAGAAAAAAAAACAAAAAAAAAGATTAAAATCATCAAAATTAATGATACAAAGTTTTAATAAAAAAAGGAAAAACTTACCTTGAAAGTTTTGTCTTTTGCATTTGTTTTCTCCATTAACTCTTCAGTAGCTTTACAGGAAGTAACCTACAATCCAAACCAATCCAAAAACCACCCATCAATTCTGAGATCCAAAAAAAGATTGATTTGATTTGATTTTAGTTAACCAAAAAGACCAGAACTTTCTTACTTTATCACCTGTACCATGAACAGCCAAGATCGGCAAGGATTCAGGAAACCTAACATAATCATGATCAAGTAACCCTTGACCACCAAGAATCATATCGGCAATCCCTTTAAACTGAACCGAAACCATCCGTAAGACTACTACCGAAGAATGATCCATCAACTTGAATGGGTCAACTTACGGTACCTATTGGTGCACAGAGTGGATCGTTTGCATATTCTTCTTGGATCACTGGGTCTCTACATATATCCTACCAATCGATCACATAATCAAAAGTGTGAGAAAAGTAGTCAAACTTGTTGATCATCATCTAGTTTCGAACGATTCCGTTCACTTACCTTTGATGCCACTCCGACCTAATCAGTACCAAAATCCCAAAGAAGTCGAACCCCAATCAACATCAACAAAAAGGTATTGTAAGATGCTAAAGTGAGTGAATGTGTACAAACCTTTAAAGTCAACTTAGGTAAAACAGCTCCCACAAAGCTACCGATCCGAACAAACATTCCCGGAGCAGCAACACCAGGAGCTTGTTGTATCAAAGGACTCGACAAGATCGTTCCACCAGTAATCAAAGCACTAGAAGGCAAAGGAACGTCTCTAGTAAAATAAGCATAAGTCAAACCTCCTCCCTTATTATAATACCAATCCAACCGTTCCAGAAGATCAAAACGTCATCAGTCTTAAATAAATCACTTTGGTGATAGGTTTTTTTTTCAGATGATCAAAGAAACCTTACCATACTATGACCCATAAGAAAAACTTTGGTAGAAACCAATCTAGCTTCTTTTTCAATAAAATAATCCACATCTCTTAAAGCTTCAGGCCAAGAAGTTTGTCCTTGAGTCTTAGTTTTAGCAGCAGTTTCACCAAACCCCTTATGTTTTCAAAAAGTAAAGACCAAGATGTATCAGGTTTTGAAAGATTGAATGGAATTGAGTTGGGGGTGGAAAAGACATACACGTTGATCGAATGCAAAGACTTCGATTCCAGCTTCTGCATATCTACTATAAACATGATCATACCTAGAAATATGTTCCATAAATCTAATGACAAGAGAATCATTGATAGATAAATGAGTTTTTGTGATTTGGTGTTCAATTGAAGATCATAGTTTTTAGTATTAACATACCCATGAATAAAGATTAGTTTAGCAATTGTAGTGATTTGATTTGAAGGAGACCATCGTTTTGTATAAAATGAAGTTTGATTGGGTCCTTCTTGCCATTCAACTTGAGTTTTAAATGACATTTTTGTGGAAGTTTGAAAAGAAGAAGTAGATAAGGATCGATGATGACTTGAAGTTATCAAGATGGTTTTGTGTACAAAGTGAAGAGTTAAATTCGAAACCGATTATACTTAAACCCGTCATTCTCTCTCTCTGACACTCTGTACTTGATCATCCAACTCTTTCTCAGTTTGATTAACTTGTTCATTCATCTGATAATTGATTCCCCTTAAGATGAACAACTTCTTTCTGAGAATCTACCTCCTCATGTTCTTCATTCAAGATTACCTTTTCAAACTATCTCATATTCTCTAGAAATTCATCAAAACTTAAATCATCCATACATAGAAGAACCCAATTGAATCTATAAAGTTGAGCAATTCATTTAAACAAGTCTATCAAAAATGGGATTTGGTGTTAAACTTAAATTGGTAAATAAACCAGATTGATTTTATAAAGAATATCACTTCCAATGAATTACCAATTGTACACTTCAACTGTCTTAAAGTTGGAGATGATATTGACATTACGCTTAGTAGAGCAATCTCAGTTTGTCGCCACCTTGGTTTACTAGTCTTTGACTGTTCAATAGATGCTAAATTAAAAGAGGACTTCATAGATCTTTAATTAACACTCTTGAGTGAATTCTATCACTAGACAATCTGTCTATGGAAGGAGACCTTCATCCTCGAGCAGATAAATCATAACCAAAAGTCTTCATGAGAAAATAGCGCGTTCAAGTTGGCATAGTTTAGTTAGAGAAATGGAGATAGAGAGAGAAAAAAAGATAGCAAAACAAAACAAAACAAAACAAAAAGAATCGATCATCTGCGTATAGCTCACACAAAAGCTTCTTGGATGGTAGAATCATATCCCCCAAACTTTATCAAATAAAAAATGAAACCCATCAAATTGACTTTCAAGAAGCTTGTTCCATTTAATACTCTCAATCTATTCGCATTTTAATAATCTAAAAAGATTCGAGAACGAGGATGATGAAAACTCGACTCGTGTGATTGTAGAGCTCAGCACTTTGGAAAATGAATGAACAGATCAGTATCTTTCGAGGAGATGATGATGATGAGATTTAAAAGACTTACTGGAGGATGTTGGGATCCACGAGTGTTTAGAATCAGAGCCACAATAAGCCCATAGAGACCCAAGACTTCAGCAAAAATCAAAACCAAAACCATTCTAAAAGAAAAGCACCAAAAGAAGTTTTCAATGAGAAAAAAAAGTCAAACCACAAGATTTAGGGTTCATGATTCTTACCCCACAAATAATCGTGGTTGTTGAGCTGTACCTCTTACACCAGCATCACCCACAATTCCAATAGCGAAGCCAGCTGAAAGACCAGCCAATCCGACCGACAAACCTGCTCCTAATTGAACAAATCCTTGGTAGAGTGGCATGGGAGATTGAAGTGATCCAGAGATCAAGACCGAGACCACCAGTCCATCTGAAACCGAATCCAAACAGATCAGATTAGAAACCAAAAGGATATCAGAAAAAACGACGAAAAAACAAACTTACAGATCTGGATGGATTAGCATCATGAGAAAAGTCGTCAGTTAGTCAAGTCAACTCATCGATAATGATCATGCTAAGCATCATCACAAAGAGACTTACAGCAATAATACCAGCCATAACAACAGGCACGATACATTTCATCATCTACCATCAAACCAATCACATCAACCCATCAGAATCTCAATCAACAAGCACGAACTGCAGATCTAAAAGCTTACCAGATCAGGCCGAAGAACACCCATAGCACTAATACCTACACCAGATTTCGAAGTACCATATGATGCACCAATACACGTGAAAACGATGGCGGCAGTGCATCCCTAGGATTCAGAAACTCTTCAATCAGTCATCGAATGTGAAAATCTTTGGAAAGGAAACAAAAAGTGTAAGATCACCATGGCTCCAAAGAAAGGCGCATAGACAGGGCAAAGTTCGGAAGACCTAAAGATTCAAGAAGATGAGATGAGAAAAAGTGAAAAAGATTAAGTGTTTGTGATTCGATTTAAGAAATTCAAATCGATCGATGCATGACTAACATTTTGAATGAAATTCTTGGAAGACTTGAGATTGATGGTGGGTTTTGAAAGTCGATGTGGATTTGTTGTTGATCAGGTCTGAAGTCGTTTTCTAATTCAGAGTAGATCGAAACTTCAAAGTCAATCCATTTCATGAATACTCGCTGGATCAGATGTCACCTAGTTATCTGTATGTCACATGACCTGTCATTCAGCGTCACCTTTTAAATTACAAGTGTACTACTACTGGTGTGTATGTAATTCAGTGCTTCATGAATCATGAGGCCTCTTCAGGCCCAATCTTCTTTCCTGAGGAAAAACTACATTTCATATTCAAGTCCATTGAGTTATGATGCATGGTTGAGCCTTTTATTTAATGATGAATTGCAAGTGAATGTTTGCATATGTTTCCCATTTCTTAACACCAGACGCAAGATTAGCTACTCTGAATTCTTGCCTTTTTGGAAGAAGGGAGAGGTTTGATATCTCATTCAAAGTGTGATCTTTTGAAGGATTCAGATTGTGAGTCTGCTTTTTTCATCATCCTAACCACATTAATGAGAACTTTGATCAAACCAAATGGTTATGAAATTATAATGGTGTCATGATAGTCACATTAATGAAATCAAACAAAACCATCATACTTGACCTGAGTTTCAAAAATGTATGTAGAGATGTTTAGTCAATGAACACGCAAGACATTGAAAGAAAGATGAAGCTTGATAACCACCAAAGATATGTGAACAAATGTAAAGTAGATTGTTAGTAATATGCCAGAGGAATTCAATATTCATCTCAAAAGATTCAAGTAGTTGAAGCCAATGATCATACATGAACAACAATGGAGGTAGGAATACAAGCTCTCCAACACCAGGTGAGACGTAGCCTCACAAGTCTGCATTGGCATTCTACCATCGGGAGCCTGGATACAGAGGCGCACCAAAGGATCCCTTTGGACCTCTCTTGATAGGAAAGTGTATTACCCAATACCTGCTTGTTGTCTCTTTCCAGAAGATAGGAGAGTAATATCATTTTTAAAAATCAAAATGGCAACCAATATTTATGCAAGATGAAAAAAAAGTGAATGATTATTTTTACATTGAGATTTCTATATACTTATTCTAGCAACTTGCATTAAAACTGGGTATACTTACTCAAAAGATAAGATCTATCAACTTGGTATGATCAAGCTAGTTGATCTTACCAAAGTGTTTGATTTACTAAGATGTTCTTTAACACTAGACAAGCTCACTTCATTACGATGAAAGATCCCAGCTGCTAAACCTGCTTCAGCTCCTGTAACGTTGAAAACTTGTTGAAAATGTTCAACTCTTCCTGCACCTGAGCTTGCAATCACCGGTATAGATACATGTTGTTTCACAAGTCGAATCAGTCGAAGATCAAATCCTGCTTTACATCCATCTTGATCAATCGAATTCAAAAGGATTTCACCCGCTCCTAAGGCCATCACACCCGTTGCAAGTTGTACGACATCTACCGGTCGTAGTTCTCTTCCACCCTTGACGGTACATTGATACCAACAGAACTTCTCGCCGTTAGGCCCTAAACCGGTCGGAACCTCGATGCAATCACCATTAGTCGAATCCGTAGGTGATAATGGAGCTGTCAGATCAACCACGCTAGACTGATGTTCAATCGGGACCTCTTCAGGTCGAGAAACGTAAATGCGTTTAGGATCAATAGAAACCACTACAGCTTGACTTCCATAGACTTTCGAGATAGCTTCGATAGATGTTTCTCCAATCGATTCGCCAGCCAAAAGTTTCTCAACAGCCAAAACAGCATCTCCTCCAATACTAACTTTATCAGCACCAGCTCTAAAGTATTCAGTAGCCACTTCAAGAGCAGTTCGCTTGGTACCATCAGGATCGAACGTGTCCCTTATTCCACCTCCAACACAGAATGGAACAAAGACCGTCTCTGCAGCTTTCTGTAAGACACTGAGCATAGGTTGATCATGAAGTGGACAAGCTCGAAAGGATGTGATGTTGAGGAATGTAATCTCATCGGCACCTTCAACATAGTATCGACGAGCAAGCTCAACAGGTTTACCCAAATTACGCACTTCTCCTTTCGAATTCGTTGTTATTCCATTTGAAGTTGGGTTTGTGGTTGACTCCCGAACGTCGTACTGATCACCCTTAGTGACCACCAAGTCACCATCGTCATTTGCTCGTACATCCAGACAAGCGATAATACGTTTCATGAGACCAGTTTGAGCAGTGAGAGCTTCAGGATCGATAGTTGTTCGAGATTCCAAACCGACTTCCAATACTTGAGGCGTACTCGGTTCTGATAACCATTGTCGTAAGATCTCAAGACCCACAGCTCCAGATTTTTCCGGGTGAAATTGGGTAGCAAAGATATTACCACGTCGAAAGCTACTCACAAATACTTCATCACCATAACGTGTTAGAGTATTTGCCCAAGCATCTAATTCGGTTGTGTAAGAAACTCGATATGAATGTACAAAGTAAACAGCTGAATCCAGTGTGGTTGATTGATGAGAGTGATTTGATTGAGGTGAGATTGAAATAGCACTGTTCCATCCGATATGTGGTACAGCTTTGGTGGCAGATGAAAACATGCTAACGTTAGCTGGAATAACTCCAAGACCGGGAACATCAGGGTTTTCAGCAGATGAGAGACAGAGAGCCTAAACCAAACGCGACGTGAAGAATGGGGTCAAGTGAAGTATGTCAATCAAAATCCATCTCGGACTCGGTATGCAAACTGAATAGGGAGACCAAAAAAAGTCGAATCCAAAGAATGAAGAATATAAAAGTGGATGGGTTCAAATTCTCCATACCTGCATTCCAATGCAAATACCCATATAAGGTTTTCCAGAAGCAATATACTGTTTCAAAGGTTCTGCGAAACCTTTTGCACGAAGCGCTTTCATTGCTGGACCAAAGGCGCCCACACCTGGGAAAATCAGTTTCTGAGCCGTCACGAAAAACCCAAAGATCGAATGGTAAGTGATCATTATAATTTAAAGTTTAATCATGATTGGTTTCATACCGTCGCTTTTGTGATATCATCTGGTGAAGTAACCCATTTGTATTCGAAACCAAGGCTTTGAATTGAATTTGCTAAGGAGCGTACATTTCCTGCTCCATAATCTAAGAGATAGCTTCGTGTGATAAGGTTAAAGAATATTTTCAATGAGTTTCGAGTTGACTGATCAAGAGATTGGCTAAAATTCATGACTCACATCATTTGAAGGTTTTATGAATCTTGATATTGAGATTGGATTATATACAAAACTGAGATTGCAAGGTGAATGATATCTTGAAGCCCGATGAGGAAAAGTTTTGATTTGCAAAGAAAATATGCTGATCGGATATAAAGCTACATTACAGATGTCGTGTTTTAGACTTATAGAGAGTGAAATTGTATGTAGGCTGAGTTTGAGAGGAAATTCTAAAAAGAAGACATCGATCATATCTTCCAATCTGCCAATTCAGGCAAGAGGCAAACCAAGAACAAGCCAACCAGATTATCAACATTCAAGTCAAGTTCCCGTCAGTATCTATCAAAAGATGCAAGCCGAAGCGCCATTATCCTCAAGAAATGATCCAACCAATCTCGATAACATTCGACAAACATTAATGAGACTTGAAGATACAATCATCTTTCGTGAGTGAAATCCAAAAGCAATAGATCTCGGTAGAAAAAGATAACTGAATGATATGGAATCCTCTTTCTTAAAATGTTTTGAAAAATCATACGGTTCTTAGTTTTAATTGAAAGAGCTCAATTTGCTCATAATCAAGTCATTTATGAAAACTCTGATAAGTTTATTGAATTACATGCCGATAAAGAAACTTCATTTCTAGGTTGGATATTGCGTCAAACTGAGACTATACATGGTAAGCAGTAAAACCCATTTGATTGTTTTTGTTTTGCTTCTTCATACTCATCAATTTCCCTCACGTTCCATGAATTTTACAAATTAGCAAAAGTTAGACGATATGAGTCTCCAGATGAATATCCATTTACATCAATTAAAGAATTACCTGGATCAATCTTACCTAAACTAGATCAACCAGATTTTTTATATCCTAATACTGTCAATATTAATGATCAAATCAAAGGATTTTATATTGATCAGATTGTAAAACCTTTGACAAATAAAGAAGGTCGTCCATCTGATGATGGTCATTATGGAAGTTCAGCTGTTCGAGATGTCGAAGTTTTGCAAGCAGTCTCAAGACGTATACATTATGGTCAGTCACGATTTTTGAGCAAATTCCATCAACCTAGTTCGATTTATGTTTCGTTCATATCTTCTAGAATGGGTTTCCTGATTCATAACTCCAATACGTCAAACTCTGAACTCTTACAGGAAAATTTGTTGCCGAGCGAAAATTTCGAGATCACCCTTCAAGATTCGTTCATCATATTTTATCTTCCAACACAACTGAGCTTGAAAAATTGATCACCGTACAACATGTGGAAGATGCATTGATTCGTCGACTCGAAGTGAAGGCAAGGATGTATGGTCAAGAAGTAGATCCGGCTGGAAAGCCAATCGATTATCGTGAGGCAAACAAAGTGAATGTAGAAGTGGTGGTAAAGATGTACCGTGAGTGGGTGATACCACTTACCCGACATGTAGAGGTACGTGTTACTACTCGTGCATCCTTAAGCTGTTCATCATATGAGATGAATGACACTTACTGTTTTCTTGTCTTTTTTCTTAGGTTGAGTATTTACTACGTCGATTGGACGGTCTATCGAAAGAAGAAATCAGTGAACTTTCGAAATCAGATGATTGATTCATCACCACTCTTTTGGTATGCAAGTCCCGAAACATGATGGACGTTAGTAAGGATGATGAGATTGCTGGAAGAATGCTAGATGCGCGTCGAGCTCTACATCCACAATCATTTGTCAGCAATCACTGTGTCGATTGTGAGGTATGACTTATTTTCATTGGTTCCTTTGCATTAGAGCGTAGGATATTAAAACAGTACCACGCATATGTGTTAAGTACTTTAAATTAGTGAACTGGTTTCAAAAACCGCGAATTTCTAAGACCAGGAGACAGCTCATCAAAACAATTTTATAAGTAGTGACACAAAAAGTGTCCTCTAGTGAGCAGATCTTCGACATGACATGTCTCAACCGTGTGAGTACCACAAATAGTTTGATGTGTGAGGAATTTTGAACAAGCTTTAGTGTATCTTGATTGGGAAGGCCAATGCAACTTGGATCTCAGCATGTTCGAGGCAAGTCCAAGAGATCTAATGAATGTAAGGATTTCTTAAGAGTAACAATCGGATATGAGTAATTGAAATTGATAGGAAATAACTTGTAGATCATGAAGGTATAACTTCTGAATCAGTGAAAATTGAGTGAAATAACTTCAATGGTAATGGAGATTCCTGATTCAAATTAAAGCAGTTTGCTGTACCTTGACCACATTAAGATGATCGTCGCTTATAGTGAAGAAGGAATTATGAGAGGAAACAATGATAAAAAAGGTTCCTCGAAATAAACTCTCAAATCTTTGAGACAAAATAGATATTTTGCTCTTAAACCTGTTTCCTGTATGTAATAGAAAAGTAGGAATTGGGTTCAGGCAATTTGTACCAAGGGTAAACAACCGAGCCAATGATTTTTGTCGATGAGGCTGGTAAAAAAAGCATCACACGTATATTACAAGGATATCCTGGTTTCAAACTATCTTTATATCTGTCAATAGCTGCAATCATCAGTGACTGGTGTTGAAGATGTGCACAAGGCAAGCATTCAAGAATTTGTGATCTTGGACAATGATCTGGTCCGTTACAGACCATGCAGATCTTGAAGAATCTCCAATACTCCCTTGTAAGTCCTTCATCCGAGTATGATGTCCTTTGTGCATTAAATCTCAAAGATTCAACCCCAGACCAATATAAAGCAATCATTGAAGGCAACAGTATTAATTACATGTTATTACAATTATTGTCTTTATTCTAAGTTTTACAAGATATATTACACCCATGAGGAAACCTTGGTTTTGGAATGCTACCACTGGGTAAATTTTGTAACATCAAAGGCCCGAAATCTAAAAACTAGGCGCGTCATTGGTACTGCTGGGTAAGGTTCACAACTACACGTTTAGTCTAGCGCTCCAAAAGGAGTCACTTCAATTAAAACTAGAGACCCCGCGAAAACCACACATGGTACACGCTTTGAAAGTGCGTTCAGATTTTGATTGATTTTTCAACGGTCATTAGCGCTTTAAAGCAGACTGTGTATTAGACAAAATCCTGACTCACTGACGATCCCATTTTTGGCATTGTCGCCCAGGACAGGACACACATATTCCATTTTTCGTGTTGATATCTGACCAGGTTGGCCTGCGGTCAAGATGATTTGTTTAAGTACTGAGATAGATCAACAAACAGGAATGCGCTGATCAGCCTTCTTCAACGAAAGATAAAGTGTTGCAATCGTAGAAACCCACGCCATGTATCGCTTGGCTTGCCCTGTTCCTTTGGTGGCATCAATCTGGTGTCGTATGGAAACAATGGTTCTGCAGCACTCCCAATGCGCTGACCAGTAGGATCCAATGATCCGTCGGGGAGAATCAGTGCACAATCTACCATAAAAAAATGGTTTGCGAAGGCTATTGAAGAATTCACAAATCAATTCGATGTGTCGATTTCATGGTGTGTATGGAGTGACGAGGCGAAAGATCATATCAACTTACAAGATTGACTCTTATCAGCCTTCGAATTCTCCGTTGTACAGGAATCAGGTCTACAGCCGTAATAGTCTTCCCCAGTTGAAGCCTGTGGATTACCCACGCGACATCCTACGTACATTTTTCAGAGTTAGGGTCGCACAGAAGGAGCTAGGGCAATGATTGAATCGAACACATCAGAGCTCAATGAGTGCTTACCAGTCAAGCCATCCACCGTGGCTATAGTGTAACCATGATCACATGTATATGTTCCCGCTATGAGTGTGAGGAAGCTGTCCTGGGTCTTGACCGAGCCCATGGAAAGCATCAAAGCAAAGCCAATCAACTTCCGCGAGAGCAATGATTTCATGGTGAAGAAATGTCGAGATGGGACAATGATAGGTGACAGAATTTATGGTGTGAACTGATAAACTGCGCAAGTAGGGTCAAAACTTGGCTTTGAAAAAAGAGAGATTAATTGGACAGTAGATGTCTGATGTGATGGAGGGAAGTGTTGTGCAAGAAGAAAAATCGGTGTATACTCTGTTACAAAGAGTTACAATATTTTCAGTAAGGATGATAGAGCAGTAGCCAGCTGAACTTGATTGAGTATTTAGTAAATGAATCGAGAAGTTTGTAACGTCTTGAAGTAAAATTTCGATCGCTCAGAATTATGGTGCAAGATTATTAAAATTCTTCGAACATTCCACAACGTGGGTTCGGAGTCATCCTCCTTTATAGGTAGTTAGACTGGTGTCATTAGCATACCGCAACACCACATGCAGTGTCTATGGTTCAACAGTAGTCATTGTGACCAGATCCATAATGGAGATACTCCGTCCTCGACAATTCTTATGATTTGCTCTCGCTAAAAGGAAGTTCTTGCAACCTGTGTTCCATATATAGGCCATCTGCCCCGAATGTTGACATCCGGTGACTTGCATTATCATTCAAGATCTCTCCCTAGTCATATGGCCCTACAAGCAAGCATGATCCTGCCGTTGTTGAAACTTGTACTCAAAAATAATAAGCGGCTCTGAAGCCTGGGCGGCAACTATGGGGTCCGAGCTTCGGTCACCAGTGCACTTTGTTAAAATTGTAACATGTGTATGATCCGAAACAAGGCTACTGGCCAGTCTGTGCGATGTCTTTCTAGTGTGATTCTGAAGTCCTGAAGATAAGGAAATCCAACTGGGGTTACAAATCATCTCTGCTCCCCACGGATTCAAATTTTGGAGGGGCAAAAAGTGGTTGTGCAAAATAAATCATCCGCTTCCTGATCAAAACAACTTTCAAACTCTCGAAAAGATAAGTTTTGAGGGAAAAGACACATTCAATGTCCGCATCTGACTCAGTCTTCCTTATCTTTGGGACTTTTCGATGTCCACTTGAGCAGGCCGGGAAGACTTTCATAACATTACTTACTGGTGTGTCAGTCTCAGCTAAAAGAGAGAATACTCACGTTCTAAGACCATAGTAAGAGGGAAGTTGTCGAGCAAAGAGCCAGATTATTTTCGTTGAAGACTTTGCTGTATCAAAATCTTACAAAAAAGTGTGCTCGAAGCTTGTTTAAGTTTACACCGACTTGATGCGTGATATGACAAAGTTGTAGCTACCACAAATCCAAAAGATGTCCATGCTTGGGTGTATTCGAGTCAAAGAATTTTGTACAAATTTGTTTTAACAAGCCGGGGAAACTTTTGAAGAAGTACCAATCAAGTATAGCAGGGTTCAAGAAAAAGATCCCGAGCAGGAATTTGATGACTTTCATTATCACAATTCTGATCCTCAAGCTAAATGCAGGAATGCGGAAGTGAACTAATCAAACATGCCCACAACTAGGGGAAAGCAATACCACAAACACAACATCATCACAAAACAGACATCTCTCAAAAGTTTCTCTTTCAAGGAAAGGGAATGCCAGTATGGTGGATTAACAATGTGACCCAGCATCAACTCACTCAATCATCATCAGCTTTGTACTTTCTGCTCGGTAATGATATGCGCCAGTGGCGATGAAAATCTTGCGGCATGTGCTGCAGGATTTGAAATTGAGTCCCGCGCCAGCCGACTCATATCTACTGATGTTCGAGGTTTGATGCACACGTTACACCGAAGAGGACGCGAGATTATCATTGTAGCTCCTCTTTTGTGTTTTACTAAATGCACAATACGCGCAGGTCAAAGCTTGGCATAAGAACGTGTGGACAAGGAGCAAGCGGTTTCTGCTTGCCAGTGCTGACCTCGCAACCTGGCAAACGCTGTTGAGAACCATAGTGCCCAATCATGACCACGACCGAGACAATGGATGATCGCCGTCCGAGACTCAATTCGTGATCGACGTTAGTGGCGACTGTCACCGGGAGATATAGTCATGGATGAAATGAGTTGCAAAGCTCCGGTCAAAAGTCAACATGACTCACAGCTAGGGTTTGGAGACCGACTTCAATGACATGTGTGGTCACGATCTGATTCGGGAATCGGAGAATAAGGTCGAGGGATTTAGTGAGATCAAGGAGGGAGAAACGAGAAGGGTTGGTGTTCTTAAATATGAAGGTAATGTTCAGGCTGAAGAACTTGAACGCGAATTGCCCATCACACTCTTCTTTGACAGACATCATTCACTTTTTTTTTGCAAACTTCACAACTGCTTAAGCACTCGAACACCATCTTCTTCTTATCGTCGTGTAATCGGCCTCATCATCAGATCACTTACCAGCCAGACTGTTATAGATTTGACGAAAGTTGTTGCCTCGTCTCATCTTCTTACTCTCCATCCAAATCAGATCCACGATTACTGGAATTAGTGTGGATACGACTAATTCTCTTCTTGCGTTCCTCATAGTGTCCGTTATCCGCAAGTACTGCACTACTGCCCACTTATCTTCTATTGTACCTTATATAATCAACTGAGCGCTCCTGAAAGCAAAATCACCCTTCTTACAAAAGAGACCTTTAAACATTCCCACTTGGCCAATCTACTTTCCTCAATTCTTACTATCGAATATCTGTGTCAAAGTTTTCTTTTTAAAGTACAGTTCCAACTTCTAAATATGGTTTTTGAAACTCGGATGCTGAAGTTGCTACGCTCTCTGTCAGGCTACATTGGATTCAATCAGATTCAATCAATCAACATTTCAAACATTGACACACCAGAAAGCTCGTAAGTGTTGGCTCATCATTTATAAATCTTTCCTAGAGCTGTTTTCTTTCCTTTGCAGTCTTTCTTTGGTCATGTGTATCCTTTTCTCCCATGTCTGGATGTGGGGAAAGTTGCGTTTGTACGCTATGGGGTGAGTCGGGCGTGCCAACTGTGCCAGGGCTATTTGATTCACCCCCGAATGACCTCTAAAAGTCTAAACGGTTGTTACGGTGATCACCTTTTTGGGTTTACTTGCCAAAGCAAATCAAGGCTTGGCTCGTATAGCTCGAATGCTGATGGTATGACTAGAATAGGCAAGAAGGATGATTTGTATTGCACAAATAGCCTCATGCCTCAGTAAGATGATCAGCCACACACACACAACACCATCACACACCGCATCGCTTGTTGGACTCGATTGAAAGCCGAGTTGTCATATGAATACTTGTGCAACGGTTGAATTCACTCCATATGAATCTGTACGATCAGAAGAAGTGGCTGCCTGCTAAATATGACGGAGTGATCGATGGCAGAGCCACAATCGAAACTCTGAGCTGGCAGTGCAGAGTAAATTGCACCATTTGACGGCCTCATTTTGATTTGATTTTTCCTTGATAGCTTCCCTTCATCTTTCTACTCGCGAGGAGCGAGCGTGGGACTTTGTTGAGTATAAGATTTTCTTTGAGGTGAACCCAGACGTACCCACACGATTAGAATTATCCTCGGACGGATGACCATCCACTTGACCAAATCTCACCAATTGAATATACATAAACATTTCGTCTTGCTAGAGGGCTTACCAATATTTTAAATTTTCGCATAAATTTCAAATCAACCTCGATCAGCCTTTTTTCACATTTATCCAGCCGTCCTTGGCCCTCAAAAGTTTTATAAGACCTTAACATACTCCAGATTTGTTTAAGAGAAATCACCTAGAAATTAAGTTTGAATTTTTAACCTTTTGATTTTGACTAAATTTCAATTTCAATCGAATACGTCATCCTCCATCCATCCTCCATCCTGACCTTCTCTTTCACCATCAACTCTTATCCTATCACTGGTCTGCCTTTTCTCTTTTCTTATCAAACCTTCATTCTTGATTTACAACTTGGTTTTTCTAATTCAATCTCACTGACTTTTGATTTGACTATCGATCGTTTTTGATGGTAATCATTTTTAGGTTTATTCATCTCTAGCTGGATATCACCTTATCCAGTCCTTCGTTTCATTCGATCACTCCATTCCACGTTTCATCACTCCACTCAGATCACCTCTGACTCGTCTCAGCTCAAACCAGCAACTCTAAACTCCTAGTTTCAAAAAACCCATCATGGCCGATCACACCGATCAATCAAACAATGCTTCAGGCGCTCAATCTAATCGTTTGGGCCGTAAAACCAATTCTAACACCAGTAACGGCAGCCGTCCTAACTCTCGCCCGCAAAGTCGAACCGATAATAACAAAAAGTCGAACACTACCAATCCAACCGGTGCTACTCGCAGGCCTAGTGCTGACGACCTCACCGATCAACCAAATGCGAACCGTGCGCAACAACCCCGCCGCGGAAGTGCTCAACGCGGGGGTGCTGCCTCTGGACAGCGTAGACCATCTGACTCTAATCCGCCTCGACGGACTTCTGATGCTGGTACTTGACCTTTGTTCCTGTCCCTTCGAAATGTCGTGATATGCTGACCTATTGTTGTTCTGTATTCTGTAGGCTCCACTGGTTCCAATAACCATCAGGACTCCTTGTCTGGTAGTATGCACGCTCCAAAATCTCGCTTCCAAGGTGGCGGTCAACGGAAAAACGACAAGTCTGGTCCACCTTCTTCCAAGAGTACTTTGAATCCCAATGCCGGTGGATTCCAACCTGGCGCTCTTAGCTCGATCGTACGTTGCGCGTTTTCCTTTTTTCGTACCCTTCACCTCTCCCATTCCAATCTCACTCCGATCAATCACTTAGAGCGATGTCGATGCCGAAGTATTGATCACCCCGACTCCCGATCAGCTTCACTTCAATACTGAAAGGTTCAATGCTCAGGTACCTAACGGGGCTAATAGCTTCCCAGGTGGATTTATGAATGATATGCCTGATGAGATGTCAGCCCTTGCTGGAGTAGCCGGTCTCAACCCACGCCTATTCTCGATGCAAGGTGGGGCGTCGAATAATCAGTTCATACAGCAGCTCGCTCAACAGCAACAGCAACAGCTCAACTTTCTGAATGGCTTTGGCGTTGGTCCCAATCCTCTTGGAGGTCTCACCGATCTCCAAGCTACTGTACAACAGCAAGCTCTACAAGTTGCTCAAATGCAGGCTGCCTTGCAAGCTACTCAAGCTCAAGCCCAACATAACGCACCACCTCGTTTCGGCAATCTGGATGTCATGTCTCCTTTATCCGAGTCTCTTCAGATCCAACAACAACTCGAGCTACTTCGCCAGCAGCAAGAGTCGCTCATGAACCGCTTCGGCGATCTTCAAAGCGGACCAGTCCCTTCGATGCGCGCTCAGCCTGCCCATCGACGTGGCCAGAGTGTCCAAGTTGGCACTGCTGCCGGAGGTGGTATGGGTAATAATGTCGGACTCGGTGGAATGGGTCGATTCGGAATGGACACCGCCAATCTCCCGCCGCCATCTAACACCAGCAGCTTGGCTCATTCCATCGGCAATGGTCTTGCCTCAGGTAATCCAAAAGGACACGGTCGTCGTCACAGTGTTCAGGTCAGCTCGATGGGCGCTGGCAACAATGGAAACCAACAACTCGGTTTCCCGACACCCAACTTTCAATTTCCTAATGTATCTGCCAACACCGGCTTTAACTCCTTCGGCTCCGGTGCTCCGAGTAACGAGCTTGACTTCGGTTATGGGGCAGGCTTCCCCAACAATGCTGGAGGCGCTGCGGCTGGAGGACACCGCCGTGGACACAGTAAAGCTAATAGCATCTCCACCATGGGAGGCTTCAACATGGGTAAGTGACAATCACCCTTCGATCGCAGAGCTACTTCTTTCTGACTCATGGTTCTTCTATCCTACGCTCAGATCTCGGTGGGCAATCGACCGATCTCAGCCAAGCACAACTTCAACTTCAACAGTTGGCCCAGTTCCGAGCAGCATCCGGCCACACCCGTGTTCCCTCGTTTGGATTCCAAAATCCGATGAACCTCGGCCCTGGTCAAACCAACTTTGGTCAAGGGAATCAGCAAATGCGTAAATCTTTGTTTGCGCCTTACCTACCTCAAGCCTCTATTCCGCCTCTTTTGGCTGCAGCAAAATTGGTTATTGGAGTCCTGCGTGTCAACAAGCGTAACAGATCCGACGCCTACGTGGCCACCGATGCCCTGGATTCAGATATCTACATCTGCGGATCCAAAGATCGTAACCGTGCTCTAGAAGGTGACGTGGTCGCGGTCGAGCTGCTCGATGTTGATGAAGTTTGGGGTACGAAGAAGGAGAAGGAAGAGAAGAAGCGCAAGAAAGAAGAAAACCAGGCCTTCGACCCTCGTATTCAACAAAACACTCGACGTGAAGACAAGAAAAGAGATGATGTCGAAGTTGAAGGTCAAGGATTGATGCTCTTTGAGGAGGAGGAAGTCAATGATGAGCAACGTCCAAACTTTGCTGGTCACATTGTTGCTGTGGTGGAAAGAATGCCAGGACAGCTCTTCAGTGGGACTCTTGGTTTGCTTCGACCATCTTCGGCTGCGACCAAAGAGAAGCAAGAAGCTGAACGACGTGAGCGAGAAGGAGTTGATCTTCGTGGTGGACAACGTGAGGAGCAACGTCCTAAAATTGTTTGGCACCGACCGACCGATAAGAGGGTACCTTTGATCGCCATCCCGGTCGATCAAGCTCCAGCCGACTTCTTAGCGGATCCCAACAAGTATGCGTCTACTCTTTTTATCGCGGGAATCAAGCGCTGGCCTATTACTTCTCTTCATCCTTTCGGTACGCTCGTCGAAGAGTTGGGTCCGATTGGTGACATTGAAGTGGAAACAAATGCGCTTCTCAAAGACTGTAACTTTTCCTCTGAAGAGTTTTCGGAAAACGTTGTGAGATGTCTGCCGCCTGTGCCATGGACTATCCCAGATCGCGAATACGAAGTTAGACGAGACTTCAGGTCACAAACTGTCTTCACCATTGACCCCGAGACCGCTAAAGATCTCGACGACGCCTTACATGTGACCAAGAATGAAGATGGGACGTTTGATGTCGGTGTGCATATAGCCGATGTCACTCACTTCGTCAAACCAAACACCGCTCTGGACCGCGAGGCTCGTAAGCGGGCTACCACTGTCTATCTTGTCCAACGTGCTGTGCCGATGCTTCCACCATCATTATCCGAACAACTCTGCTCGCTAAATCCCGGTCAAGATAAACTCACCTTCAGTGTTGTATTCAAGCTTACCTCTGACGCGAAAATCATCGACACCTGGTTTGGCAAATCAGTCATCTGTTCAGCTGCTAAGCTGCACTACAGCCAAGCCCAAACTATGCTTTCTGACCAAAACGCAGCACCTGAACTCAAGATTGAAAAGAATGGTGTCCAGGTCGCTCAGATTTATGAATCTGTACGCATGTTGGGCCAACTCTCTCGTCAGCTTCGCAAAAGAAGATTCGAGGAGGGTACTTTGAGGATCGATAGCATCAAGTTGAACTTTAAACTCGATGAAGGCGGCTTGCCAGATGACTGCCAAATTTCGATCAGTACTGAAGCCAACCAGTTAGTCGAAGAATTCATGCTATTGGCCAACATCGCCGTTGCCAAGAAAGTCGCCGCCGGATTACCTGAACAAGCCTTCTTGAGACGTCACGAAGCACCAATCGATCGTCGTTTAGAAGCTTTTGTGAAGAAGGCCAAGAAGTCGGGATTCGATGTCGACACATCCAGTGCGGGTTCGTTGATGAAGTCTTTCGAAGCCATTGAGGTGGTGGGTAGGGCACCGCACTTTGTGATGCAATTATTGGCCACCAAAGCCATGGTGAAGGCCAAGTATTTTTGTGCCGGCGCTTTGGATATTGCTAAATGGTCTCATTATGCCTTGAACATTCCTTTGTACACTCATTTCACATCGTGAGTAGGCAAGATTATTCTTAAAAGACCTAACATAGTTACTGATTGCTTTTTTCCCACTTCCTCAGCCCTATCCGGCGCTTTGCTGATATCATGGTCCACCGTCAACTAGAGGCCGTACTCTTGAGTGCCTGTGATGTCAAGTTCAGCATGGACCCTGATACCGTTTCTAAGAGCGCGCAACATTGCAATGTGAAACGATCTGCAGCACGATTGGCCGAAGAACAATCTCAGCACCTTTTCCTTTGTCTCTTGATCGCTGATTTGACGGCCAAATATGGACCGGTGGTGAGAGAGGCGACCGTGCTTGGGGTCTTGAACGAGGCTTTCGATGTGGCTGTACCTGACTTCGCGATTGAGAAGAGAGTACATGTCGATCAGATGCCGATCGATGTAAGTTTCTTTAGACTTATTCCTTTGAGAGCAATGAACTGACTTTCGTCCATTACAGAATCATGTCCACGATGAACATACCAACACCTTGAAATTGTATTGGAAGCAGGGAGTGGATGTCGTCTCATATCTGTCCGAGCACTCCAATGATGCTCACATACATTCAGTACGACACCACGCCGAACGACATGCGAAGCTGATGGAGGCTTCCTCGCAAGCCATTCAAGCCGAGAGTGCATTATTCGATGATGACGATGATGATGTAGTGCAACATCCTCGTGGCTCAGTATCGGGCCCAGGTGGTATAAGTGAACGTGAACAGAGGAGCGCTCAAAGGATGAAAAGTGTCGAAAAGAAAAAATTGACTTGGGAGGGAGTTGAGAAGATTGAAGCCGCTCCTGGTGTTACCCATTGTGTTCAGACTATCAAAGAATTGATGACTGTCCCCGTGATCGTCACAGCTGACACATCAAAGAGTCCACCGGTCTTGAAAATTTTCGCTGTAAGACGCCAATCTTTCGATCTGACCATCCATCTTGAAGACTGACTTATTTTTCTTTCTTTCTCCAGGTCAATCCCTTTGCTTGAGAGTTATTAACCTAAAGGGGAGTCAAAACATGTACGAGGAGAATCACAGCAGTTTCCAGTTTGTTTCAGCATATTGTGCTTTGTTATTTCAATTCATTTCTCTCTATCAAAACATGAATGACCGTTTATTTTGTTTCTCGACCCAAGATAAGGAACGTATTTTGATTTGGTGGAATGGGTTTCTATTTTTTTAAAAAATGATGAAATTGTTTTCTTTTTCATATAAAAAGTTGAAGATGAAAGGACCTTTATGCCCATCCTTTGTAATTAGATTGTGGTATGACATCAAAAATCATGACAATATCACCGAACCATTTCGTATACTTGTCTCACATCTAAGAATGAAATCAAGCGCATTTTGAAACAAAGCATTTCCTTTTTGCATGGCAAAAGCTCCATATGTGTTATATATTGAGTGTGCAATGCAAGCTCTATCACAACACTAATGATCCCATCTATGATTTGAGACTCCTTTGGAGTAATTAACCCCTGCGGATGAACTTGTTTTCTGGTAATGACTCCTGCAGTGCTGTGGTAAGTGGGTATGACATCAACTTGCAATTTTGTAAAGTTTTCATTCCTTCTACATTCTATCATGATATCCTCATCAAACTAAAAACTCATAAAGAGTCCCACAAATCCCTCAACCAAATGACCATGTATCATTTTGCCATATTCTTCTCAAGATTCACTTTGGATACTTTTGATCAAAGATCCCAGTGTCTTGAAACACAGAAATCATTAGCTTCATTGAATCCATATCAATTTTCAGTTGAACTGCTTTATCCAAAACTGCTAAATATGATTATGCTTTGCCCTAACATTCATTGATCTATCCTTACTCAACTTGTTTGTTACATTCTTCTTCCACTTTTTTTAAGCTTTGAAATTTACTACATACATCTTTATCTTTGATTTTTTATGTCTATCCTAACCAGTATGTACTCCAAACCAAACCAAAAGATTCAAATAAGGCACTGTTTAGTAGCATTTATTTATACTAACAGTATGAAAAATTATGATGTACAACACTGAAACTTAAAGGTTGCTTTCATGAATTTCATGTGGAAATAGCTTGCAGTTGTATGGTACTAGTAGGGTGAGCAACACAAAGACTTGATTCATTGCTGTATACTATGTATACAAGAACAAGGAAATTTGATTTGAGATTGGACTTTCTACAGGTGAAAGTTTATGGCTTATTCCTCTTACAAGACAAACAAGTGAGTCAGTGTGTAAGGTCACATTTAACAAATAAAGAAACTCACAAAGATCAATTTCTGTCAGGTCTTGCACAAAGCTGCTCAGCCAGGGCTTTGTCCATGACATTTCATTGGTCATGTTTTTTGTTTTCTGTGTGGTTGAGGTCAGGTTATAAGCTGTAACATAGTGCTATAACGATGGGGCTATGTCAGTCTGATATTCATGCTCCTCAACACCATGATGTTCACCGTGAAGACAATCTACTTCCCCTGCTTGCACCCCAACTTCAACAACAAGTCTTTGCTCAATGCTCATCCTAATTTGTAGTCTTAGTCAATGGTACTGAGATTTATAGTAATTTGAGATGGCCATTAAGTTGTTTGTTTCATTGTTGAACTTCAATGGTCAATCAGACCATCTGCATTCAATCAATTAGGATCCTGATCATCATGGTCATGATAATCATGATGATGATAGTGGTGAGGATGGATTGGGATTTAGCAGTGTGCCTATAGAATTTACCAAATACTGAACTTTGTGGTCAAGGTGACTCACCACATAATGTAGTATCACAGCCACCAGCTACTAGTCACTGGCAGGTCGGGGCTACCACAACTTCAAGAAGTTTTCAAAGCAAATTCAGAAATATTGCAGATAAGTTTTGAAAAGATTTCAACCAAATTTCAAAGAAATTTCAACAGAATCCTGATTGCTTGTGATACCATACAAAATCTTATTGGGAGCAAAACGGCCAAAATGTGGCTTCTGACAAAATGATAACACAAAAACAATGACCATCAAGTTCTTGAGTATTGTGCTAGGTATCAAATATCAAGTGCCATGAGCTACTTCAGCCGTGCCTATTCTAAACCCCTCATGAAGTAGTCACAGAAAGTAAACTTGACCCTTGGGTGTCATCTTGAGGTTCCAAGTAGAGACTAAAAGGATGAGCTCAAGATGAAAAGTGACTTGAAAGACAAGTTCTGAGATATTGAGATGAATACGCACTGGCTTTGTGGTAGCAGTTGGGCTACTATAAGTTCTAGCCAAATAAAAGTTCTATTGATTGAACAAAAGTTGATTAGTAGTTGTTCTAATCGATCAGGAAAAGTATTTTAAATGAGGTGTAAACTCACTTACTTGGACAACTCCTTGTGGAGTTTTGGAATCCGAAAAGGGTTGCTATTTAGAGATATAAATCAACTAAACGCCTTCCACTAGGTCTTACTAATAAGATCCTAATAGGTAGAGATTTAACTCCTTTGTCCTCTAGCGATAGGGTGAAAATCAAGTAATTGAATGAAGCTATAGTTCTAAAGATCTACGTAACTGGAGTTTTCTTTTAAGAAACAAAAGAAATGGAACGATTAAAAGTGAGACAGAGAGCTAGTTTTTCAAAGTAGTAAGTCTTTAAAAAGCTATCGTCTAAAATTTAAGTTTAATGCGGCTTGGTTTCTGTTAAAAGTAAAACAAGTTTTGTTTATCAAATAAGAGCTTGTAGTAATTCAAGTAAAAATTTTGTAGTTATGTTTTTCGGTGGTCCTCTTCTTTCTTAGGAGAAATCTATGGATTATATAGCAGCTAGTTTTCTAACGTGGCATAGTGATCTTCTAATTTGCCTAAGCTGGTTTGGTAAAATTAAGGGTTCTTGATTTTTCCTGAAATCGTTTTTGTTGTGAGCTTCCAGGTTGGTTGATGTAGTGTTTAGCCAGCCTGGTGGTTGTGAGGTTGAGTTAGCCTGGTCAGGGTTCAATTGGTATTGGATCCTGGCCAGTGTTTCAAAAAATTGTAATATGACGTAATTGTTCACTCTTGAAACTCGAGTGTTGAGATGTGATAATATATATATTTTTATAGACTTTTGTAATTATAATTATTGTGGGTATTGTTAAGGTTAAGTAGTTTAGCTATTTGGGAATTTTAGTGCGACTAAATTCCTCATAGCTGACAAAACCACACTACATATAAAGATTGTGAGCCTTCTTGGGAGATCTTTTTGAGCTGTTATAACAATTGATTTTTTGATTGGAAGAAATTTAGGGTTGCAATATCTTAGCAGCAAAGCTCCATATCAAAGTGTGCATGGTACCCTTAGTATCTGCAAGAAATCTTGCATGTGTGTATGGGGCATGTGTGTATGGGCATAAACCTGGTTCACTGGAACAGATTGGCTGAAGATATAAAATATTTTTGAATTCTTCTGGACCTTTCTCAGTCATTGTATTCTAAAAATAAAACATTGTCAGAGATATTTGAGAAGAAAAAAAATGAAAGTTTTTTCCACTCATTACACAAGTAGAATTGTATAAACAGGATCCCCATGTGACAGTCTGCATGAAATGTGCCACATCAAGCTTATTTGATATGTACAGGGCCTTGTATACAGAGACATTCAGTACATGTTTGAACATTGGCAAGCTTACAGATACAAGACATCTTGTCTCTGTTGCAAGGTTTACCAAGACTTTGTAAAGACTGCAAGACTTGTCAGTTTGCTTGGGGGATTCTTTGGAGACTGAGTAATTAATTTACAAATCAAATATTTTTAGTGGAAATGAAATTGTCAAATCACAGTGGTAGTATAATCAGGTTCTGCTGCAGATTTTGAATCTGTCTATCTGGATAGACAAGGTCCCTGTGAAATGCAGTGCTCATGTCAAAATCAAAGTTTATGACACTACGCCAGATTGCAAATTTACCGCTGAGTTTAGAAAATTAATAAGACATAGAAAATTATACACAAGGTGGAAGGGGTCAAAAAAATGTGGAAAAATAAGGGTTGCATTCCCCTGTGTGTGCCCATAATTTTGCATATTTTTACAGATTTTTACAGCAGCAGTGTATATCAGGTCAGAAACTCAGTTTATGTCCCAAACTGGCAGTCATGGAGGCATTAATCTTGTGATACCAATAAAGTTGTCAATTTTGTGACAACATCTGGAATGTCTGTCCATTCTGAAAGCTACATGTTTAATTTACCAGATACACATTAGAATGAGTGGTGTGTGTCCAAAAATGAAGAAGGTACAGCAATCACCGTCCCCAACAGCAAAGCTAGAAAAGCTTATAAATCTGTTCTGCAAGGGTTTTAGCATCCAAATGGAAACTGTAGATCCAGTATGTGGGTTTCATAATGTGCAACTGCCAAATTGATAAAAAGAAAATAGTTGTATTTGTGAGTGTTGAAAAGTTTCTGCCCAAGCCTGGGTAGTTTTGGACAAAATTTGAGTTTCTGGCCAAATACACCCCAAAATCATTTTTCTATGGAACGACTTCAAAACTCAAGGTAAAAATATGAAAAAATATGCAAAATGATGGGAAATCACAGACTGATTCAACCATAATTTTTTTCAATTTTTTCCTACCTCTCATGCATTGCTGAGAATTTCCTACATCTTGACTTTTCTAAACTCCATGGTAAATTATTGATTTGGTGTAGTGTGAGGACATATCAAATTGCAATGTCTCCACACTAAAGCTCTGTACCAGGGTATAGAGATTGCTGTTAGGATCCACCAAAAAAAATCTTTTGTTGGCATGGATAATCCAAGCTTGTGCTGACACTCTTTGAATAAATCAATGATCAGCAAATTATTTTGGACCATGTTTGTGATGCCATTCTGAAAAAAATCAATAGTTTGATATACACTAGAGCTTTAACTCTGGTATTTCACACTATGTGTGCTGGATCTGATGTCCAGATGAATTTTCTTTGAAACTTTATTGAAAACATTATGCAATCTTCTTGACATCATTCTGAAATTTGCTTGAAATTCCCTTGAAGTTGGTGGTAGGCTCTGGTCTGTCAGTGATCAGTGGCTGGGGGCTGTATATATGAAACCATGGACAAAACACACCATACATGGTATTTGAATTCTATATTTGTTTCAATACCGCATTTTTCTGTGGTACTGGACTGCAACACATGGATAAGAACTTGATATTCAAGTTCAATTTCTTCTTTGACTGGTCATTATTCTTATGACTCTGAGTCTCATGGTTTCATACACAAAAAGTTCTGAAGAAAAAAAACAAATTCAGCAGAAGTAAGGATAACCAACTGGAATACAAAACTAAGAAATAGAAATGAAAAATTTAACTGTCACAGTCAATCTTGATGGATAGATCAAGATTTGTGATATATTGGATATGGAATGTACATAACTGAAGTACTAAGAAATAACAAAAAGTACATTGGAGGATGAAGATCTCAAACCAAATGGCGGTGCCACACTGCAATCCTACATCCATCTGCCACAAAGACCTTTTCACTCATAAATTGTGTGATAAACATATCTCATTGTCCATATAAGATACACACGAAAACAAGCAACCAATGATGAGCACAATACGCAACAAATACAAAACCAAAGAGGAATACAACTCTTCATGATCTTACATTCTTGATAGTTAGCTCAATAATAGTAAGTAATGAAATACAAAACCAATACAAATTTCAAAGAAAAAAGAAACAGTAGAATTGAGATGAACAAAGCTCTCAATTGTGGTGGCTATGGTGCCACACCTCAACACTACAACCACCTGCCACAAAGACCTTACCAATCTAAAATCATCGAGTCACAAAAAAATCTTAATCAGAACAACGGATCTAGGCTATATAAGTTTGATTGGATTTATTTACCTTGTTATCAGCTAAACAAGTTGATGCTAGATTTTTATATCCTCCACTCTTGTTAACATCCACATCAGCCAAAAGACGTCCAGCAGATCTATTTATCATAATATACCCCAGTGAGTATGAAAATCACAAAAGATGTTTGTAGTGAGACACATCACACGACTTACACTGTGATTGGATGACCCCCGCAGCGGACTTCAATCTATGAACCATATAGGATGAGTAAGCACTATAATTGTGTGAAATGAAATCAAAGTGACCTACAGCACAGTTTCCATAGGTTTGTTTAACAGACACGTCTTGGGTTCTTAACATTCCATCTTTGAATCCCAAGTTGTAAAAAGCACTAAAACCAAAACAACAAATCAACATGACATAGACATTTGAAGGTAGAGTAAAAAAATCTGAAGGTTTACTTACCGGTTACAGTCTTTGTAACTTGGAATAAGTACTGGTCTTGATGGTCTTTTACATTTCGGAGCAGGAGGTCGATAGCTCTGGATCACTGTTGTTTCAAATCTGATTGTGATTTCTAATTCCCAAGTCACAGATTTGTGTGTTTCTCCTGTGATACGCGAGATAAAACAGTCAATGGCTGCTATGTCCTCAAAAGTATTTCCTCCTGAAGATTTGACTAACCTGATACATTCCTTGCCATCTTTGACAAAAGGCATAGAGCCAAAAGTCTGAAGAGAGTTTTGAAGATAAACATCTTGAATACCAAAGCTTTAAAGCAAGATAGTTATGATGATATTAGGGGGTTTCAAGTTCGTTTGTTTTTTGCGTAAAATTTATAAATTCGGACAAGTTGTCCGTAAAAAAAATTCTCCATAAAACCAACGTATTTTTAATTCGGGACACCTAAAAAGGTGTCCCGCTTTAAAAATTTTACGCATATTTTACAACAACGGGCAAGTTGTTGTAGCATAAAAATACGTAAAAATCTGCAACTTGAAACCCCCTATTGTATGGATATCGGATGATATAAAAAGTCGAATGCTAGATAAATGTTTCTGATAAGATTTAATGAAGAAAGAAATCACAACAAGCAGACCAAAAAGTGAGCGTATTTATAGCCATCAGGATTCAATTCCCATCTAGGTTTTTCAGCTCAGCCTCAAGGACCTCTTGATGTTGTGATCATTCGGAGTTCTTACCCCCACTCTTCCCCGCACTCTAAGCTAACCAAGCTCCGCATGCAATCGAAGAAAGATGTGGTATCCTACTCAAAGAGCTAGATCACAAGGACTTTTTACCAGAGCGGAGCACGACTTCAAGGAATCAAAGTGCCTGATAGCTTTCGGCTCAAGACTCACTTCAAGCAATACAAAAAAACCATAATCCTTTCATCCCTCATATGTACGGGCTTTTATTGAAGGTCCGTTAAACCTTTATGTAGGCTGTGCTGAGCAACTGGATAGTATGTACTGTGAGCCTCGCTTGAAGAAATCCTCGAGCTCCAAAACTTTGCCAAACCCCACAATCTGACCGAAGTAAGGAGTCGGTTCTTTTCTTTCTTATGAACATGATTCTCAGAAGTGTTCTTTTCATTCCCAATAACGCTCTCAACTTCTACCCACAGTTGGTCGCTCAAGTGGGGGCCGCAATTAATATATACTCGACCCCAGGCTGTGCTCAGTGCTTTAAGCCTAAGGATATGGTATCACTTGATGAACATTTCATCAGTCTCAAGATCGGATCAATCAAAACGAACCCACCTCGGAGTCGAGCCCCACCTTTTCTCAAAGATCAAACGATACCTAAGAAAATCATGTCCGAGTCTAAGAGATGCGAGTCCTAACCTTATCATCTTCATTTCCAAAGCTCGATTTCAACTTATGATTGATCAAATGAAATGAACCTCAATCTCCATCTCCCTTTCATCTCTCCCAATCTCCCAATCTCTCAACTTGAAGGGGAAAAAAATCAATTATATAAAAATGGTATCATGCTTCAATATATTTCCGCCAAAGAAACCAAAAAAGAGAACCTTTTTCTTGTGGAAAAAAGAAGTAAAGATAGTTTTTTTTCTTGGGATATATATAGATATATATTGTGTTTGATTCATATAAAATCTCTATGATATATATATATATACTTAAAAACAAAAGTTTCCAAAAATTCATTTTAATCTTTTCTTTTCTTCATTCATTCATTCTTCATATTCTTCTCTTCTTCTTTTTTGATGGTGAAAAATCCCTCCTTACTAAAATAATAGAAAAAAAAACAGACAATCATTGAAAAAAAGAAAAAAAAATAGTGAAACAAAACAAAGAGGGTTTTCAATTTTAATCCACATCCATTGATCCAGTTCCATTAGCTTCACCTGATCCTTCTGTTACATTAGTTCCATCTACTTCTTCTACTACTTTACCTTCTTCTGTGACCGGTTCAGTGCTTTCTTCAGACTTTTCATGGGTTTGAGGTGTAGGTACTGAAGCTTTAGGTGCCGGTTTATTAAAAATAGACATCTAAAAGAAAACCCAAAACCCCCAAAGAAATGCTCAGAATTCAATCAAACTCGAAACAGAAAGACATCATTTTTTTTGGAAGACCACTACTTACGCAATCATACACTAAACTTTCCTTTCGTTTCCAAATATCATTCGAAGTCACAGCTGGAATCTCATCCTTAGACTTCTCAGCTTGTTTAGCAATACTATCACCAATCCATTTCTCAGCACTTGCACATTTCTCTACAACAGTTTGAAGATCACTTTCAGTCAAATGTGAATATTTAGCATCACCCGATTGGATTCGTTGCATATAATCTCCAATCGATTCTCTAAGTGCTCTTTCGGCTCTAGGTCGATCTTCTGCTTCTCTTTGACGAAACTTGATGGGATCTCCAATATCGGTTAATTCGGCTAGACGAGTCACGTATTGTGATTTACTTGCATCTTCTCCTTCTTCTGTGTATAACCAATCTTCAGCTGATTGTAAAGCTACCTTGAGTTTCTCTTTAACTTCTGAAGAAACATACGAAGCCCAAGCTCCATCGAGTTTCTCACGGGTATCATCTGAATAAAAACAATCAAGAACCAATCAACTTGAATAAATAAACCGAATAGAGATGAAAGAGTGAAAGTATACTCACAAACATATTCTTCTAAAGCGTTCTTACGATCTTCAGTCTCAGCCACTAACTTATCACCAGCATACATTTCACCTTCCTTTGCCAAGAAGCTGTCCAAGATTTCTTTACTGAGAGAAGAAGTCAAGAAAGTAGAGGTCAATTCTTTCTTCGTCATCTTCTTCTTGCCACCCTCTTCTTCCTTTTCTTCTTCTCCTGCGACTTCTTCATGAGCAGTAGCTCCTTCAAAGACAGTCAGACCACTAGCATTAAGTTTAGCTTTGACTTTCACCAAAGTTGGACCACCTTTCGCACTAGGAGAGACTTGGTTGATCACATAACGACCAATGATAGGATTGATACCACCGGGCAATTGACTTGGTTCAGAGTAAGATACCACTAATTCAAATGGCTCTGATCGGTGGAAGCTGAGTAGTTTACCAGATGGGACTAGAGATTCGGGTGTAAAGGTATCAAGCGAAGTTTGTTGATCATCTGGTGTAGGTTGCCATTCGGTCCGAATCGAGTAATTAGCAATATCGTTAACAGAGAATTCTCGAACCTTGAAGATAGGTGAAAGACCAGCACAAGCTAATGTAGCACCACGTGCAACTGCTTCATCTTGATTACAAGTGAAGCTGAGTGGTTTACCAAAGAACTCTTGAATTCGAGATTTCAAAGCAGGTACTCGAGTCGATCCTCCAACCAATTCGACGGTCTCGATCGCATCTTTTGGAATTCCAGCTTGAGCAAGAGCCCTTTCGAGTGGTTGAGTAGTTTTCTCTAATAAAGGTGCAATCAATTCTTCCAAAGTTTCACGTGTCATGGATGAACTTGCATCGATATCATTCATGATCGATTCTACATTCAATGGAGCTTGAGCATTTGCAGATAACACACATTTCAACTTCTCAACGGCTGCAGCCAATCTGAAGACGGCCTTCTTGTTACTCAATACATCAATCTTGTATTTTTCTTTAAACTCAGTAGCAAAATGTTGAAGGAGAGCGTAATCCAAGTTTCGACCACCGAAATGATGATCGTAAGCAAAACCTTTAACAGTGAGAGTAGCTTTGTTGAAAGCTACAATAGCAACTTGATATTGAGAGTGACCAATATCAACAAAAGCAACATAACGAGGCGTTTCTTCAAGAGGAGGTAGATCGGTCTTCGTGATTCCGTAACCAAGAGCAGTGGCAGTAAGTTCATTGATGAGTCGAAGTGGATGTAAGTTTGCGATTTCAGCGGCATCTAGGACTGCTCTTCGTTGGATATCAGTGTACCATCCTGGAACTGCGATCACCACATCATTGACTGTGTTTTTCAATTCAGCTTGAGCAATATCTCTTAGTTTGCCAAGATAAGCAGCATAAAGTTGAGTGATGGTGAAAGTTTCGTCTTGGCCCAAATAATCAACCTGATTGAATGAGTACAAAAGGTGTTTGAAATGAGATGATGAATTTAAAAAAGGGATATGAATGAGAAGATGAAAGTCATAGGATTGATTAGTCAGCTTACCTTGACACCCAAAGTACCATTCAAATCGATCAAAGTTGAATTTAAAAACTTGGATTCGATTTGAGTAACATCGGGATCTTGAGAAGTTCTACCGATCAAACGTTTTAAAGAACCAATGGTATTTTTAAAATTGGAAGTTTCTTGAGTTTTAGCCGATTCACCAATGGATCGATTCCTTGCACCAAACGCTACTAGAGATCTATGTAGAGAGAGAGAGAAAGTGAGAATTAGATTTAAGCTAACATCTTTTTGGTGAATGAAGAAAAGTGAAGAAAAGAAGACAACTTACGGAGTGGTTCGATTACTAACTTCATTACAAATGATATCAATTCCACGATTTCTTGCTAAACCGACTTTAGATTTTTCGTTTCCTAGATCGATACCAACTACTGATGTCATTTTGATGCTATGAAGATGAAGATAAGTTTAGATTAGATTGCTGATGATGATATGATGGTGAGTGGTGAGACGTGAAGAAGAAGTTGACCAAGCTGTTGACTGGTTGAGCTGGTTGGATTGAATTTTTGATGAGCTTCTCGATCATTCTATGGTGTAGATATGCTAAGTTCGAGAAGGATCTAGTAAAAACCATAGTCTATAAGCATATATCACATATGGACTCGGACTCACTCGGACTGGCTCGGTACTCGGTCCAGCTGCATTCAATGATATCACTCTTCAAGGACAACTTTTGAAAGATTTGAATTCAATCAAGAGAAGAGTTCGATGATGATGACTAACTTAATCCTAGTAGGTGATCAAAGTCAGTACTACATTTCCTATCAGCAAACAAGTAAAGAACTAACTCATCCTTCGTAGCCTCTCCATTCTCTCAACGTACTCTATTCGCTTTAGAACTCAAACAAATTCAATATCAATATCAAGTTAGTCATATCATACCATCATACCATCAAACTATCATCATCATCACATTTACTTATGTTTCTAGTCATTTCAAATACACACAGGAAGCAAGTGATTCTCAAAAAGCATCAGATTCATCTGCCACCAATCCAACCGAATATTTACCTTTCTTAATCTATCATCATCAAATCGTCAATGGTGGTTCGGTTAATTTGATTCAATTCATCGAAGAAGGTTAGTCAATCACATCTCAGCTTTAGGATTCATGATCTTACTGATACTGATTCACGTGACGGTTTAATCTTTTAGCTTTTCCTGATCATTCACCTAATTTACTTTCACTTGATCTCATTCAAAGATCTCGTCAAAGGCTTTGGTCCGATTATATTCGTCAATTCATCGTACCTCTCTTTCTCAAGTTGGTCATTCACTCTTCAATTCAATCACAGCTTAAATACTCATGCTTATTCTCTTATGAATTTGTTCTTTGTAGATCACTTCGTTCTAAAAGAGTTGATCATCAGACTCGTTCTGATACCCTTACCCTTGCTCATACTCTCGATACTTATGCTGATGCAGTAAGCTCTGTCTCTTAACCGTGTTCTTGCGAATACCTGACTGATCTTTCTTATTGTACCCCATCAAGTGCATCGGACCATACTTCTCTGGTCAGACGATCAGTTTACCAGATATCCTCATTGCACCTTTTATCCTAGCCGCTCATCCTCATTTGGTTGACTCATGTGCAAATCAAAGATACCATTCGTATGCCAAATCGATCCTATCACATCCTACTCTCAAACGTGCCCTACCACATACACTTACAGGTTCATCTGAGGTGAGTCATGTAGTCAATCCCTAAGCTTATACACTGTCATGCCGCTCATTCAGACCATTCTGTTTTTTGATCCAGAACACATCCCTACAACAGATCCCTTGCTATTGTGATCCGACCTCAACCCTTGCTAGATTACCGCCTGAGATCTTGACTATTATCATTAATAAACTAGGGGATTATGAATTAGCCCAAACCTTGGGAATCACACATGATTTATCAGAAACACCACCGTGGAAAGAATCAGCCACACCATTAGATCGAGCCATCTTAACCGGTAGATTATCGATTGTCAAACGAGCCTATGAAGAAGCATCACATACCATCTTTTCACAATGGGGAGCAAGAGTGATGATCCGATTTGGATATCTGAACATTTTAGATTATTTTCTGAGTGTCGAACCTGCTTTGTTACATCGGATCTGTGATTACCTTTTACCTGAAGTGGCATCTGGATTTGGTAGAGTAGATGTTTTAGAATGGGCAAGATCAGGCGAATTTAAATTACCGAGACATTTGAATGAGGTACCGATCGATGAAGCTTCTAGAAACGGACATGTATCAGTTTTAGAATGGTGGAAAGGATCGGGTTATAATTTGGTGTATTCTGAAGCTTCATTGAATTCGGCTACCAAACAATCACAAACCAATGTACTTGAATGGTGGAAGAATTCAGGTTTAGAATTAAAGATTGGAAACGTTTTGGATTTTGCTTCGATGGCTTCTGAAACCCATGGATTGGATTGGTGGAGTCGATCTGGACTAGGGATCGGTAGAGGAAAGTATAGTAGGATCTCACTCTATCATGCATCGTGTCATGGGAATTTGAAAGTGTTGAATTGGTGGCGAGATTCGTTATTGGAATTAGTGTATGATAAAGATGTCTTGATTGGTGCTACTAAACATGGACGGATTGAGGTTTTGGAATGGTGGAGAAAGAGTGGGATTCCGGTTTATTATACGTTTTTTGATATTGAAGAAGCTATTGAAGATTGTGTTGAAGGATCAACAGGTGTGAAGAAATGGTGGGCTAAGAGAGGGTTAGATGGAGAAGGTAGTGCGAGTGGTTGGACTACGACTAGGTTATTGGGTAAGACTTGAGGGTTTTTTGGTTTGGTTTGAATTTTTAAAAACATTATGATCTTTCGGATTTTCTTTGTTGAAAAGTTTAGGCTTTGTTGTAAGATTACATCATCATTAATATCATTTCATTATTATTTTATGCATTGAGATTTGGGTTTTGTTTTGTATTATGTTTTATTATGGATGTATATATAAGTTTCAATGTGTTTCTAATAGTAAGATCTAAATTGATTTTGAATAGTTTACAGAAAGCTTGCGGTTATGGTCTGGTTTGTGACTATCAATCAATTAGTTAGCGAATGTCAGCGAGATATTGAGGAAATATTCAATCAGCTTAAATACATAAATGTGAATGTAATTATGTATGTATGTAATGATTGTGTTTATAAGAATTAATTGCAAGTTGAAAGAGATTGAGTATGCTTATAGAAAGATGATCTGACGTCATTTGTTCGATTGAGTTTTAAATAACCCTTTGACCATTTCTTCAACTCTTTAACTTCATTCAGACTCACTCACTTCCTCTTCTTTACTTCTTCCAAACCAATCCAAGACTCTGATTAAAGATATTTGAAATCTAAGACTTTCATTATCATCATGTCAATTCAAACCATTCAAACTAAATCATTTAATGATCAAAAACCAGGTATGGATTCATCCCACTTTGATTGATACAAATCGTTATTCTAACTTCTTTCTTCATGAATGGCCTTTAGGTACTTCTGGTTTAAGAAAAAGGTAATCAATAAATCAATATCCAAATCAGTTTCCATCCAATATTGATGATCTTCTTTTCTGAATTAATCAAATAGAGTCAAAGTTTTCGAACAAGAGAATTATACCGAAAACTTTATCCAAGCAACATTTGATGCGATGCCATCACCCGGAGTGAAATCATCTACCATAGTAGTAGGAGGAGATGGAAGATATTATTCACCAGAATGTATTCAAAAGATTATCAAATTATCAGCAGGAAACCAAGTTTCGAAATTGATCATTGGTCAATCTGGAATCCTTTCCACACCGGCTGCAAGTCATTTGATTCGCATTCGAAACGCTCATGGAGGCATCCTTTTGACTGCTAGTCATAATCCGGGTGGACCGAATGCTGATTTTGGAATTAAGTTTAATGTCGCGAATGGTGGTCCTGCTCCTGAGAGTGTGACTGATAAGATCTTTGAGATCACTAAGTCCATTAAAGAGTATAAGATGATTGAATTACCTGATGTGTGTCTTTGGTTTCTTTTCTTCTCATAAGATCAAACCTGTAATTTCATCTAACTGATACTTTTATTACACTTTGATAGGCAGATCTTCAAACCATTGGAATTCAAAAGATTGGATCCATGACTGTAGAGATTGTAGATTCAGTGACCGATTACCTTGACTTACTTAAATCGATTTTTGATTTCGGTTTGATCAAATCATATCTTCATTCCGATCCAGCACCTCTCAAAGTCTTATTCGATGCGATGCATGGTGTCACCGGTCCTTATGGTAAAGCCATCTTTGTAGACACACTTGGTCTTTCATCTCAATCGATTCAAAATTGTGAACCGAGTCCTGATTTCGGTGGAGGTCATCCTGATCCGAATCTAACGTATGCTCATGATTTAGTCGCAAGAGTTGATAAAGAAAATATCGGGTTTGGTGCGGCTTCTGATGGGGATGGCGATCGGAATATGATTTATGGTAAAGATGCATTTGTGACGCCTAGTGATAGTGTGGCTATTATTGCAGATTGGGCTCAAGAGGCTATTCCTTATTTTAAGGATGGAATTAAAGGGTTGGCTAGAAGTATGCCTACTAGTGGAGCAATTGATTTGGTCGCTAAAGCTAAGGGATTAGAAGTCTTTGAGGTTCCCACTGGTTGGAAATTCTTTGGAAATTTGGTGGGTTCTTCTTTCATAATTGCAAATCAAGATGATCTGCTGCTCGATTTCGATTATTGATGTCTTTCTTTTGTTCTCGTGGGTTCACTAAGATGGATGCCAAGAGATTGTCTATTTGTGGTGAAGAATCTTTTGGGACTGGATCGGATCATATTAGAGAAAAAGATGGGATCTGGGCAGTAGTAGCTTGGCTCTCAATTTTAGCTGCGGCTGATAAGAAAGGTATCAAGAATGGTATCAATGGAGTTCTCTTAGATCATTATCAAAAGTATGGACGTAGTTTTTTCTCACGATATGATTATGAAGAAGTCGAAACAGAAGGAGCTCAAAAGATGATGAACCATCTTGAAAAGGCATTTTCAGAAGCTAGTTTTATGGGATCTGAACTTAAATCTACGACTAGTTCGACTTCATTTAAAGTTAAAGAAGCCTCCAACTTTAGTTATCAAGATCCGATTGACGGTAGTGTTTCTAAGAATCAAGGTTTGTTTATTAAATTTCAAGATGGATCTCGAATTGTTTATCGACTTAGTGGAACAGGTAGTTCAGGTGCTACGATTCGAATTTATGTAGAGAAGTATAGTCAACATCAAGATGAGTATCAAGAAGATACTCAGAAAGGTTTGAAACCTTTGATTGAGGTCGCTTTGGAGTTGTCTAAGTTGAAGGAATTTACTGGACGTGAGAAACCTACGGTGATTACTTGAAAATCGATCATGAAGGGTTTATTAAAGATTTGAAAGGTTTTTGAAAGGTTTTAAAGATCTAGTTTGATTTAAAGAGTCGTATGTTTTTTTGTTTTCTTTTGATCTTTATAAGTAATTGAAAATTATCAGATTTTAAAAAAAGATGAATGAAAATCTTTATGAATGAGATTTGTTTTGTAATTGATATAAACGTTTTTTTGTACTAGATTTTTTTTGTTTAGCTTGATGAATGAACTTTGGTATTTTTTTCTTTTTTTTTATTCAAGAATATTACATTGAGTTTTTCCATAGAAATTGATCATATGATAAGTTTTAAAGTAAACAATTTGAAGGTAAGGTTTTTTTCTTTTTGAAAAATTTAACAAGAAATGATATTTTCAAAACTCGAAGGACCTGTTTGAATAATTTGATCAAGTGAAAGTGAAAGAAAATCCTTTTGAAAGTGAAAGAAAATTTGCTTTGACTCTACCATGCCCCCCATGTCTCGTGGGATCTAATGACTACCTTAGAGCATGTCCTGAGATCATCATCTGGCAAGACCTTGAGTCCGCTTGTCGCCCCCCCCTTCGCTGCCAGGAAGCTCGACTAGGAAACTTATCGTTTTTGTCCTTTGGAGAAATGGTGGAACTCGGAGAGCTTCTCGAGTGGTACAACTTCAAGGTGATGTTGGATATTGTGATAGAGAATTATCAAGTGATAGTCAATTGCTTAGCACAGCTTGGGATTTATGGGGCGAGCACAAGTTGAGTGCAACATTCAATTGAGAATGAAATTGTAGGATTAGGAATCATAGCCTTAGGATTTGGTCCGGTTAGATACGATTTATTCATCGAGGAAATGTGGAGCTCGAGGTGATTGAAGTGAGGGTGAAGTGGTGATGAAATAAGTTGATTAGTGATCTTTTGCATATTCAGCACAGCTTGAGGTTGTTGTTTGTTGTTGGTTGTTGGATACAAAGATCCCACTCCCACTCCTTCCTTCGAATCCGATCAGATTGTGGGGCTTAGCAAAGTTTTCTTTCGAAGTCATCCTTGCTCAGGCTCGAGGAGGTTATTGAGCGTTGCCTACAGTCTTGGGCGATCCTTCGACCGCGCATCGACGATACTCGTTGCTCAGCACAGCCTGAATTATGCGGACCCTCCTTGAAGTCCCTCATAAGGAATGAAAGAATTTGTGTCCAGACATCACATTCTTTGAGCAGGATAGAGGATCGCACATCTTTCTTCGATTACATGTGGAACTTGGTTACCTTTGAGTGCGGGGAAGAGTGGGGGTAAAAACTCCGAATGATCACAACATGAAGAGGTCCTTGAGGCTGAGCCGAAAAACCTAGAGACTTTGAAAGGATGATGGCTATAAATACGCTCACTTTTTGGTCTTCTTGTTGTGCTTTCTTTCATCATTAAATCTTATCAGAAACATTTATCTAGCATTTCACTTTTTATATCATCCGATATCCATATATATCATTATAACTATCTTGCTTTCTTCTGACATTCAAGATGTCTATCTTCAAAACTCTCTTCAGACTTTTCATGACTCTATGCCTTTTGTCAGAGATGGCAAGAAATGTATCAGGTTGGCCTAATTTTCAGGAGATAACTTTATGAACATATCAATTGACTGTTTTATCTCTCGTATGTTAGGAGAACAAATCATCAAATCTGTGACTTGGGAATTAGAAATATCAATCAAGTTTGAAACAACAGTGATCCAAAGCTATCAACCTCCTGCTCCTGAATGTAAAAGACCATCAAGACCAGTACTTATTCCAAGTTACAAAGACTGTAACCGGTGAGTAAAACCTTCATGTCTTTTTACTCTACCTTCAAATGACTATCTCATGTTGATTTTATTTTTGGTTTTAGTGCTTTCTATAACTTGGGATTCAAAGATGGAATGTTAAGAACCCAAGACGTGTCTGTTAAACAAACCTATGGAAACTGTGCTGTAGGTTACTTTTTATTCATTTTACGCATTTATAGGTTTGCTTACTCATCCTATATGGTTCATAGATTGAAGTCCGCTGCGGGGGTCATCCAATCACAGTGTAAGTCGTGTGATGCGTCTCACTACAAACAGATTTTGTGCATTTGATACTGACTGGGGTAGGGGTATATTATGATAAATAGATCTGCTGGACGTCTTTTGGCTGATGTGGATGCTAACAAGAGTGGAGGATATAAAAATTTAGCATCAACTTGTTTGGTTAATGACCAGGTAAGTAAACCTATTCAAACTTATATAGCCTAGAGCTGGTGTTCTGATTAGTATTTTTTTTGAGATTAGATTGGTAAAGTCTTTGTGGCAGGTGGATGTAGTGTTGAGGTATGGCACCATAGCCATCATTCACATTGAGAGCTTGGTTCATCTCAAGACTACTTTTTCTTTGTTTCTTTGAAATTTGTATCGGTTGTGTATTTGTATGCCTTGCAATCATTGAGCTAAAAATTATTGAGCTAAACATCAAGAATGTAAGATCATGAAGAGTTGTATTGATGTTTGGTTGTTTTATTTCCAAGTTTTATTTATTTTGATTTTCTGGTTATTTTTGTCTACAAGCTTGTTTTGGAATTTACTTTATATGGACAAAGAGAGCAACAAAAATTATTATCAGTCAACATTAAAGAAGCTGAACCTCAAGTCTTATCTTGCTGTTTAGTCTGGATGTGTGACACACACAGTATGTTTAGAACAAATTGGCCATTTGAAAGATATGAGTATGGGTAATGAAGCCTTAAAGCATTCATGGTACTAACATCTATATAGTTAGACCAGGATTCAATCAGATCATTATCTGACAAAGAATATCAGTCTTTGTCAGTGACAAGATGTGGCAGTGTCTTGAGGTACAGTGAATCAACCATATAAAGTCTGTGTGGGTCCTTGGAGTATGTACATCATATTGATGTTTGAAGTAATGAAAGCACATCAAAAGAGAAGTCTTCCTGTGACTGAAGCTCACTATATGCCATTTCTATACACAGTGAAGTTTAGGCTACGTGTCCAGAAACCAACAAAGCTGTTGAAAAACACCTTCCTTCTCTCATATGTAGGTTTCAGCAGTCAAGAAAAATACTCAGAAACAGTTACATTCAATGCAGCATTCAGCTACCATACATAAGCCTCCTCACTGTGTCAAATTATAGTTTAAGCAAGTGTGGTGAGCTCATCAGTCCAGGTAGCTTAGCAGCAATAAAATTGTGTCATCAGTATCAATTGGGCCATTGGCATTGGAGAATGGATCTTGGAGTACAATTTGCTTCTTCAGCCTGCACCTCTACAACCCAGTCCTGAAAATTTTCAGGTAAATGCTGCAATGGGAGCAATCATGATTTGTGTGAAACCAGATTTTGTCATCTTACTGGGAACATAAAATTAACAACCAAAATAATATATCAATGCTGGTAATGTATACTATCATCCTTGTCCTTACTGCTTGGTGTTGATCATGGCTTGGTGTTGATCGTATTAAACTTCTTCTTATGTTAAAACAGGTGAATCAGCAAGAATTGTGATGAATAAAGATGAAATATAGGAAAAGAAAAAATACTAGAAAGATATTTTTAGAATTGGATGGGTTAGGAGACAACAGAATTGACTGGTTTTTTTGGATTGAAGAGTAATGGGTCTACATTATTCAAAGGGCTTGTGATGGATGATCAAATGTTAGAATGACAGAAAGTAGATAAGAAAAGTGCAATATGGGGTTGCTGGTGGTGCTGTGGTAATATCACATGCCATTGCCACAACACTGACAGGGGGGGATTTGGGATGCCATATCATCCAGCCCTAACTGTGGCTGCTGCACACGGCAATCACATCAATAATATTGTTTTGTGCTTGGGTCAGAGGTGCCATCCTTTTTGAAAAAGGTTATAACCAGACAACCCAGAAAGAAGATATTTGCAGTGGTTGCATTTTGCCAACCCAACCCTGTTTTGTTGCAGGGATCTTGACAAAGGCTTCTGACTGAGCACTAATGTAGGAGATCAGTTCTCCCCACAAGTGTCCTCTTGCACACCTTGATCCCCTCTTAATGTGTATCTGACCAACCAGTTTTGAGATTGTGATTGGATTTTCAGGTTCAAGAACTAGTGCTGGTCAGTGTTATGCCAACTATTGTATGTGTTGTAACTCTCTCAATCCCTCTAAGGTGATGATATGAGTCTATTTCTTAGAATGCTCTATAAGGTTACCTGCTGTGATCTCACCTTACTCTGGATATGGCTCTCTTTGTAACACCGCACATACACAGGAGGGTACAAAAGCTTTGGAAATGGGCTGCATACCTCATTCAACTGGATAGATTTGTTTTGTTGAATTTCAGTCTGTTCATTTTGAGAGCAGGGCACTTGAGTGCGCAAAAGTTTGGGTTCTTTCTAATCCAAATTCAAATTATTCAAAACAACACCTGACTTGCACCTTCTTGAATGATCCTATTGCATGCTATTGCATGCTATGGTATGGCAGTCTGGACTGCTTGTTTACATTGATTTGGATTTGACGACGTGCTGTAGGGATTGGATTATTAGCGAGATGTACTTGAACATCATGCTTAACTTAACTTGCCTTATGCAAAACAAAACAATGTCATAAATATAGTCTTGCTGAAGGACTGAAAAGGCATTTTTGCAAATCATCCACCAAGAAGATTGTATAGGAGGATTTTAAGCAGGTAAACTCCATGCATTTTTGTTGGTAGCCACAAGAACCTTTTCAATTCTTAAAACCTCAATCCATACATCATTTGAAGATCAAATCCACCACATATTGCACATCTTAAGCAACTTCAAATCTTGCGTGAAGCCTTCCGAGAAGTTTTTGTAGGTGAAACACTGAATGTTCCAAGAGCTGCAAGTGTGTAAGAAGATACTGTGTTAATGATTTCTGAACCGTATGATTGGGTAACGTTTCCGTGCAAGGCTAAAGATCAAGATCAAACTCACAATTAGGAGAAACACAAAGCCCCCACACTTATAGCCTACTGTGAACTTGATCAAGGTTTTGGTTAAGGCTGAAACTTTTGTTAAGATCTATGACCATCTCTAGATGAATATGCTAGTGATCAGTAGATAGAAGCTAGATGAAGAGTCAAAGAAAAATATGAAGTGTACCTGATCAAGAGTTTCGAATTCGTGATCGATCACGAAGACGATGTGTTAAGTTCTATAAATCCTCTTGTCGAGGGTGCGAGTCTGCTTCTTTTTCTTTAATGCCGCAGAGCTAGATAATTCCCACATCTGAACAAAAGAAGTTCAAACCCGGGTGATCAAAGGTTGTACTCATTTCGATCCGAATCTTGTTTTGGTTTTACCATCATTGCAGAAATCCTAACATACGATCATGCTGAGATCAATTTCTATGTGACCCGTAACGCCAAGGGTTTTTCACAAGGACGAAGCAATATGCTGAGCCTTCACTGCGTTGAGATGATTTGCCGAATCGAATGTGAATTGAATCGAGTTTTTGTTTTAAAATTTTTTTCCCCACTGATGCTTCCCACGAATACTGCATGTGAGATGTTTTAGAGGGGGTCTTGTTGAATGAAAGATGGATCGCCTTGGGATGAACTAGATGGTGTATTTGATTGAATCTATCCCTTTTGGTGTTTCCTTACGCATGAGATTTGTTGATCTTGAAAATTAAAGAACCCTTAAGCAGCAAGCTTGGCTTGATCGACTGCTACCAAATCAAATCATACATATGAACTTAAAAACGCCGAGATTTACGAATCAAGTGTCCAAGCGAATCAACTTAAAAGAAAAAGTTAGTCAAGAGTTTCTTTTGTGTAAATACTCGGTCAAGAAATTCATCCAAAGCTTTTAAACCTCTTCAAAGGTTCATAGACTCAGACTGATTTGTATTTGATTTTGATTTTGTTATAGTTTTCATTGAGTAAAGAAATGACATTCAAGCAAAAGTTAAAGAAACTCTTCTTACCCATCTCAATGTGTTCAATTCTTTTAATCATCATCATCTCAGTCTCTGCCATCGAAGGTTTAAACTTGACTCATCATCATTCAAATCAAGTTAAGTGAATGGCTCACCATAAATCAATGACCATCATCATCATCATCATCTGATTCTTTTTGCTTTTCTTTTCTCTTTAATCAGATTCCAATCTCAGCACCCACTTCTACTAACAATCACAATAACAATCATCTTTCAACTTTCAATCCACTCTTACCTCCTGCAATCCCTTTAGCCGTTCGATCACCTTGTCAGTCACTCTCATCACCATCCATTCTCACTAAAAACAAACTAATCTCTACACTTTTCCATTCCAGATCTCTCAGCTTGGTTAGCAACTGGTGCTGAAGGTGGCAATGGAGGTTATCTTACCGGTCGATGGGCTCAATTCTGGCCGATCCAATTCCCTCAAAACCCAAATGCTTATAGGTTAGGATGGACAGGTTTGATCCGAATCAATGGGACCACCTATCAATTCTTAGGAAACCCAAACGAATCAATCAACCCAACCGATCAATTCAAAACGGCCACCCAACTCTCATTTAATTATACATCTACACGTTCGATGTTTGAATTCCAAGCAGGAGATCTAACCTTTTTGGTAGACTTCTTGAGTCCTCCTGGTCCTCCTGGTGATCTTTTACGTCAAAGTTTACCTTTTACTTATCTTTCGATTCAACTTACTTCTTCAACAACTTCGGATTCTTCGATTGAGGTTTATACTGATATTCAAGCGGATTGGGCTTCTGGTGATCATCAGGCTAATGTGACTTGGTCTTTAAACCAATCTAAATCTTTGAGTTCTTTTCATGTTTCGAGATTGAATCCTTTAGTGTTTAGTGAAGAATATGAGTATGCTGAATGGGGTGAAGCAATCTATTCGACTGCTTCTGTGAGTCTTTTTTCGATCATTCTTTCTTATTTGAAACTATAATCGAGTTGACTTTTTGTTTTCATCAGACTTCCGATCTCACTACCGCTTCTGGTTTCGGTCCTACACTTCGAACACATTTTTCAAAGAATGGAAACCTAGACTCAACTCAAGACAAAGAGTTTCGTAAGATTGAAGATCGAACACCTTCTTTTGGATTTGCAACCAAGCTACTAGCAGGAAACTCTCCATTAGTCTTTACGATCGGACACGTTCGAGATCCTTATGTATCATACATTCTCGATCCTAAACCTAGATCAGCTTACTGGACAAGTATATTTAAACAAACCGATGAATTACTCGAATTTGTGTATCATGATTTCGAAAAGGCTTTTAAAGATTCAGTTAGTTTAGATACCAAAGTTTATAATGATGCGATCAAAACTTCGGGTGAGAATTATGCGGCGATCGTGTCGCTTAGTTTTCGTCAAGGTCTTGGGGCTATTGAGATTACACTTGGAAGAAATAATCTCACGGGTGAAGTCGATCAGAAGGATGTGAAAATCTTTTCAAAGGAGATTTCTAGTAATGGGGATATGAGTGTAAGTGAAGATTGATTTGATTTTTTGGTCATGGTTGTGTTGACTGAAAACTTACTTTTTGGTTTTGGTTTTGATTTGCTTGATATTTAGACTGTTGATGTTATCTTTCGTACGTCTCACAAGATCTCGCTATTTGTTGCAAATTAGTAGCTAATTCCATTCATCTTGACTCTTGTAGCTCAATTTCCTATCTTGACCTATTACGATCCTGTATTATTAAAATACTTGCTCGAACCTCTCTTTGAGTATAGCGAGAGTGGTTTGTACCCAAACAAATGGTACGCTTCAAACCCATTATTCACAAGATCGATTATTTTCTGACCTCTTTCTTGGGTCTCATCAGGACTGTTCACGATCTTGGAAGGTACCCGAGTTAGTAGACCTATTCCAAAGTGATCGCTTGAATCTAATTAACTCAATGTAATGGTTGTGAATCAGATGCTACTGCTCATAATGATGGTAATGATGAAGCGATGCCAGTTGAAGAAGCCGGAAACTTCCTCATCATGACCTTAGTAAGTGACACCCTCGAACCGAACCACCCCAATGTACGAATCTGACATCTTTCATTGATGATAAAACCGTACTAGGCATATCATCAATTAACAAAAGACACAGAATGGCTTCAAAAACATCACAAGATCTTAAGCCAATGGACCTCCTTCTTAATCAGTGACGGATTAATTCCAGCCAGTCAACTTTCAACAGACGATTTTGCAGGCAAGTTGGCTAATCAAACTGATTTGGCTTTAAAAGCTATCATTGGAATCGGTGCTATGTCTGAAATATCGGTTCAGATTGGGGATGGCCAAGAAGGAAATCGGTTGAGGGAAATCGCAGAGGATTATGTGGGGAAATGGATTGATTTTTCGGTGGCTAGGGATAGGAGTCATACTAAACTTGCGTATCAGGATGAGAATTCTTGGGGTACTCTTTATAATTTGTTTGCAGTAAGTTTGATTTTCTTGGTTTTGAATGAGTCATGTTTTTTTGGTTTGAGGGATTGATGGATTGATGGTTTTGGTTTTGGTTTTGGTCTGGTTTGGGGTAGGATCGGTTGTTGAACTTGAGACTCGTACCTCAAACTATTTATGAAATGCAGTCTAGTTTTTACCCTTTAGTAGCAAACGAATATGGTGTACCACTCGATTCTAGACACACAGTTGAGTCTGAATTTTGTCCTGTTTTCCATTTCTTTTGAAATTTATGTTGACTGATGACTGGGACGATTTGATTTTTTTTTTGGATTTTTTTGGGGGGGATTTTTAGTGGGCTAAGACTGATTGGGAAATGTTTGCGGCTGGAGCTGCTACGAGTGTTAAAGATCGAGATTTGTTTGTGGATTGTTTGGTTAAGTATTTAAAGGCTAATATTGTGAATGCAGGATTTCCTGAGTAAGTTTTTTTTGTTTTCTTTCTTGTTATGAAATTGGAGTTTGTTGATTTCTTTTTTTTGGGGGGGGGGATTTTAGTTTGTATGAAACTCAAACTGCTCAATTTCCTGGAAGATCGAATACTTCTACTTGGAGAATCGAATTTATTAATAGACCAGTAGTAGGGTAAGCATTCTTTTATTAACAAGATTTTTGATAAACTTTTTGTAAGATTTCTTCTGAATCCAATCTTTTGGTTTTATTTTCTTTTTTCAAGGGGTCATTTTTCACTTTTAGCATTAGATAAAGCCAAAGAGATCAATGGATTAAAAGAACATGAATTCTTTCCTAAAAAAAATTCGCATTGGAGGTATGTTGGTTTATGGGAAAGGATTTGTTTTTTATGGAACTTGTTGAGCAAGATGGTTTTGAGTCATCAAGTAAAACAAAACAATATTAACTTTTGATTTTTTCCCTTTTTTTCCTTTTTTTTTCTTTTTCGACTTTTTTTTTTGGTTTTGTTTTTCGATTTTTTTTTGGTTTTTGGTTTTTGGTTTTTATAGTTGAAGCATTATGTGGAGAGGTTTGTAAAGATTTAGTTTTTGTGGTCTTCTTTGGGATTTAGGAATTGTTTTTTTTTGTATTTGGAAGTCGAATGTACAATTTTTTAGTTATGATCTTTGATTGGATTGGATTGGATTGGATTAGAGAAGATTGGATTAGAGAAGGAGAAGATTGAATAGGTTTGAAGTTTTAGCATGCAAAGAAATTGGAATCGTTATTTTGAAATAATCTTCGATTTAGATCTTGAGAGAAAATCTTTTTTCTGAAAACAAGGGATTGATGAGTGTGATATGACTATGTCACCATTTGTGATTTGGACCAATGGGAAGCATACCATTTTGATTCCTAGTTTTGATCATTTTTCATCATGGTATTGGAGAATTCCATTATCATTGGAAATAATCTTTTTATAAGCTTTACAATAAGGATTTCGGAAATCATCTTAAATATCAATGTTTCACTATGATGTCTGTACCCTAAACAAATTACAATACTCAGCACATCACTCACACTTGTTGTTCTCAGCATCATCCTTAGGATCTCTGTGGATGAGTTGAGCTAACATTTCATTTCATGTGACTGGAACTCATCTCTTTGCTCATTGAATGTTTAGCCAAAAACATGTTCGATATAAACTTCTCTTTCTCATGTTTTTGTTTTCTTTTTGTGTGCAAGAATTTCGTTATGATCTATTGAATTATATGTTTTTCAAAAACATCATCTGTACTTCTTAAGCATCTCATCTCTTGTCTACAGACTCGCCCTTGACACTAGAGCACACAAGTTAGGAAACGGAAAGGTGGAACAAAGAACCCTTTCCTGATGTGGCTCTAGGCAAGTTATATACAAGAGTCATCATGTAATATGCATGTGACAAGAAAAAGGATCATGAGGATCTGTTGAGTAGAAAAGATCACTTGATAGATGAGAGATACATAAATAGAAAGCACATCATAAGATTAACAATCTAAGGAATATAGCGTGGTTAGCATATTATCGACATAAGTATCTTAACATGGGTATCGCCTTGTGTGATCTGAAGGAAAAGACTTTGAGGCAGTGCCCATATACGTGTTCTGAGTTCGCTTTGACCTGTTATTCAAATGGCATCAGAGATAAATGAGAATGATACAGCGTGGTCGCTATATTGTTATCGACATAAGTATTCCAACACGTTATTGCCTTGTGTGATCTGAAGGAGGAGACTGTTGAGGCAGTGCCCTACATACATATACCGTATACGTGTTCTGGGTTCGCTTTGACCTGTTATTCAAATGAGATCAGAGATAAATGGCAATGTAGAAGATAACTCTGAATTTGCTCTCAGGTAGACCTCGTGACGGGTTGATGTTGAGAATGAACATTGGATCAGTGAGTACAACATCAGCATCCTAATTATAGCGGGATCATCCCGGTATTTAGTTATGCCATTTGATCAGAAACAGTGGATTTCATGCCGATTGAGACATCGAAGAAAGTACAGGTGATGTTCAAATCATAATTGACGCCAACACTAGACAGTCTCATTAACCAAATCTTTTTAAACCGTGTATGAAGGATGAATGAATGATGTGAGATCATTTGTTCTTTTTTCAGCATTCCAATCACAATGCGGTGCACCATTTTTCTTTTTTATGCGTGTTCTCTGCACCAATCAAAGCTATAAAGAGCTTATCAGCATTTCTTTGCACCATCACTCACAAACTTCCACTAAAAGTTCATCTCTTATACGATCATATACGAACAAAACAACTTCACTGCTCTTTGCCTATATCATTACAAACCTTCTCTGTTCTCCTCCAACTTCTTGTTCTCAATACCAAAGCTACAGATTAGCCAACTCATGTTTTCCAAGCTCCTTTCCATGATTGCCATTTTGGCAGTCTTGTACCTCCAACAAGCGGCATGCCTCCCCAACCCCCAGTACCAGTACCCCCCGTACGCTCCTCCTACTCAAGGGGGATACTATCCACCTATATCCACACAACCTATCTTTCCACCTGCGCCGCCACCCCGAACTGCATCGCCCAGTTGGCAATCCAAATTACGTTGCTCGGGTCAATACAATGGACTTGACTATAATGACTGTCAAAAGTGAGTACTCTCTGATATTGTTTAGAGATTGATTTCGGGGAAGCAGTCTTGCTGATGTGTAGTGATTATCTGGATACGATTTTAGTGCTTTCAAGGGACTTATTGATCAGTCTTTCCCTGGAGGTCAATGGATCAGCAGTCCAAATACTCTGAAAACCTCTCGTTTTGGGACCTGCAAGGTTTGTATTTGAAACACATCATGATTTGGTTCGTTTGCTTACGCATAGCTTTGATATCCTAGGCGACAGTCTCCTGTGATAATCGTCCCATTTCTGTGTCAGGCCTCCCACTCTTTTCTATGGCCATACAGTTCTTTGCGACGTCTTGCTGATATGCATCTGTATCTCCATATACAGTGACGCCGGTGTCCTCTATTATGATACGAATCAACAAGGTGGTGCCTTTGCGCTACTTAACCGTTGCGTTTCAAGAGGACAGGTAAGTTCATATTTGTACTTGCTGGATGGATATGAAATTCACGTATATTTTGCTTCTTGCAGTCCGCTTGGGCGGTTATTGAAAATGCCTGCTCGGTTGCCTTTGAACCTAGCTCCTCGCAAAACTGGCAGCGACTTCAATCCTTTTAGATCCTGAGCAAATTATCCCTTGTTGCCATGCGAGCATGCAATTGTTTTTGTTTACTTCCTCTCGGGTTTTTGTTTGTTTTAATGAGTAGAGTCTGAGAGAGTTTTGGATAACTTGTTTGTTGAACTTGCATGCATATGTCTCCTTTATGTTTACGATGGACATCTTTATATGATAGCCTCTTCTCTGAAGTGGATGTTGTGAAACCTAATGATGACAATGTTCACGAATTTTTCGACTTTTCAAATGATTTGACCAATTATTCCAACACATTGTGATTTCTGGGTTGTAGTCGAAGCACAAAACTTTGACAGCACATAGCCCAACCTTTTACACGGCGAGATTCACTAACGCCGACAGATTGCAAGATCAGAACCCATTGAAAACCTAGGACGCGATGAGCGAACGCGTGTCTACGTAGAATTTTCTGTGAGCTCTCACTTTCGAGCGAGCTTTTTTGGTTTCTTTCAGCCTTGTACGAGAAATCGATCAAACATCTAATAATTTAAAGACAAATTCCATATGAGATGATGTATTGCTACTGTCGAGAATTCTTACCTCGAGGTTTTCTATTTAAAGCATCTTGGTCTATGGGCCGTCACATTGGCAGGCTTTACAAGCAGTCACGAGCTTGGTGTCAATTTGAAGGCGAACATGGTCAGGTAAGCTTCTGACGCGGCCACGTCCGGCGTGTGAATGTGGTCTGATGTTGAACCGATTGCAAACCTCGCAGTTGAACCCAAATCGGAGTATAAAAACAGAGGAAATCATCAGAATCACGGTCAATTCTTCAACCCCCATTACTTCAGTACGACTTGATTTTTACGCAAAGCTAGAGCTCAACATCTTTTCTCTGTTCTTCAGTTTTACGTCCTATCTAAATCCAAGAATACTGTTATCTCGACCAACTTCTTAACCAAACTATCCATCTAAACATGCTTCTATCTTCCAAGTTGAGTGTCCTGATTGCCATTTTGGCAGTGTTGCATCTTCAGCAAGCAGCATGCCTCTCGGACAAAGAGACCGATCACATTTCCAAACGTTCCAAGTCCGACCAAAGCCATGTGATTGAATTAAAGAAAGAGAAATCAGATGAACTCAAACACAAAGCAGAACATCTCAAACACGAAGCCGAACAACTTAAGCACGAAGCAAAGAAAGAGAAATCAAATGAACTCAAACACCAAGCAGAACACCTCAAGCACGAAGCCGAAGAACTTGAGCACGAAGCCAAGCGAATCAAAGAACAAGAGAAACATGATCGCCAGCGTATGAAAGAACAAGAGAAACACGATCGCCAGCGTAAGAAAGAACAAGAAAAGCTCGAAAGGCAGTGGAAGACAGAACATCCAGAACACTCTCACCCCGTTGTATTACCGGTCCTCCCAAGCCCACCGACTAACTGGTATCCTCCAAGCCAACCAATCTACCCACCATACCATCCATCCGACCCACCATTCTGGAATCCTAAACCTTCCAACTGGCACTCCAGAAATTACTGCTCTGGTACATATGATGAGCTTACCGTTGATGACTGCCAACAGTGGGTAATTCATTTGGTTTTATAGAGATGGGTATGTAGGAATGCAGGTTTTTTGATGTATCCTTGATCTATCTTTACAGTGCATTCAATGGACTTATTGATTATTCTTGGGTCGGATCCAGCCAATGGATCAGTAGCTCAAATCGTTTGAAAACCTCTCGTCATGGGGATTGCAAGGTCGGTTTTTAAATGCAGCGTGTCTTTGATTGATTGCTGATGCAAAGCGTCTAAATATTAGGCATCCGTCACGTGTAGTGGTGATTATCAATTTGCCGTGTAAGGACCTCCATCCTTTGCTACGGTTCATATATGCGATCTTTCCCCTGGATTTGACGCTGACATATGGTTGTGCGTACATATACAGTTCGGCCAGTGAGCTTTATAATGATATGAACGGACGGGGAGGTGCCCACGCTTTACTTAAGAATTGCGTCAGACATGGATACGTGAGTCAATGATTATCGTCGCTAGACTTCTCAACCAGCAACTTATTTACTTTCTTCTTCTTGTAGTCCGGATGGTCAACTATTCAAAATGGCTGCTCGGTTTCCTTCGAACGCAGTCACTCACCGCGCCCGCAAGGATGGTGGTAGATCCTGGACCAAGTATTCTATGTCACGCGAGCTCGCAAACTTCTTGATACTTTTACTCTTGCTTTTCTTATCAAATAGAGATATCTTTGCTTCACTTCTTGTACACTGTTTTCTGCGATGTTGATGACATAATGATGATGTTCATGATTTTGTGGTTCAGAATCACACTAAATATGAGATAAATCGATTTTTGATATGTGGTTCCAAATGCAAGGACCGCCTCCAAAGCACATTGCAGCTGTCTAACCTCTGCTCCTTGAAGGGATTTTTCAATATCCTCAATTGTACTTCCATTGAACATGAGTGCATACCACATATAATTCTTATAATTCTGCTTTCACATCTTTCTTATCAGAATAGTTAGCATTTAATGTCATAATGGAGTGCGCTTAAATATCTAAGAAGGCCATTCCGGATGATGACTCGTTTTCTTGGCGCCTAAAACTGACATGTGTGTATCACGAGTTCGCGTAGGTTCGTGCAGTGCCTTTGAGTGAGGCGATTGGAATGCAATGGATTCCCTTTGTCTTGAATTTTGAGTAAACTTGGTTAACGTTCGAGTCCAGACCATTCAATCGACCTGGTTTCCATGCCGTTCTAGTCAGGTTGATTTGGAGTCCGGCGTGCAATCCTACGTGATGTGGTCTTAATAAACCAGGAAAGCGCCCTCGAAGTCTTCCAAAAAAATGGGTGTCTGCTCAACAAGAGTGTGTTGAACAAGTGTTCCGTCATGAAGTGTGAACGAAGGCCAAAAAATGAAGTTGAGGGTATCATGTATTACGTCGGTCACAAAGCAACTTCAAAAGCCGTCGGTTTCCTGATGCATAGCACGTTACCTATATGACTTCCCTATCAACAGATTTCTTCTCTCTTTGTGCTCCCGTTTCTTGTGAAAGAGAGCTTAAGTGAAGCAATTTGTGGTTTTTAGCACAGTTCACTCACACTATCAGACGTGCTTCAATCGTTGAAAAGTTAACTCGGATCTCTTCTCTACATCAATAACACCGAATAGCGAATCATATCTCCTTCAAACACTCGTGAAGAAGAATAACACTGGATTTCGGCATCTTTCATTATCTTCAAATTCACCTGATCTTAAAACTTCACCAAAAAAGAATCAAATGTCAACTTTGGACGTAGCCTTTGGGCTTGCAGTCCCCCTAACGTGAGTCCAAAAAATCCAAGCTATCGATAATCTTACTGACAAACTATCCCTAAATATATATAGTGCAATAGCTATGGGAGTATGTTGGGATAAAGCTCATGATTGTTCAAGTGAAAGAAGCATCGTCACGATTTTCAAAATTTACTCAGTCGCCTTTCTCGGTGGCGTTTCATTAATCTTGATGACTCTTCATAATTGTGCTGCAGTTACTACTGCTAAGAGGATTGGACCGGGTTCGTATCCAATTTGAGATCTTCATCTTGAAAGACCATATATAATTGGGTCAAACCATAAGACTTACGGTTTTTATGATTTTGTCTATTTTACTTTTTCTAGAATTGAGTCCAATGTCAAAGCGTCTATCAGAAATACCCCTACCATTCTTCATTGCGTAAGATATTTTTGCCTCACTTATAAACCTTATATAAGCATCCATCTGAATGTAATCTAATCCTCACTATTATTTTAATAGGTGTGCACAATTATCAGTTAATTTTACTTTCTTACAATTCATCTACAAGCGAACTAAAAGTAAAGTGACTGCAAGTCTTGGTGGTGGACTTAGTTTGATTAGCTTTTTAGCTGGATTTGCTCTTACCATCATCAATGGTAAGTAAAAAACTCAACTCATATCTTTCGGCTTCCGAACATCCAAAAGCTTTTGAAAGATTGACCAAAAATCACTTGAAATGAAACTTTTGAATTGATAAATCAAAGTTGTCAAACAAAACGAACGGATGGCTAAAAGGGCAGCTGGAAGAAGAGTTAATTTCTCTTCAATAGCTGTTTATGATGACTTTTTTAGAGTGACTTGGTTATTTTCTGCCTTGTTGGTCAATGCATGGGTTTGTGGAATGACATGTCTTTATCGGTTCAAGTTTGATGGAAGTGGTACTCATCTCATAGGTGAAAGGTCAGCACTCATCGTCCTAAAAAGAAACCAATATATTTCTAGAAATAGAACCAAGTCTTACACTATCAACTAAACTGATTCTTTCTTCTTCTCACCTTAACATGTTTTGCTCATCTTTAAATCCGCTAGAAGCAAGTGGTTAACAAATGCCGGTTTGATTTTGTTTGAAACTTCATTGTTAAACTTTATCTTATCATTCATACTAGCACTCATCTCAACTAAAGCTCCACACCGTGAAACCTTACCTGGAGACTCATCAGTACTAGGTGCCTACATTTTCTTCAAGTTGATCTTGATTCCTTCCCTGATCATCACAATTAGTAAGTTTTTTTCTTTTTACGAAACTAAACCTTTTCAAAACTCAATTCATCAATCTTCTTTCTTTTCTTTCTTCTTCACTATAGCTTGGACTCTTGAGAAAAAGCTTCCCTTGGCTCCATCCCAATCATCTGAATTCAAAATCGAATTTAATCCGATCCAGTGGTCTGATAAACCATTGGCACCAGCTCAAAAACCATCTATCACCTCATCACAATCCAAGAAAGCTCGACACATTTCAGTTCATACTACCACTAGTCAAACAATATGGGGTTGATTTTTTAAAACTAATCTAACAACTGTCTTTCTGGTTAAAGATGGTTTAAGGAGGCATTTTTTTTTTCTTTTGACTTGATTGACTTTGAGTTTGATCCATTTTGTAAATAATCTTCTTTTGTTATCCAAAATGTTTACTTATGTACATTTATATTAAAGTAATACATTGTAGTAGTACGAAGCCCATTTCTTCTTTGAATGAAATTTATCAAAGCTTTTCTCATTTGATCACCAGGGTCATGAGACCTGAGATGATGTGAAATCATTGTGATGTGTTCAATCAAGTATATATCAAGACTCAATGTGCTATTATAACATGTCATTGATTCTGCCATGTGCATATAATCATGATGATGCTTCTATCAAAATATTATTTGTCAATGTCAACACCCCAAGTTCTCTTCTCAAGCCACCGAAGCTTTGATATAGCTCAACTATACATAACTCTATCCCAGTAAGACTTGGTAAAAGTTCTTTCAGGTTTTTTTTAGCTGTCTTGATCAAGATGAACACAGAATAACTGATCATCTCTTAGGGCACGTTCACTTAAGGAACTTCTGACCAGAAATCACATTCTGTAAAATTTTTAATGCAAAAATGAAACATACACCACCAAATAGACACTTTAAATTTTGCAGAATATGATTTCTCACCAGAAATTGCTCAAGTGAACGTGCCCTTAGTACTCTTCAACCTTGTCCACCAGGCTTCCAGTTCCAAAATAACCCAGAAAAACTCTGTCATGTTTTCTCCTCATACTCAAACACAAATATTACATGATCAAAAAGTAATCCAACTTTAGATTACAAACCACTTCGATTCCTTTGAATGATTCAATAATATAAAAATGTAATAAATACCTATCCCATGTATTTCCCAAAAAAACACCCCATATATAACCGCATACCATAAAGAAAACTAATTTCACAATTCAAACATATCCATCCATCTATCCATCCATCCATAATAAAAAAAACATAACAAAAAAGGAAAATAAAATAAAAAATCAACCTGAAAAAAAGGAAATTCTATTATAAAAAATCTTAACTAAAACGCTATAAAAAGAAAAATATATCAACGAAAAAAAAAGAATTCATATGCGAAAAACAAAAAAAAAGAAAGATACACGTTTGTTTTTCTCTTTTTCTCCATGATTTAATAAACATATTTAAATATTTCTTCTTATAAATAAACAACTTCTTCCAAAATGCAAAAAAAAACAAAAAGATAATGGTTTTTTTCCTTTTTGCAAAAATTCCAAATGAAAAAAACCCTTCTTCTTTCATCTTACACTTTCACCCATAAATTCACCAGTCGGATTATAAGTAAACCCACTATGTATAAAAAAAGATCAGAAAAAAACCAAGAATCAAAACCTCAAGTTCTTCAAAAAAGAAAATCAAATGAAACACTAACATAAATTGTTGTTGAACAGTTTCACTAAGATGTGAATCTTCAACCACAGAATCCATAGGAGCCTCACTAAAAAACCCAAAAAGAACCAATCAGTCTTCAACCCCACCTCAAACCAAAACCCAAAAAACCCCCGCAGATGTCTTTCCACAAACCTAGTGAATTCACTATCAAAATTACTAGTATCAATCGCACTTTCCACACTAGGTTTAAACGAAGGCGTATACTGTTTCAAGACCAATCTTTTCCAATCAATCTTAGCAAAGAACCCATGCTTCTTAATTTCTTCGGCTCCATTGTTACCTAACCTTTGAGCCGGGTTTCGGGTTAATAATCCGCTCAGTAATGATCTTGCTTCTGATTTGATCTCGTCTCCAAACTTTAATGGGTTTGATAAAATCTTTCGATACATTTCTGTGAACCCCACAAACGGTTGAGGGTTAGATTTTCCAAGTTACAGAGACGGGTTAGCAAAACGAGGAGAATGTGTTGGACGTACCATTGACGTTTTCATCATAGTAGCTAGAGAAATCAATGGATCAGAAACGTAAATCGATCAGATAAACATACAGCCCGATCCACTCACGGTGGTAAACCCGATAACATCTCATAGATCAAAACCCCAAGAGTCCACCAATCCACCGTTTTAGAGTACCCATTCCCAAGTAACAACTCAGGTGAAAGATACTCCGGCGTACCACAAAAAGCTTTCATATGGAAATCCTTCCATCAGTTTTTGTTGGCTGAGGGCGATGAGAGATCAATGAATGGCACTCAACTGTTGGTTTTTTCAGATTCACTCATGTTTAATTTACATAAACCGAAATCACATAAAGCGATATGACCCGTATAATCAAGTAAGATATTCTCAGGTTTCAAATCACTGATTTCCAAAAAGAAAATGAAAAAAAAAATCCAAATTAAGATTCTATTCAACACTTGGCTCAAAAGAAGAAGAAAAACCGTACCGGTAAATCACATCATAGGCATGTAAATGTTCTAATGCACATAAAAGTTCAGCCGCATAAAGCCGAGCACGTTCTTCACTAAACCTTCCTTCTTTTTGTAAATGATGAAAGAGTTCACCCCCATTAATACATCTATAGCCCAAAAAGTTTCAAATCAGTCATCCCACTTCATCTGAATAATAAAAGACAAGAAGACAAACTCACGACAAAACCAAATAAAGTTTTTCAGCATTCTGAAAGCTAAACTTAAGCGGAACGATAAACGGATTATTAACCTGACCCAAAACCGTTCGTTCAGCCAAAGTATGAGTCACTTCAGAACGTGAGACGATATGAGCCTTTCGAATGGTTTTCATCGCATAGATCCGACCGGTATCTTTTTTTCGAACTTGCATCACTTTTCCAAACGATCCTTTTCCAATCACTTGTAATAATTCAAATGAATCGATCGTAAGTGGTATGTTTTGTGAAGGTTTGAAAGCTACTTGTAAATGGAATTGACTGGCTGATCCGCCTGATCCTGATGTTGCACTATACCATCTATCAGAAACAGACTAAAGCCGAAGAAAACATTAAAATCAGTTGGGATGGGTCAAAGAGGAAAAGAGATTCAAGGTGCTTTACCTGATCAAAGGTGGGTAAGAAAGAAAGTCCTCCTAAAAAGATATCATCACCCATTTCACTCTTTTGACTCAAGTTAGGTGCAGTACGTAAGTAGGAAGATAAAGTGATCTCCGAAGTTCTTGATACATCGAAATCAGCTTTATACATCCAAACTGGACAATCAATCGTTCCACCCAACGCTTCTACCAAAACTTCATTCTTATCAAAACCCAAGACGAGATCTAAACAAAATCGAGAACGAAAAAAAAAGGTGAGTGAAGGAAAACCCAATCAAGATTCGATGGATGACGTCAAAGCAAAAAAAGAAGACTTACAAGGTAACCACCAACTCTGTTTACGTTGTACACTATCTCTATTACTTCGTTTGACTGAACCATTAGTCAAACTTCCTACTGTAAGACTTCCTACATGAGGGTTTTGATGGATAGCTCTTTGGATTTCTTCCGGAATGGTGATTCCAGCTGGTACAGAAAGACCTTTAGCTTCAATGATTCGAATCGTCAAGGTCCCATTACCTTGTTGTTGTACTTGAGTATGAGACGTTGGAGTTGATTGTCGATGGGTTTGGATCGAACCGGCTGGTGAGGATGGGGTGATTGAACCTGATCCGGAACTTGGGGCTTGTCGATGAGAAGTAGCTACATCTTTGATTTCTAAAGTATCACAACAGCCAAGATAGGAAGAAGGTCAGGTTTGTATAATAAGAAATCAAAGGTGGAAAAGTAGAAAATTTAAATTGTATTGAGAAATTGACAGATGATCATTCGGGTTCAAGATAGAAATCGAAATGAATTGTATGAGAAGAAAGAAATTCAAATCGAAGAAAGGCGCGAGATTACGAGCCCAAAGAATCATCTCTTTCTCTCTCTTGACTGTTGAGTGAGTTGATAAGTGATCGGGTGAATTGAAGATCATTTGATACTCAATCTTCCATCCATAAACACTTTGAAAAGGTTTGATATGGATATCTCCAAGGATAAAAGTGAGAAGAGTAGACAGGATAGATAAATTGAAAGTGCTTACTTTTTCCAAGTTTCCAGGATGAACTCATGATGAATTTGATTTGATGTTGAAGTTGATTGGATGGTTTGGTATGGTTTGGTTTGGTTTTAAGAAAGTGATAAGTTTGAAAGTGAAGTTCAGTTAAGCAAGGAACAAACAAGTTAAAGAAAATCAGTTGAAAGTTTAAAATTCAGTTGGGAAATTGGATTATGTCAGCTCTATTAACTACAGTTCAACTTCAACTGATTCACTCTTCATGCCATTACTAGCTCTTCACTACATAATTAGCTTTCATTCTCATCATCATCATCATCATCATCTCTCTCATATCACACATCAAAACTACCCATCAAAACAACTATCATATCATCAATTCAAAAGGTAAAGTATTACATGGATTGTGACAAAATGTATCCATTTAGGTTTTGGTTTTACATCCAAACTTGGGGTTTTAACATCCAAACACTAAATAAGTCTTGGGAATTGAAAAACAACACCAGTCTGAAACCTTTCTTGAAACTGAGTCTCCTAATTAGACTTCATAGGAAACAAGAGATTGTGTTAAATACAATAGGGTTTTCCACAGGAAAATTGCCTCTTGTTTCTTGTGTCTGGAACTTGAAGGTTTACAGCTCATACAAGTATCATCAACAGAACCCAAACAACTGGAAGAAATTCTTAAAGCCTTCATAGATCTCCTAAGAGCTGTGCCACCAACACCAGGTAAAACAGCCTCAATCAAGAGGCTTTCACAGCCTGTCAGTGGCTAGCTGTGGGAGAGAAAACTTGTGGCTGCCACCCATGGCATGCACACTGGATTCCCGTGTGCCCAATTGGTTTAAACCCTGGACAAGTGGTATCAATGTTGAGTCTGATAGGAAACAAAAATGTCAGGAGGACTTCATCAATGCTGTATTGGTTGAATATGAAGTCAAAAATGTTGTTATTGACATTAAAATCAGTCTTGCATTTTTCAATTTTGGTTTGTTTCATCCAGCCAACAAAAATTGGAAAAATGCAAGATGTCCATGTGAATATGTCAAGTTAGAGCATCTCCAACAGCACCTTGTAAACATAACCATACATAAGGTGTATTGTATGTTTACAGGGTCAGGTCAAAAAATGACCATCCAACAGTAGGAAGCTTTCTCACATCTGGCCATGTGTGTGAATTTTGTTTTGAGGAATACCAGATATCACATGTCAGCACCTTCATATATGAGAGGGTCTCACACAAGATGCAACACATAGTATTTGGCAGGTTTTGGACACAATGATACCATGTTTGTCTAATGATAAATACAATAACCAAAAGAAATTACATATCAAGTGGATAGTCAATGAGAAATCATTCAACCTTCAAAAGGTCAATATTGTGTGCTTTTGGTGGTTTTGGCAGGAGCACGACCTTGGGAGTCCCTGCATCATGTGTGTAGTGGAGGGAAACCATTTTGATGAAAACATACAACTTACTGTATGTTTTCAGACATGCCTGTATGCCTTTTTGTGATTCAGGACCATTGGAGATGCTCTTATAAGACCCAGAGGCTTGGGTCTGTAAGGTAAAATGTCAAATTCTTGATGTTTTCTCTCATCATACATAGAATTGGTGGTAATGCACTGAGGTTGGTTTTGGAAATTGACATTTTTCTTTGAAAGCTTCACACCCAGAATTGACAGCAGTAAATAAGGTTTGGGCAAACTGCAGGCCCAAAAAAGGACAGTTGTGATTCAGTCAAACTGGACAGATAGTTAATAACAATTGATCCCTTGGCAGTTTAAAAGACCAAAAACACCACAATGTTAGTATTATTTTGAAAAGAAGCTGAGAACTGTTGGGTAGTGAATTGCTTGAGTTGTGCAAACTCCCTACAATCTGAAATCCTTGCAGGTCATTTCCACATAAAAACCAGAACTTTCCTGAAGAGACCACAGCAGAAGATGTACTAATGCCACCTTTCATGTGCTTGGTCTTTACAACAGGTTTTATGTTGGGAGGAAATCACAACAAACTTGCAAGGGGTTGGCAAAATCTGTGACATTATCGTGCTTGGAGAGCTTTGGCAGGATTTTTAACTTGACAAGCCGGTTGATCAACTTTGTTGCCCAATCCCTGATGTGTTCCTTGTTGGGAACAATCCCTAGGCTCAGAACAGGATTGGGAGTAGAGTGGGTCATCAAATCATCATGCACAGTACATCTGAGCCATGAAGTACATGCTACATATGTGCAAAGGAGAGCACTATTTGGCGCCCGGTTTCAAAAGCCCGAAGCCCGGTTTTCGGATAGTAGGCCGGGCTGTACGTCTTTGCAGCCCGGTCTGGGTTGAAACCGGGCTGCCTCAACTTTTGTTTCTCTTTTTGCCATCTTTATATCAATGTCTCAATTTTTATGCAAACAGGTTTACACTTTGAGTCCCAAGATAATGAATCTCGAAGTGCACTTGTCAAAAAGCCCCACCAAATGGCTTCATTCTTTGGCTAATCATTCGGGCTAATTTTCATTGATTTGATTGCATAGTCTGAGTCGTACTAAACGTTCCACAATCTTTCTGACCCTATACACACGTTGATATAGCTTCATAAAGTGAGAGACTCTGATAATTTGGATCCATCACAAGAAGATGTATGAGGATTTGGTTGCCAGATGCAAGAAAAACAATCGCCCAAGAGTGGAACGATTGGGCATAGATTGATGGGTATTGAACGGTCAGCACTTGTTTCATTGATAGAGAAGAGATGAGGAAAAATGACAACAAGAACTTACCATTTTCAGATGTGGTGTATTGGGTGGTTTGAGGCTTGTCGAGATTGGGATGGTACTTGTCAACTTCGAGATGAAGGTGAGCGTCAGGCGAGGTCAGGCAACAATTTGTATTGGGTCGATCGAGAGCTCACAGCTCGGTTTCAGGAAATCGGGTTGACTTCAGCAGCCCGTTTTTATGGTTTCACAGCCCGGTTTGTGAAAATCGGGCTGTTGGAGAGCGTTGCGCCCGGAAAAGACTGCGGCTGCGGCAAAATATGGCTTAGTCGGGTCCGGGTGTGCGCGGAATCCGCGGGTAAAGCCCCAAAGAAAACCGGGTGTCGGGTTCTTTAAACCGGGCGCCAAATAGTGCTGTCCATGTGCAAACACCTGGGTACATCCTTAGCTCTTAGGTACATACAGGTCCGCTCAGTTATCTGCTCATCTGGATAAGCAAATCACATGTATTAGGCCCCGTTTGGGAGCGGTTATTTTACCGCGGTATTTTCGTAATTGCATCAATACCACAGTGGTATGATCTTACCACGTTTGGTACCTTATTTTGCTGCAGTATTGTACCACAGTATTTAGACAATAATCTGACAATACTGTGGTATTGCGATAATTGACAAAAAGCTGTTTATGAAAAATAAATCCGCACGGTGAAAGGGGACTTCGTCAAATTTGATCTCTTCCCCTTCCCTTTGTAATTCATTGGCTCCTTCCATCCGTTCGATTACAAAACTCACTATCAACCCATCTTCAACACCTTCACACTTCAAGATGAAGACAACCACGAGTTCAATATTAGTTTGTCAATCGACCTCATCGCACTGTACCTTTATCACTTCTTCCTTCAATCCACCGTTCCCTCAATCAATCTCGTCGCTTCTCAAATTCTGTCACTCGCTTTGATAACCTTGTTTCTCCTTCAATCAATCTCATGAATATCAAAGGATATGTATCTTTTCAAATTCGCTAACAATATGAAAAAGATGATCAAGATGATTCCTTGACGAGAGAAAAGTTCCAGTTGATTGGTGATGAGGTTCACAACTTTTGATGAGTTACGATGACCGAGCAAGTGAATTAATGATGAAAGATTGTTAAGTCTGTTTGAGTGTGGATCGAGAACAAACGATGTCAGAGGTTTTGTGGGTATACATACATACATACCACAGTCAGGAGAAAATCAGCGCGAGTGGTGTTGAATTGCCAAACGATTATGACCAAAAACAGAGATTATAACTGTACCACACTACAAGTGCGGGTTTTCATCTCTACTGCATTATTGGGGCCAAAAATGCAGTACACTTTTGCAGTACATTACACTTTGTCACCGCTCCCAAACGGGGCCTTAGTAATACATTCTGTAATATTGTTCATATTGTGACAAGCATTGCAAAAAATTAAACCACATATATCACAATGGCTACTTGGGAAATATTAATGAAAGCAGTTTGACAGCAAAAATAAGGGAATCTGTTCTCTAGGACGATGTTCCCATCTGGTAACCTCTTTGATGCTGGCAGTGAAACTAAATTGAGTTGCAATTAAGGTATTGGTTGACAGAAGAACCAATTTGAGTTGCAATCAAGGTATCTGTGTATGGGAAAATTGATTGGAGTTACAATTAAGGTACCAGTAGACAGAAAAACTAATTTGAGCTGCAAATAGGATATTGGGGGATGGAAAAAACATCTTGAGTTATGATTAAGATATTGGTGGTTGGAAGAAAATCAACCAAAAATTGGGATCTTGATGGACAGAGAAAACATTTCAAGTTATGATTAGGATGTTGGTAGATGGAAAAAGAATTCTGACTAACAATTGGGACATTGCTGGATGGGAAAAACATTTCAATTTGCAATTAGGATATTGATGGACAAAAATTATATATAGTTTGCTTGAAATTGATCACATTCTAAAGATGATGTTGCCAGAGGATGGCAAGATTCTGGTGCAACAAGACATGCGTGCGGGTGACCACAAGAATTGTAATTCTGAGGATTGACAAGAACACTATTTTTTCAATGCCAAGGGTACTATCAACAACAAACTGTACTGGATAGAAATGATAATCACAGGTTTGGGTTGATTGTATGAAGATTGTTCCTGTGAAGAGATATACAGACAGCTAGATATTGAGGGCCTCCAAGTAGGGGGGGACACCCATACTGAGGAATCAAGAACAGTTTTGGAGGATAATTGGGTAGTTGGAGGGGTGGATCATTGATGAGTGGACGGTGAGTATTCAATTGGGTTGGGTGAACAATGACAATAATGGTGGAACATTTGACACTCCTGTCTCAGACAATGCCAGAATTCTGTGTCTATGGACACACATATTTTGGAAATAAGTGACTGCCTACATATGCTGCTGGCACAGACCACCAACCCATACATTGTGGATATTGCTTTCAACCTTTTTTCATTTGACTGTAAGTTGATTTCACACTGATTCTTCTAGGACCCTGGAATGTACCCATGAATTCATCTGACCAAAACCATTTTTGTGTTTTTGAGCTTTACACACTGCAAATATAATATGTTTCTCCAAGGTGAAAAGTGATTGAACTTGATGCACAAAATGATTAATATATAATGCAGATTTAATGCAGATTTAATGCACTTTTAATCATTTGTAAATTAAATGCAATCATTTTTCGAGGGCATGGTCAGACTCGCAGAAGTTTGGGAACGTTCCCAAAAAAAAGGTTCCTTAAGACTCCTTAGCAACGCAGCAACAGGTACTGTACTGGTATAGTATTGAGAATACTAGTACAGTACCTTACTTTACGATACCCGTCAAAACACTACTCAGTACAGTACTGGGAATACAATACTGTACACAGTACAGTATTCAAAACCTAGGTACTACCAAAAATTGGTCTGAGTAGGGTACCGTTTTCCACACCTAGATACTGTACTGTATCGGTATTGTGGGACTTCAAAGATATACTGTACTATACCGTACCTAGGGAAGGTACTGCATAGTACTGTCCAGGTACTGAGAAGGTACCTGGAATATCTGATGAGACATAGCCCGGTGGCCACCAATATGGCGACATGTTTCCATAGACCCAGGCCTAGACCACTCCTGCCAAAATTACATCCATTGATTAGGGAAGCAAGGTGTAATACGAAGTGGGAAATTAGATCAAATGAGCAGAATCAAGACTAGAGGGATGGATGACTTACCGATCTGGCGATATCTTCATTGATTGGTTGCCTCCTGGCGTAGAGGGTGGTGTAATGAGGAAAACGGATGGAAAATATAAAGGGATAAGGTTGGCAATACCGGTACTATAGCAGTATAGTACCGGTATTGTAGGTACCCACCATTTTGGTACCAGTACAGTACATGTGAGGGAGATACTGTACCGAGTACAGTACCTAAGAAAACAATACTGGATTTTGGGCCCTGGAGTACAGTAATGACTTCCTAGGTACTGTACTACTAGATACTGTACTGTAGAAAATAGGTACTATACTGTACTGTACCGATACCAGTACAGTAATTGTTGCTGCGTTGTCCTTAGGAACATTCCTAAGGAAGTGTCACACTGCAAATATAATGTATTTTTCCCAGGTGAAAAATGATTACATTTATTTCACAAAATGATTAAAAATGCATTAATTCTGCATTAATTCTGCATTATTAATCATTTTGTGCATTAATGTCAATCATTTTTCACCTTGGTCAATCATTTTTCACCTTGGAAAAATACATTATTTTTGCAGTGTCACACACCATGACAAATGATTTGACACAGTGAGACACCAAACCCATTCAAAACCCCAGCGCCACCCAGATTAAGAGCACTATTTGACCGGAAGCTTGCGGGAGGCCACGGCGGTGTATGTACACCTGGACTTTTTTTATTCTCAGTTGATTTCACAAAGCTTGGAAGCGATCCACACCAATCTGCTCGAGCTTGGCAGACAAAAAGTACCAAGCTTTCTGAAATCAACTGTACCAAGCACCTGCCTGGTAGCGTGTCTCACTAAACTCACACCCAGAACCGAGCATGATAACATCCGACTTGGGGGTCTCCAAAAAACTTTCAATCCTCTTGTGAAGCTGTGATCCATTTGTTATTGAGAATCAGCAAGTTCAGAGTCCCTCACCTGTATGGGTATGGTACGTACCCTTCCTTCAGCCTTGTATTGGTGGTGGCATAGATCATCCAGACCTCAGATCATCAAGACTCTGAGAGACCATCTGGGATCAATTGGGAAGGGTGTCTGTATGTGAGAGAATGTCACACGTATGTGGTGTGTATCTAAATTTCATTTTTACAAAAACAGACTGGGAACTACGTTCCTTAAGTAGCTATGGAATGTTCCCAAACTTCCTCAGGTCCAACCATGTTCTGCATTTTTCACCCTGGAGAAACACATTATGTTTGCAGTGACACTACACACCAGACATTGCCTCAAGATCTCAAGCACATCAAAAGATGTGTCTCATCTAGACTACAAAGACACCTTTTTGCAGGAGGAAATCCAAACCGCCCCACATCAAGACATCAGGCTAGCATCCCGGGTTGGGGAATCATTGAGATGTCCCAGAGATGGGACCTCCATGCTTCATCCCTCGGATTTCATGGTGGGGTTGGTAGTCCAAGGACATCTTGAAAGGCTCTGTGGCAGTGTCCAAAGGGGATACCTGATGGATGCCTTTCAGGAGACTGTGTCAGGATGTCTTGCTTGCTGCAAAATAGAGGAAATACCCAAGGTATAAGGTTCCTCATGATGTAGGGCTACCCAAAAAGTCTGGTCCAAGTGCTTGGCTCATCACAACATAAAATGCAAAGGCACAATTTCTTTTTTCCAGTCAATACCAAAATCCAACTTCAATGTTTTAGGGTGTTACATTGAATTATCCTGGCAACCAGTGGGGCTGCAGGGTTAAAAGTAAGTGCATTCAAAATCCCTTGCCCAGGCACATTGTTTGTGCTCCTGTACTTGTTGACAAGGGATAGTGTAGTCCTTCTATGGCTCATAAACCTCATGAAAAAAAGTTGGATTTTTGGTCAGACACATCCATAGGCACATTCCAGGGTCCTCTGATTCTACAAGAAATCCACATTCTCAATCAAATGAACTCGGGGGTTCTGTTTAAACATGTTTTTTACATTCCATGGTTTCAAGTATCCCTTTCACCCTGAGACTATCAGACACTCTGGACTTATTTATGTTGAACAGTAAAAACCCTGTGGTTGTTCAGTAAGTCTGGCAATCAAGCATGATGATCTGATTGCCACTCACTTGGGTTCAATTAATATCAGAAAGATCAAGAACACCACTAGGTGTGTAAGCTTCAGCCCAGGGACGCGGGTTACACAGACCACTACATCTGCCAGCCAAGTTCATAATAGCAAGCTTTGGACAACCAATGGTGATTTCATGGAAGCCTTTAATGAGCTTTCAAGCTTCTGCATATACATTGAGACACATCCCATGTACATAAATAACCAGAATGTAATTCCAATACAAATATACTTTCCTTTCCAAGAATTAAGGAGACATCAGAAATTCATCTTTCCATATTTCCATATTTCTATGCTTCCAAAACAAGTAAATTGTGTGATTACTTTGAAGGCTATTTCTTTTTATTGTTTCTGTACCTCAATCATCCATCTTCTGCTGTGTTCTGTGAGCTTTTGATTTTGTCTCCTCAGTACAGGGTGCTGTTCTTCATTCAAAGTATGTGTGTCGTAGTCATAAACCATACACCTCCACTAAATACAAATCCCGCTCACCCTCAACCGCAGTGCCAATCCATCAGACTCTCACTTGCTGGTCGTGCTCATGATTCGGTGATGGCCCGTTGGCGTATGTTTTGGTTTACTGCCCAAATCTTGTGAATTGTAAGATTGCGCCTGCGGGTCCTGCACTCGATTTAACCCGCACGCGATATTCAGCCAGGTCTTTCCAGAAACTATCACACTCATCAATCTTATCATCAAATAATGTATGAAACAAACTCCAACCCTTTTTATATGAGTGTCTGAGAGTGTCTGTTCAAGAGCTATGTATGCGAGGCATTTATCTTGAGCTTATTCAAGATATGTAGACAACGGGATATGTTCGTTGGGGTTGAGAAATTAAAAGAAATCTTTGGTTGGATATCAAAAAAAGCTGTGAAAAACCATTAGGTCCAGTCGTACCAGTGTAATTTTCTGTCTGAGTTATGAATCTGATTGTACGAATCAAGAATGAGTGCATCGAAAGTCAAATGAGTGCGGTCGAAGACCAGCTGTGACGCAAAGTTAACCTAGGCTCCGGATATCCTTCCTCAAAGATACAAATTTTTATAAACATGAGGAAATGTGCATATACATGAATTCAAATTTTTACGAAATTACGATGAAAAACACCCAGCATTTGCCAAGATTTCCCCACATGCCAAACCCAGATCCTTGACTGAGAATGTTACGAATGAGCTGTGTTTTCAACTTTGGCCAGAACGGTTAATTTTCATGAAATTACGATCAAAGATACACAGCTTTAGACCAAATCCTCCACCTTGATTCTTGTCTGAAGATGTCAAGGATCAATTAGCTATGTAATTGGCTTTGGCCACAGCATTTCGTACAAAATTGTATGATACGAAAACTGAAGAAGAATGCGAGGGCACACTATATGATGTAGCATCATATTTCTTTTTACAAACTTAATGAGAATATCATAACTTCACCAGAGTCAATAACTTGTAATCAGTCAACAAACGATCCTCTTTTAACAACTAGTCAAATCTCATGACCAGATCTCAAACAGCTTGGCAAGGAATTTCACCCATCTCCAAGGAACAAAACTTGAATCTAAATCACGAGTGGAAAAGAATTAAAATGGAATTAGATCAGGATCACTCAAATCAAATCACGAGTGTATTTTAGTGAAAAAAGAAACTCAACGTGGCAACATTGCAAGCCGTAGCTGAACCACCGTTGAAGGTACCACAATCGGGAATACGACCAGCGCCTGTACAATCACATTTTGCTTGGATTGAATAATAAACTGTCCATTCTCCTGAAACACATCGAGTGCGAAAAGTTCAGTTCAGGTAAAAAGTCTATTGAGATGATAAGAATACAAATTGTAAATACCATTAAAATATGAACGCTTCAATCCATTCGAGTTAGCACACCCTCGTGAGGCTGAAACTGGCCAATCGGCATCGCTAACGTTAAAACCTGAGCCACCCATCATCGAAAAACGAGATGACTGAATCGAAGCAGGCGTAACTTGACGCTATGAAGAAAATTTCCAAAATCAGTTTGCAAACACCAAGATACTTGATATCTGAATTGTGAACTCACATCTTGACAAGTAAAAGTCTTTGTAGATGGCCAATCAGAATCCAAAACCACACAAGCTACTGTGTCGGCGCAAACGTCGTTCATGCTGAACCCCTGAGGTTGGTATACAATGCTATTGAGAGGCGAGAGCAAGCCATCAGGCACTAAAATACATAGGTATAATGCCACAGCAAGTAAGATAGTAGTGCTAAAATTGATCATATCGGATTTGGAGGGAAGGCAAATTCACTGAAGGGCAATAATTGGTAAACTTCCAATTTTGAAAGACGGAGGTCTACTTGCTGGACCTCTGAAGCAATACCAACGTATATAAGAAAAGATATCTAGTCAAAAACACGGAAAATCATGTGGTCGAAGAAGCTGTGAATGAGCAGACTCGATCGGTGAGATATGTATGGCATATCAGCATCCCTGAAGATTTACATTGAAATTTAGAAGTGAGCACATTGCATACCTCCGCAGTCCATCTCAGAATTAATAAACAATGAGTCATTTTTTGTAAAGATCGGCCCTCAGCTTGAGCTTCAAGTAATCGAATCAAGCTCAAATTGATCTCTCACAGCCATATACAAGGTCAAAGGTTTGGCGTGCATGTCTGCTTATGGCCGGTCCATCTCGATATCATAGTTGATGTGCTTGCGGGCATCAACTTTACGGCACGAGTGAGTCATGAGTCATATCTTTCATTCATACTGCGTTTCTAGCTGTGAATCGTAGGCTGTGAATTCTGGGTGGAGGAGCGATAATGTCCCATCCGGTAGATAAACCAAAGAAATACTTGAAAAGGTTAGTTGTGAATCAGAAAATCAGAAGATTGGCCTCATCATTCATGTGTCTCCTGAATATTACCACTTCATCAATAATTTTTAAATCGAAACACCAAGCAAAGGATGGTCACATCTTCATCTTTCTAAAGTCAATCTAACTGAACATCGGCTAGAGACAATATATCTTTCAGCTTATCAGAACGCATCTCTCATCGGCACCAATCTTCGCCAAATACCTTCTTGCACTCTTCCTGACTAGAGCAAGTCAAAAATAAATCCCTCTTGCACCCGCCGTCCCAATCTCTGAAGCATCACAACGTATATATATATATACCTATTTCTTTACCGGGATATTTCTTCATTATCCCACTTCAGACTTTTTCGGAAAGGCTTAATTTTGTGATCAATGGATATCAAATTATTTTCACCCAGATTCCTTTCTTCCTTCCTTTGTCTTTCTGCATTCCTATTCGTACAAGAGCATGTAGCAACGGTCACAGTCAATTCTCCCGAGTTATATTCTTTGGCTGACTTCAATATCACTTCAATACCCCAAACTAGAGAATACCGTTTCACTGTTACGTACGTAGATATCTCTACTTTGGATTCTTCAAAGGTTTTCGAACTGATATCTTGTGTTGCAATTTTTTACCAGGAATGAGACTTCAGCCCCAGATGGGTTTACGCGGTGAGATTTGAGCTAAACTCGGCTTAGAAAATGACCTGAACTGTTTTGTGATCTGATTCTCTTTCAACAGTAATGTACTAGTCATCAATTCTCAAATACCCGGTCCACTGATCGAGGCAAACGTTTGTATATTTCAAACCTGGTCTATGAGCTATATATGATTTATATGCTGAAATATGGGATTTCGTGTTTCTGTAGGAAGGGTAAGTAGTCTAGTGATGGAGTATGAGCAGATCGGCTGTAAATAAAGCTGAATCGCGCGCGTGATCTTACTTTCTGAAAGTGATACCTTGAATATACACGTGGAAAATAAAATGGCCGGGTCTTTGTCTATTCATTGGCACGGAGTGAGTTGGACATCTCTATGAGCTGATCCTTTTTCACTCGAGCCTCATCTAACAAACCACGAATGAATTACGCAGATATATCAAAATGAGACGGTTTGGATGGACGGAGTCACTGGAGTCACACAGTGCCCGATTCCTCCCGGTCAATCTTTCACTTATACCTTTACCATCAAGGAGCAATTCGGCACATTCTGTAAGTTCATTCTCAGTCAGTGCTTCACGCAGGGCGACCCGAACCTGTTTTGAACCTTTTGATTTTATGACCATAGGGTACCATGCCCACAGTCAGGTGATAATCTTGTCCCCCTGATCCATTGATGAAGAACGAAACTAACGCCCTCGATTCATGAAGAACTATCTGGCAGACGGGATTGTAAGTTTTGACTGCGATTGCCATTTCCGATACGTATGCCAAGTTGAGTAGCTGACACGGGGCGTATGATAGTCTGGTCCACTGATAGTCCACAGTCCCAATGATCCGCTCAAGAAAGGACAGGACTATGAGCAAGATGTAATTTTGATGATGACGTGAGTTTGAATCTAATCTTGCTTAATGTAGAGATGTTGACGTGTTCCTTGTTTTCAGCGACTGGTATCATGAGTCAGTGCAAATTTTCCTCTCATATAATTCGGATGCGAATAAGACCGTAAATCTTTGATCGTCTCTGAGTAAAAATCGTTTTCGAAACTCGGAATGGCAGCATGAGCGATGACATTCTCAGACAACAACTATCGGCAGGATATAATGGAAGTCAGGCAGCTCCGTAAGTCAAGCTTTTAAGTGGTAGGCATACTTTAGCCAGCTAACATCTGCTTCTTTCAAAATAATAGGTCTTCGGTTCGTCTAAACATTAAGAAAAACCCTTCATCTCTTGGATCGATCAGCTGATATCTCATCTTCTGAACATAGAATTCTGTTTTGATAAATGGAGTCGGATATTTCAACTGCAGCTACTCACCTGCTGACAGACAATGCAATACTGTCACCGACTTTGCAAAGGTTGATCTCTTAGCCGGTACCAAGGCTAGGCTAAGGCTCATCAACGGGGGAGCCCATGCGATGTTTCGAGTCTCAGTAGATGAACACACTTTGGCAGTCGTAGAAGCGGACTCGACAGGTATCATCTCTCTGTGATCTTTACATTCGAATCTTCCTCAACTGTTCTGTCTCGTTTTCTAATCTCTATGTCCGGCTCATCTCTTTTTGAAAGGTGTGAGAGGACCACAAGGATTTCATAGGGTCCCATTTCGTACGTATATCGTTAACATCCTCATGATCTTTGTATATCCAAACTTTTTATCTGATGATCAAATCCTTGACTTTCAAAATACATAAAAGACAACGGGGAAAGGTACAGTGTAATCTTGGACTTGGCTAATGACAAAGTGGGAGATACATTCTACTTGAGATCTGCCATAGATACAGACTGCTGTTAGCGTTTTTCTTGATTTGTTGGACTTGCATTATCAAAAAATGTTTTGATCGCTCACCATTCTGTTTGTCTCTCCTCTCCTCAAAAAGTTGCATGGCGTGAGTAATTCAAGTTCTCCTGAGCTATGATGTGTGCTAATGTATGATGTCATCTATCATAGTCGCACCTGGTATAAACGAGACCGCTGGAACTGGGCGTGCAATCGTTCGAGTAGTCGATTCTATAGAACCAGGCTGTGTTGACGATACAGCGTTTGCCACCCCGACTACCCTTGATTGGAATGACACCATCTCAGGCCCATGTGTTGATCTCGATCCAAGCACACTCACGCCACTCATCGCAAAAGCTGCATGTACAGATGTGATTGGACGTGTACGTGATTCTTTCGAGCTGATCATATTGCCAGACAGCCCCATTGAAGAACTTGATGTGTTTTCAGGTCTTCTTCGAATCGAGTGTCGGGTTCATCATCAACAATAGCACTGGTGTACCTCAAAGTGAAGGAAGATTCTTCATCCGGAATGTCACATGGCAAAGTAAGTTTATTTACACCCTAAAGTTTGACGCACATATCACTCATGATGGAGAATATGTATACCTTAGCCTTTCCATTCCAGCCAGTTTTGTATGACTTGATCTCTGGTGGTTCAGGTGCTATCGATCAAACTGAAGTCGCAGCTTTCACAATGGATAGAGCTGGATGTTATGATCTCATCATCAATAACTTGGATGTGGGCATCAATCATCCTTACCATCTCCGTTCGTCTTCTTTAAACTTTCAATACTACTCTCGATCAGGTTTACAGGAAAACTAACCTCATTCCCAACATCATCTAGACGGTGTTGATGTTAGTAATTTTGTTGATGTGAAGTAACAGTCGCGACCCACTTCCTAACCGGAATTCTTGTACCTCTTGTAGCGTTACGTGGTCGCTACTGGCGAGGGCCGACTGACGCCAGAGGCCGCCGAAACTTTGAACTACAATATATCAAATCCCCTCAGGCGTGACGTGAGTCGTATCTGATGAAGAAAATAAAAAGATACCTTTTTTCTGAGTCATTGTCTATCAATTTCATATCTGCTAGACCGAAGTGGTTCCCGGTGGAACATATGCAGTCTGTGAGCTATATGATCGTTCTCAACGTATTCTCGATATTCGCCAGACTTTTTTCCTTACATTTCTTCTTTGAATTTGATTCCACGGTTCCTTAATACCAATCCTTGACGGTCAATAGATAGACTTGTGGCAGATAATCCAGGTGAGTGAAACCTTCGAAAGGAGGATTTATTTTTCTGATGGTCTTCGAATGCGAGCTGACTTGATGGATCGGTTTCAAGGCGTCTGGATCCTCCATTGTCACATTGGCTGGCATCTCGGCGCTGGGTTTGCTGGAGTGATAGTAATGCAACCAGATGTACTAGCTCAACGATTACTACCGGCTGCCAATGGAGCTTTATGCAATACCGCCACACCCTCAACGGTCAACATCACTGAACCAGGTCGTCGAAAGAGAAGTATAGCGCAGCAGCACGGTTACAAGATGTACTCACCTCGTTCTTCTTCTCCTCAAGGGTCACTAAGAGTTTAACACTTTTCTAAAACATCTAAAACTCATGGTGTTTCGAACTAGCACTCAATTGCACATAAATATTATTATCCCTATGAGTCTTTGACCTCTGCTCCACTTTCTTGTATCCATAACTTATATCATCCTTTCCTACAACCAGCAGACACTTCCTTTCTGTTTTCTCTGATCTACCCTTTACCTATAATTCAGTTCAATCTCAATAAACTCAAGTCTCTTTTCTCGTGAAATAAATGTGGTTAATTTATACAGTAAAAGAGATTTATGAAGGAAATCTTCCAAAGCTATCAGGTTCCAAAGGATCTTCGGATTCGATTTCCTTGCGTGATCCTTTTGTTGAGATGCTTGAGTTGGAGGAACCCAGAGGACATTAAAATCACTTCTTCAGCCTTGGCAAGTGATCAGTAAATTTGAAGTGAAGGTTTCACCTGAGTGGATTTCTTATCACTGAACTTCAGCTGTCTATAGAGACCCAGCATTGCTATTATCTGATCTAACTTTCCCCTTGATCTGATGACGCTGATTATTAAGATGCACATATCATCGTCTTCATATCATACCCTCGATGCGATCCACATTCTGCTCAAATGACCTACAAAGTGCTTCGTGATTGCAGAAGATTGTGGAATGAATTGAAGTGTGTGAAGCTTTTCCTAGCTTTTCTTCTTAAGTAAGCTTGAGCTCATACGCTTGATTATGTACGTATCTTATGACAAACTTGGAATTTTAATCAAAGCGTTCGACCCACAACTCAGCCTCTCAAGCTGAACAACCAGACTATATAAACCAACCAAGCTCGCCACCTCTTGCTTTTCCCTCAAGACCAAAGTGAGTTTTACCCTCCTACTACCCAATTTCATCCAACTATCCCTTATCATTCTTCCATCATGATAACTAACATTGACTCTTTTCTCAACCTTTTCAGCTCTTCAGGATCTATTTACAGTAGATACCCGTTTGTTTGTCTCACTAGCTCAACTGAGCCACAGTGTTTACAAGTGTTGATGATTCCAAAAAAGCTACACATCTCATAAGCGAGAAAACCCTTCAGATTTAATTTTCTGAAGCTCGATGACCTTGAGCATTTTCTTTCACCAATTTACCTTTTTTTTCAGGTATCTTTGTCATGTGCTATTCTTTCTTTCACTTTGTTGAAGATTGGATTTATGCTGTGAAGGGTGCTGGAGATGTGAGCTATTCTGAACTTGTATCTCTTTGTTTGTTTTTTCATTTGCTTGTTTTTGTAAGAGATTTATGGGATACAAAGTTGAATCCGGGAACGGTCCCGGATTTTTTCCCAAATTTCCAAATTTCCAAATGGAGTTGAAATTTGGGAAAAAAGAGGTGTAATGGCCGATGGAGCAATAGGGCTATGACCCGGCCCCGGAGCTGCGTGGCCGGCCCCGGGGCCAGGTAGGATCCGGCCTCGGCCACGAGGCACTCAAGATGGCCACCGGGGAGCTTCGGGATGGCCCTGGCTCGGCCCAGCCTTTTGTGAGCTCATTCAAGGGCACCAGATCGATCAATTTCAGCATGTATGTAAAGGAAAAACAAAACAAAAACAAAAACAAAACAAGTTAAACAAAGGAGCGTGTAGAAAATTGAAATAAGAAACAACAAGAAAAAAAAATTAACGAGAGTAGAGAAATAAAAAGAAACTACAAGCTCGAAAAAGAAACTACATGGTCAAAACAAACCCCCACGACTTGAGACAAATCTGAGCTTCAAAGTTTTGATTGGTCATACTTGAACGATAATCAGACATCACCCTTGATCCAGCAGAAAAGATCCTTTCGGAAGGGCCACCCGAAGCAGGGATGGCTAGCATGAACATAGCCATCCGAGCAAGTATTGGCCAGTTCGACTGATTAGTTTTCCAGAAGACTAATATGTCGGTGCGTTCATCCACAAGAGGGGCAAGGAGATACTCCCTAACCTTGTCTTCAAGTTGGATAAATTTGCGTCGTTTAATAAAATGGTGTGGTCTGTCGTCATCACTTTCGAGCACGGGGTCCGGTTCAACAATTTCAATATCAGGATCTTGAGCCCGTTTGAAATGACAAGCTTGCTCGGTAAAGTATGCTATAAGTTGATCCTTGCCAAAACCAAGCTCTTCCATAGTAAAAGCGGTCACAGCGTTGAGCTTTCGGCGAGGGTCGAGTATTGGAGAACATATGTAGACCGGTTTCTTCAAAGCTAATGTGGAATATCTGACTAGCTTCTTGACCATGGGACAAATTGCAGCCTTCAGATTGGTACAATCAGATGTGCTCCAAGCCTATGATTGGTAGAAGGATGAGTTAGACATTGAATAAATATGAAAAAGTTAATATGAAAAGACTTACTTTTTTGAGTTTCTCAACAAGCCATTGATAATCAGGCATTGCTTGAGAGAAGGTGGGATAGTCATCACCTTCAATCTCCTTGATGACAATTGCAAGAGGTCGTAGGAATTTGACCAAGGTGCCAACTAATATCCATTCATCTTCGGTGAGGAGGTAAGGTTCTAAGGAATCATTGATGTTGCAATAATATTGCAGGACTTTCTTGAGCTCAAAGAATCGCTCAAGGGAGTAAAACGTTGAAGACCATCGAGTTGAGACCTCGTGGATCAGTCCAACCTTTCGAGGCTGAGAGGAGGATGCGATACATTGGTCAAGCGCCTGTTTGAGCTGAGTGCTCAAACGGACTCGCTTATGAAACCCACGAATTCGAGTTAAGATAGAATGGACTTGGAGATGGGGGGTAGGCTCGATTAATGAAGCAGTTCCATCTGGAAGATCATCGTTGTGATCTTGAGGTAGCTGAGGATCTAAAGCACTGAGAGGATCTGGTGGGGTCTTGCTGTCGAAAATTGAGACTCCAGCTTTGGCGACGAGATTGATGACGTGGGCAACACACCCATGAAGATTCTTCTCATAGTCGAAATGAGGTACAAGAGTCTTGAGCTCGCGTCCCATGGTGATGTTGTTTGATGCATTGTCTGCAGTGATGCAGTAAAGTTTTTCGGTGATAGAAAATTGATCTAAGGTATGCTTGAGGAGGGCGGCCATGTTCTTACCGGTATGAGATCCATCAATCTCTTTCAAAGCTAAAACTACTGATCTCATTTGAAAATCTTCGGTCATCCAGTGCGCGGTAACTCCAAGCATAGGTACACTGCTGGGTGATGTCCAAGCGTCACAGGTAATACTGATATAATCGATTGAAGCGAGAAGGGAAGTGAGTCGATTTCGGCTGAGTCAAAATTGAGCTACGATACCATCGGTGATGGCGGTTTGTTTGGATAGGAGAGGAGCCACGGCAGGGTTAATCCAGCACAAGAGCTCACGGAAGGCTGGGGCATCGACTAAAGAGACAGGGAGTTCTTGCTTGACTATAAGGCGGATCACAGCATTCGTGAGATTTCTTCGGTTGATATTTCCTAACTGGAGATTGAAGATAAAATGAATATCAGCCAGAGTTACGATAAGAAGAATAAAAAGAAATGAAACTAAGAACTTACATTAGATGCTTTCCCCGTTTCTGGAAAGGTTGTAAGGGTTTGTTGAGAAGTGTCAACTGGAGCCTCGATGCGGTGAGCACGTGAGAGGTGACGGATCATCGACTTCGTGCTGGATGTCTTATCGATGGAGATTTCTTCGTTACAAACTACAATAGGACCATCTTGATTGACTTGATCAGCAAAGCCCTTGTTGGCACGACAGATATTCTTGACCGTTTCGTCGGAGAAGGTGACTGTTGAGAAATACTGCCACACCCAAGACGTTCGGTTGGTGGCAGTATTGTCCGATTCGACTGCACTAGCGACAGCGGAGACCGAATCAGAAGGTGCAATAGAGGCAGTTCGACTTGAAGTTGTTGACATAGTGGCATTCAGGTCAGTGACTTCGCGGCGAAGACTTCGGCGGGACATCGAGACAGGATTCCGATGGGGTATTGGGAGTCTTCAGATACGAGGGTGCGAGGGTATGGACTTCGGAAAAGGGTTGAGGGTTACTCAGCAAGCCCTTTACCCTTTTCCGTACTGGAATTTTACCGGCGCCCCGGCCCCGGGAAGCCCCGGGACGGGGCTTTTGTCTCTATAACTTGGTTAGGGCTATGGCCCTGGGCTTGGCCACGACCTAGTTGTGGGAAGCCTCGGGCAGACTCGGCCGGGCAGGGCCAGGGCCGGGTCATAGCCCTATGGAGCAACCGGGGATTCAAAGATAAAAAAATCCGGATTTTTTCCCAATATCCAAACTACCGCTAAAAACGGTATTTGGAAATTTGGGAAAAAATCCGGGACCGTTCTCGGATTCAACTTTGTATCCCATAATTATAAGAGATGTCTTTTTGAAAATTGGCTGTGACTTGATAATTTATTTCCTTCTCGTTATTCTTGTGTCTTCTGCGCGTATCTCCTGCATTATGACTACTTCAATATTACAATCTTTCACCGAACTTTTCAAAAATCCTCTCATTTGAGGATAAGCTCTGTACTACAGTCCGCAATTGAAATAACCCTAGAAAACATTTCAAAGAGCTCACCCAAGATGAGCAAAGAGGTTTCACTTTCACGCCGGCTTTCATTCTTCCATTACATAGCTTTAAGGTGGACGATATTGTAAGGAATCTGGCTGTCTGATTGGATGATTCGGGACAAACTGAACTTGAGACCAGGCAATACCTGAGCTGGATACTGAGGGATGTCACATGACCTTTCAAGCTCATAACAGGTTCAGTGTTACATATCGTATCCAACCGTCTGACTGTCAACAGATCACTCACCACATTGCATAATTCTAATCTCGCCGTCTGCATCATCTCGATCCCATTGTTTTGATTGGAACGAACAAGACCACAACACTCAACCAGTTCATTCATCAGTGATGTCAGCTCCAGATACACGTCTAAAGGCTCCCAAAACACCGTAAGTGATGAACCTAAGATTCCCAAAGAAGAAAACCCCTTTCAAGGATCACTGATTCATGATGACTTTTTCCTTTTTCTGGTTCTGTTCGATCATCATCTCGAATTCCAAAAAAACCTCCAAAAAGTTTAAAACGAATCTCACGTAATTCATTAAGAGCTCAAGCCCTTTCGACTTCCCAAGCCAACCAACCTAATCCGAATCTCAGATCATCAGAACCTCCCGAAAGTTTCAAAGATCCCCTCAAATCGATCTCACCTTTATTTTCAGATTTATCTGATTCCATTCAAGATTTACATACGAATTTGATCAGATTAGATCAAGTTTGTGAAAACTTAAATGGATTCAATCAATCCTTTTCAAGTTATTTGTATGGTTTAAGAATGATTTATTATACTACTGATTTTGATGAAGCACCTGATGAGATTGGATTCAAGGAGTTTAAGAAACGGAAAGTAGAAATCGAAGAGATGAGATTGAAGTTGAAATTAGTTGAAGATGAAAAGAAGATGTCGAATTCACTTGATCATCATCGGTTAGTTCTCGGTATGGATTTCAATATGATCAAGTTGAAATATTTTGGCTGATTCTGTTTCTTTGGGGGGGGACGTCATTTGTTAGGTTTGATCAAGATGTTTCGGGGTACGAACAAGCTGATCAATCATCCACGAGTGGAATCGCCCAAAACCGTGACTATTCCAAACCACATCAACCTGTTCAATCCACAAGTCATCAAGCTTCCGGATCAGGATCAGGAAGTAGAGGCCCCTCACAGCAACCCAAAAGTTTCAAATCCCAAACCAAAGCTCAACAAAAACAACTCTTAAGATCCACTGAACCGATCATGAAAACCTTACCGATCAAATTTAGAGAACAACAACCGAGTCGAAGCGAAATGGAAAAAGTGATTTGTTTATTGTTTTTGAATCCTAATGGACTCTCACTCAAACAAGTCGTCAAACTTGATCCTACTTTAGCTTTACATCGTGCTAGAGAATGTGTGACGGCTCTGGTGGCTGCTAAACAGGCTAGTAAATCGAATGAAGATGTAAGTTTCTTTTGGATGAAGATTCTAAGCGTAAGTTGATCAGAAGTGGGTGACTGATGGGGTTTGGTTGTAGGGATTGGTTTATCGATTGAACTGAAGATGAAGATGGACAGATGGAGAAGATGTCGAATAGTTTGCATAGTGATAAGGACATTGGTTTCTGTGGCTTTTGTTTTGTTTTGATTGTAGATATTTACACGAGTGAAGTCAAAGATGATTGAGATGATGTATATGAGTAAGAGCATCTCCTATCGTCTCGGTAAGTGCCCTCGGCGGTAAATTGTACCGTACCGACGGTCATCCCCAATTGTGTCAAAACACGCTACCTACAGAATTGGTAGGAATTTGGTAAAGGTCCAGTAAATCTGGACCTCTACCAAGTTCAGTATCTACCCTACCCCAAAGCGACCCAAGCAATTCTTGTCTCTGCATCCCCCAAATCACTCAAAACCACCTACTCCCTCAAATTCAATCCATCAATTCTCTTCATCACCTTTGAATCCAATCTCTATAATCATTCTGTCTTTCATATCTTCATCAATCAAATACTTCAACTCAAAATTCAATCAAGTCAAGAAAATAATCAATATTTATTAAACCAAACAGATCAAACAAACCAAGAAATTAATCAATATTTATTAAAAAAAAGTCAATAACTGGTTTCCTGCCAAAGAAGAGAAGCTGGCCAAAGCTTGAATGCACATCAGCCAGTAACCCAAGTTTGGCACAAACCAAAGTGACAAAAAACAAGTCACTGATTGCCTCAATGTCATCTTGTCATTCAAAAAGCATGATCTTAAATCAATCAAAATAAGGTGAGCAACATGTCAATATTGTCATGATTTAATCAATCCAATTGATTGGTTTGATTCTATTTTTTTAGGTGGATTTCTTTGAAGACAGCCAAATTTGAAGTTTCAGGTATTTATGCTCAGATTGAACAAAGCCCACCTAGCAGAACTGTTCAGACTGGTTGGCTGGATCTTGCAATCCCAACAAAATGACTCTGAGGCCTCACTTTAGATCTTGAAGGATCCTTTTGGTTGCACCTGAATGGATCACCCCACAACCTCCTCCTGGGACTTTAGCCATGTCTATTGCTGCTGTTCCCTCTAGTGATGCAGCCTCAGATTCCACCATTCCCAGCACCCTTGTCCTTGTACCCCACCTTGCCTGATTGGAATCAAGCAATCCAAACCCAAGTGTAAGGTCAATCTGGAGGCAGAAGAAATCCAAGAAGTTTGAGATGAAAAAATCACCAGAAGCAATGAATTGGCTGAACATCAAGTGGAATTGACCAAGCAAATGGTTAAAGTTGATGCTGTCCTGAAGCCAAAGCAAGTTTGGTCCAAATGAACAATCTTGAAAGTTTCAATTTAATGAGGTCAGAGAATAAATTCCAAACTGAAGTTGTAAAGGAGACCCTCAGATTAATGCAACAGCCTCTTAAGGAGAAGTAACAAACTCCTAATACTTTTTCTCCTTTGAGTAGCAATGGTAGCACTTAACTTCATCATTCAGTCTTGATAACTTAACAGGATTGTATATCAGTTTAATATCTCAACAAGTTTTTATGTTGTGTATCAAAACAATTTAATTAGTTTGTTTATCTTGTCAATTTTTTTTTGTTTGTTGTCAACTTTTTCTTTTTAAACATGAGCTAGAAGTTATTTTCACACACAAGTAGTGGGTTCATACAAAAGCTCTAAGAACATGACAACATCTTCTTACTCAGTCTCTTATCAAGAGCATGTTCACTTAAGCAATTTCTGATCAGAAATCATTTCTTGTGACGTACAGAAATCACAGAATGGTTATAACAAACAATTTTTATGCCAATTTTGAGAATCAGCTTTTGGCTCATTCTCATCCATATATAGAAATCACATTCCATCCTTTTGATCAAAATGAACAAGTCCATGTCCACCATACAAAACTGTACAATACCATACAACCTTGTATAAAACCAATGACCATTCAGATCATGCAATACACTCCCAAACCCTTTACTGCTCTGCCTTTCACTCCTCATCACCCTTTAATAATCAATTGAAAACTCTCTACCAACATTAGAATTTCCAGCAATACCAAGAAATTAACCACCAGCAGTGAAACTGAATTGATTTCCCAGCCTTCAGCATCAAAACAATCAAAATCAGCAGACAAATTGACTCAAAAGAAGAAGGAAGATAAGAAGAAGGAAGATGATAAAGCTGAATATACTACTGGTGGTGTATGGACTCTTCAAGAGTCCCTTTACTCAATTGATGAATACTTACATCTGGTCTCAGTTTGGAAAAACAAATGATGGTGGAATCAATTCAGATTCTTGGAAGGCAGTGCTTATCAACAACAACAAGAAATTTAGAACAATTTTCAAATTAACACAGTTGGAAAATCACATTCAAAAGGTTTGTGATTCCTTCTTCTCATCTTTCTTGCTTGATTTTGATTCAACTTCAATCTATGCAATATCAAACTCAGCTCAAGATGACATTCAAGGCTCTTGACAAGATCAAAGGGTCTTCAGGTGCTTCAGGAGTTAATGAAGTCAGTGGAGTAGTTCATGTAAATTGATTGTAAAGATACTATATTGGTATCAAGAACTTCTTGAAATTATTGGATGATAGTAGATCCAGAGATTTTGAATTGTTCTCCAGCAACTCAATTAGATTCAGAGTTGCCAATGATATATGACATGTTCCTTGACCATCACACATCTATTAAAGTGAATGATAAGCTTGCCTTCAGAGGCTTTCATCATAGCCCTCGAGTGCCAGCTAAACCTCACAAACCTGTAGATCACTGTCCTCAAGAACTTCTTTTGTATATTCACAGCCCCCATCTACTGGGCTCTGACAGGCCAGAGCCTACCACTTACTTCATGAAAAATTCATCAAAAATTGAGAAAGATTTCATGAAAGCTTCAATATGTTTTCAACAAAGCTTCAACATAGCTTCTCTGGACATATGACCCAGCACAACAATTCACATGCATTCATCTGACATCGGGGACTCATTTATAGGCCCAGTCTATGTTTTTCACACCTGCTCTCAATTGTTGCAAAACGTTTTGACTTGGTTGTGTCCAAATTCAAACCACAGTATCAACCAATACAACAGCTTATGTTGGATTACAAGAACCACGTGAGAGTCATCATGGTTAGAACATATTACAACTTTAACACACATTGATCTTACTACATATCCATTGCATCTTTGTTGTGGCTGTCTTGCACAAATCCCTAAGATTGGATGTCAAAGAAGTTAGTATACAGTTCTAGATCGAGTCTCTTGTACCACTCACAATATTTCAGCCATAAAGTCTTGGAAGGGAGAAGCTGATCCAAAGGCAGCATACTTGACATAAGGCAGATGATCAATGCAAGCCTTGTTCCGGTGAAAAACCCAACAAGCCTGTACAAACCATACCAAAGGTGTACATACCCAGACTGTTAGGTTTGCATTAAGAGCAGATGCAAGCCCTGATCCGGTCAAAAACCCCGCGGCGTGGGGACTTTCCCGACAGGGGTGGATTGGATCTGGCCAGATGCAAAACCCCCAAGCCCGCACAAACCCATACAGGCCATGTACAAACCCATATCTTGAGGTTTGCATCAGGTCTGATGCAGGCCCTGATCCTGAGAAAAACCCCTGCAACACTGGCACTTTTCTGGCGGGGAGGGTCTGCGTCTGGCCAGATGCAGACCCTCAAACCTGTACAAACCCATACCTTATGGGTTGGAGGGTTTACATCAGGCCAGATGCAAGCCCTAGTCCTGTGAAGAAACCCCTGACATCGATACTTTTTTGTTGGAGAGGGTCTGCATCTGGCCAGATGCAAACCCTCAAACCTGTGAAAACACATATCTTATGGGCTGGAGGGCATGCATCTGGCCAAATGCAGGCCCTCTCTGACAGAAAGGACCAACACCACGGGGTTAATCTATTGGGGAGAGTCTGCATCTGGCCAGATGCAAACCCTCAAACCTGTCAGAAACCATATCTCATGGGCTGGAGGGTATGCATCTGGCCAGATGCAAACCCTCAAACCTGTGAAAAACCATATCTTATGGGCTAAGGTATGGGTTTGTACAGGTTTGAGGGTCTGCATCTGGCCAGACGCAGACCCTCCCCACCAGAAAAGTGCCGATGTTGCAGGGTTTTTTCTCGGGATCAGGGCCTGCATCAGACCTGATGCAAACCTTAAGATATGGGTTTGTACATGGCCTGTATGGGTTTGTGCGGGCTTGGGGGTGTTGCATCCGGCCAGATCCAATCCACCCCTGTTGGGAAAGTCCCCACGCCACGGGGTTTTTGACCGGATCAGGGCTTGCATCTGCTCTTAATGCAAACCTAACAGTCTGGGTATGTACACCTTTGGTATGGTTTGTACAGGCTTGTTGGGTTTTTCACCGGAACAAGGCTTGCATTGATCATCTACCTTATGTCAACTATGCTGCCTTTGGATCAGCTTCTCCCTTCCAAGACTTTATGTCTTGGTATTTGTAACATGTAATTTTGAAAAAAGACCAATCACTTCCGAAACTTTATGTGTTGATATTTGTAACATGTAATTTTGACGAAATCAAGATAAAGCTTCAAACAGATGAGGGTCTGGCTTAGTGGCGGCTCATAGAGAGCTTTATAATCAAAAAGGTGTCACATATGGGAGACAAGAGCTAAGAGCACACAAACACAATAATCAAATAAAGCAGAAACATATCAAAAATGACATGGAATGATTGGTCAGGGGTTAGTTTGCTGCCATACATCCTGTTCATCTTTGAGAGGTGCGGCCACATGATGTGTTCCTTGGAGGTCACTGGTCCTCTCATGATTAATTTTGGTCTGGAAACCTGCTCAGATTTCAGATGTTTGCAGGCATCATCTCAAGCTCCCTTGAAGCTTCTCTGACGCTAGCATAAAGTTTTGGTGAAATCTTCCTGAATTTTTGTTGAATTTTTGTTGAAGTCGTGGTAAGCTCTGGCCTGCCAGAGCCCAGTAGATGGGGGCTGTGATTGTTTTCTGTGGAGCTTCAAACTTCAACAAGCAAACTTTGGTGTCTTGAACAATGCAAGGAAGTCTTTTCCAGCTTGAAGGACATATTGGGGAAGATCAAATGGATTTTGAGAGGAGGATGTGGAAATTGTAAGAATCAGACATGATGGTTGCTTTGATGTGCTTAGAGACCATCAAGACAAACCCTGTTGACCATCTTGTTTCACACTTTTGGTCAAGGAAACGAAATGTTGTATCTTTTCACAAAAATGACTTTTTAACACCTAGAAAACTGGTCTTTTGAAAACCAATTTCTGGGAAACACAGTAAGTGAACACGCTCTTGTTTAACCTTGTCCTAAATCATCCAATAAATCATCCCAATTCCTGACCATTCAACTTATAAATAGGCAAAGATTCAAAGCTGGAGTGAAACTGAAAGCACTTTGATTATCTTGGGTAAACTTTTTGAAATTGGGCCTAGCGTTATTCGAGTTACAGACTCCAAAACATATCCTCAGACCAAAAAATGATTTTTGAAGAAGTTCAGTACATAGGACATACGCTCAGAAGGCACAAGCATATCTTGACCAAGAAGGAGAATGAATTATCAAATCACAGCTAATTTTCATAAAAGACATCTCTTGTAGTAAAAGACAAGAAAATTGAAAGAAAAGAAGAAATACAAGTTCAGAATAGCTCACGTCTCCAGCACCCTTCACAGCACAAATCCAATCTTCAACAAAGTGAAAGAAAGAATAGCACATGACAAAAATACCTAAAAAGAAGGTAAATCGGTGAAGGAAAATGCTCAAGGTCATCGAGCTTCAGAAAATTAAATCTGAAGGGAGGTTCTCGCTTATGAGATGTGTAGCTTTTTTGGATCATCAACACTTGGTAACACTGTGGCTCAGTTGAGCTAGTGAGACAAACAAACGGGTGTCTACTGTAAATAGATCCTGAAGAGCTGAAAAGAAGAAAAAAGTCAATGTTAGTTATCGTGATGGATTTCGAATGATGAGGGATAGTTGGATGAAATTGGGTAGTAGGAGGGGTATAACTCACTTTGGTCTTGAGGGAAAATCAAGAGGTGGCGAGCTTGGTTGGGTTATATAGTCTGACTGTTCAGCTTGAGAGGCCGAGTTGTGGGTCGAACGCTTTGATTAAAATTTCAAGTTTGTCATTAAGATACGTACAGAAAGATGATGTATTGAAGTATTGAAATATTAATTTTTTTGAATAAGATTACCGAGTGAATGATTGTGCGAGTTGATCAAGTTTTAAAATCGGAACAGATATTTTGAAGAACCAAAGATGAGACTGAATGGAATCAATCAGCAAACTCAAGATTCGAATGAAGTTTTAATCAGTTCACATTTAATGAAATCATCTAAAGCTATTCAAGACCATTCACCAGGTTTATCTGCTTGGTTACTAAACAAATCCATCGATATCAATCCAATCGAAACCAGCAAAGAAGAAGAAGAGGATGAGAATAGGAAAAGAAAGAGAAAGTGTGAAGAATGTGGATTGGATAGATTGAAGTATACTTGGATTGGTAAACAGATGAGGTTGTGGATCGTTTGTGATTATTGTGGTGATCGAAATTGGAAATCGATGACTAAGAAATCAAAACAACAAACTAAAATAACAACAACAACAACAACGACCATCAACACTTATCAAGAAACAACAAATCAAGAAACAGCAAATCAAGTAACAATCGGAACTGCAGCTGGAACTGGAAATGAGAATGCGAACGGAGAAGCGAAGGGAGAAGCGAAAGGCAATAGAGAGCCCATTGTAGAGTTAAAAACTTTAACTGAAGCTACTCCAAATCGAAATCGAAAACCGAAAACCAAAAAGAATTCCAAGAATTCACAACTCACTCAAATCTTAAAACTTCATCAAAGTCAATCGTCTTCCTCATCTTCATCACCAAACCAATTCAACTTGAACCAATTCTTGACCCAACTTTGAACACCTTTCTATCCCAATCGATCCTAAATCTTCATCACTTTAATGTAACATTGATATCCGGAATTAGTTTTCCCTTTTTTTGCTTACACGGGTTTACATTACATTACGATTAGATAATTACATAATTACATAGCCTTTTTGATTTCTTCATTGTCATGGTAACCATCCTTCTTGGCTGACTGATTGATTCCGAGAAACGTTCATAATTGTACAACATGAACAGCTTCAGCCACTAAAACAAATCCCAGCCTTTTGCACAGCATCTCGAGGATGGAAAATGAAGACCTGAAGAGTTACAAACGATTTATCACCTCTTTTTTAACTTTACACACTTACCCGAATGCTGTACCGTGAGAGTCTTTAGCTTTTTTTTTTGCGGTGCGTGGTCCCAGCAAAATCGGTCCTGGAACCAAGCTGGGCTCGTTCATTTTGATTTTTCTGTTCATGAGATGGTTTTGGATTCTAAGTGTATGTAAGGCTAGAAAATTTGTATAAATGTTGACACCTTTTGGTGGTAAACTTTCTTCTTCCCAGATCTCTTACAACAAAAAATCATCATCATTCAAACATATTGTACACACTCGTATTTTAGTTTATCTCTCATCACCTTATTTAGGATCAATTCTTTGAAAGAAACACACGTGTGTGTTTGTGATTCGGATCTTTTTTGATTTTGAAGCGATTTTTTCGTACGCTTTAGAATCTTATTAGCACGTGGACTTACTTTTGGTTTTCTTTATCTCTCTATCCTCTTATCATTCTTCACTAAAAAAAATCCATCTATCTCTTTAGCACGTGGACTTTACTTTTTTGCATTGGTTCATTTTTTCTTTTTAGTTAGTTTTACATTATTATATTTAAAATCGGGATTTCTTAATCATCCGAATTCCTCTTCCCAAAAAACCCTCATCATCATCAATATTTTTCCAAACCTTAAAGCTTTCCAAAACTTTTCATATCACATCATGCCAAGTTTTTTTACAAGATCATTCACGAATCCGAATTTACTAAACTTACATAAAAAACAAAACTCATTTCATAAATACAAACTGATGAATGAAAAAGACGAAAAGGTTATAAATATTCATGAAGATCAACTGGATGGTCCAAGTTCGATTTCAGGATCAGAAGAAAATGAAGACCAAGCCGTAAATCAGGCAAAATTAAGGTGTCCAGTGATGGGATCCAGAGCACATCATCCTTATTTGAAAAGATCGTTAGGTTCTCCTTGCCCTGGGATCTCGATCTTAATAAACCATTCATACCTGTAAGCTCTCCATCCCTCCTTTCCGTTCCCAAAACAAAAACTGATTGACTTTTGGTTTGGTTTTGGTTTGGGTTTGGGTTTGATAGGAATCCAAAAGATTCAAGAGATCCGATTCCATTCTATAAACTGATTTATGCATTAGTGAAATGTTTTAATTTGTCTTGGTTGAATGCAATCTTCTTAACATTCTTTTCAATCTTCTTGTTTGGTAAAGTTTGGAATTTGTGTATTGATGATTTAAGTTTACATGATTTTATTGAACATGATGCTAGTTTAAGTAGGTTTGATGAAAAGTGAGCCACTTTCCTTTCCTTTCTTTTCCCCGAGAGATTCTTTTTTTTTTTTTTCGAAGTATTTTTTTTTTCTGATTTTTGTTTTTGTTTTTGTTTTGGTTGGGGTTTGTAGTAAAGGAGATTATTCGAATCCAAGTGAAGAAAGACTTGAGAAATTTTTAAAACTTTCATCCTCATCAACTGAGAATCAAAAAGATGAAAAACATCAAAAGTTCACTTTACGAGATTTTTCAAGATCAAGAAGGTTAGCTCAATACGAATCTGAAAGAACTAGACCGATGACTAAACGTGGTATCTTTGTAAGACCTTTTCTCTCCACTCCAGTCAATTTTTTCAAAATTCTGATCATGCTTTTGGATTTTTTGTGGGGTGGGGTTTGTGTAGGCTGGAATGGGAGAAGTAGGATTGATTCTTTCGATCTTTGGAAAACATGCTTCGTTTGAATTAGGTCAAGAACCATACATCAAAAAAGAATGGATGAAAACTATGTAAGTTCCAAATTCCCCCTTCTCGAATTATCATATTGTGGTCTGATTTGCTTTGGTTTCTGACTTGGTAGATATATTGAAGAAAGATTACCAGATGAATGGTGTAGACCTTTGAAACCTGTTTCGGTTTTAAAAGTTCATTGGTTTATTAAAGCTTTAAAACAATTGATGGTTTGATTTCCAACCTTCAACCTTCGACCTTCAACTTTCGAGATCAAGAAAAATGTTCCATGGGGTTAGAACTGTTTAGTTTAAATTTCTTGGATTTTTTTCGGTTTTTGGTCGATCAAGTTGAAACGATTACATTAAATCTCTTTCAAGTTTTTTTATATATGACTTATTGTACATTATTTTCGAGTTTCGGTTTTATTGATTGATTGATATCTTATGATTATCATCATCATCATCATCATTATCTGAAGAATGGATTTCTTTCTCTTTCTCTTAGTTTGGTTTGATAAAAAAGACAATTGACAATTTATTTGACGTTTTGTTCTAGTTTCTTTTTAACACCTTTTTTTAGTTTTTCTTAAGATTTCAGTCTTGATTAGACTTTTGTTTTTATTCTATATTATATTACTGACAGTGACATCAGACAATTTTTACTGCTTCAAGATTTTCATTTTTTTGAATGACTTTCTTTGTAATTGTATTCTTTTAAAGACAATGAGATTTGTTATACTTTTTTTATTGACTTTGATTATTGGTTGATCATGGACAAATTCTGTTTTTTTTTGAAATCATTATTTTTTTATGGGTGTTTCTTTTATATGTTGATCATGGACAAACTTGATTGTTTGAAAATATCTTTCTTAAATTGTTTTTTTTATTTGATCATGGACAAACTTGATTGTTTGAAAATATCTTTCTTAAATCGGTTTTTTATTATGTTTCCTTGTGAAGAAATCATCAAAAAGGTTTGATATATACTTTGGATTCTTTTAGTTATTCTTTGGTAATTGTTATCAGTTTCTTTAAAGACAATGAGCTTTGTTATACTTTTTTTTGCTTTTTTTGATCTTTGACCTTTGATTATCGGTTTTTCTTTTATATGTTGATCATGGACAAACTTGATTGTTTGAAAATATCTCTCTTAAATTGGTTTTGATTGTATGTTTCCTCTTGAAGGAATCACTAAAAAGATGTTTGATATATACTTGGCTTTCTTTTAATCACTATTTTGTAATTGTTATCAGTTTCTTTAAAGACAATGAGCTTGGTTATACTTTTTTTTTTTGCTTTTTTTGATTTTTGACCTTTGATTATTGGTTTTTCTATTATATGTTGATCGTGGACAAACTTGATTGTTTGAACATATCTTTCTTAAATTGGTTTTTTATTGTCCTCTGGAAGGAAATCATTAAGAATCTTTTGATATACACTTTGGATTCTTTTGATTACTATTTTGTGATTGTTATCAGTTTCTTTAAAGACAATGAGCTTTGTTATACTTTTTGCTTTGGATGTTTGACCTTTGATTATTGGTTTTTCTTTTGGGGGCTACTAAAAAGCGCCCGCAAATATAAACTTAACAAAGTCCCACGCTCGCGCATCCTCGCGAGGCGTCGAGCGAGGGACTTACGCCAAACTTGCACGCTCCATAACCTCGCGGTGGAGAGTTTTGCAGGGAGCGCCCTTCAATGCCGTTTATCTTTTTCCACACCGAGGATTCAGGCATGGTCCAAAGAGAAAAAATATGCGCCAGAGTAAGGCGCATATTGTACAGATTTTTCACCGAGGAAACTGCTCCCCTTTGTGAACAAAAGTGCTTCAAAGTTTTGGCTTCAATGGCCACTGTACATGTAAACCACACATGGAACTGCTGTAAATGGGAAGGATCGGTCACAAAGGCGGGTTTTGTTCCTCCATTATCTACATAGTAAGAACACTTTCCTCGGTGAAAATTGTGTACAATATGCGCCTTATCCTGGCGCATATTTCTGCTCTTTGGACCATGCCCGAATCCTCGGTGTGGAAAAAGATAAACGGCATTGAAGGGCGCTCCCTGCAAAACTCTCCACCGCGAGGTTATGGAGCGTGCAAGTTTGGCGTAAGTCCCTCGCTCGACGCCTCGCGAGGATGCGCGAGCGTGGGACTTTGTTAAGTTTACCGCAAATAAAACCTGAGACCGCCCGCTTTTAGAATCCGGTGGTTACTAAGATTTTTGGACTGAACTGTGGTTCAGTTCCGAGGTACTGATCTGTGTGATCGTTGGAATCCAATCAAACAGAAACTGGGCGGTCTTGAAATTTATCAAGAAGCCCTCAAAACCTCCCGTTACACACATCTCATCCACCATATTGATCGTTAACTTCAACTCGATCGTTAAGCTCTGCTCAAAAGACACTCAAATCGATAGATGCGACCTGCCCCTTCCAGTGTCCCCCTCAGGCTGAATTATCCTCTGTCTTGTACAAGCAATGAGGCTAGAAACCTAACAGGATTCAAGGCTCTGAGCTGTTGTGACCATTCAAACGGTTCAACGGGGTTTGATCCCTCACTTGGTCTGGTCAAAGTTTCAAAGGTTGAGAATAGAATCAACATTTCTCTGACTTGTAAGTCAAAATAGGAGGGGGTCAAAAACTTTTCATACCGATGCAAAACGCACCTTTTGTATTCCCGACTTGCTTTGCTTCAACAAGCAAAACATTTATGCAATGAAAAGGAGATGAGTTGAAAAGAGCTTGGTTGTACCCGCATCAAGAGAGGAAATTGAAGAAATAAGTAATAATCAATCAAAATAACAGACTTATATATAGGTTGACCAACTATCTTTGAGAGTTTCAACAGCTCTTGAATCAGAGACTAAGGTCTTCAGAGACCAATCACATTGGAACATGGGGTTTTGAGGGCTTCTTGATAAATTTCAAGACCGCCCGGTTTCTGTTTGATTGGATTCCAACGATCACACAGATCAGTACCTCGGAACTGAACCACAGTTCAGTCCAAAAATCTTAGTAACCACCGGATTCTAAAAGCGGGCGGTCTCAGGTTTCATTTGCGGGCGCTTTTTAGTAGCCCCCTTTCTTTTATATGTTGATCATGGACAAACTAACATATCTTTCTTAAATTGGTTTTTATTATGCCTTCTCTTGAAGAAATCATTGAAAAAAGGTTTGATACATACTTGGCTTTCTTTTAATTACTATTTCATAATTTGAATCAGTTTCTTTAAAGACAATGAACTTTCTTATACTTTTTTCATTTTCCTTTTGGTTATTGGTTGATCATGGACACACTTTCTTTTTTTGAAATCATCATCATCTTTGTCGGTGTTTCTATCACCGTGTCCGGGTAGCGTTCGCTCGTTGACGAGCGCACACAGCTTTCCTTTCTACCTCAAAGGGAGTTAGTGTGGGCTCGTCAACGAACAAACCCTACATGGATGCGGTGTATATTATATGTTGATCATGAACAAACTTGGTTTTTTGAAAACGTCTTTCTTAAATTGTTTTTTATTATGTTTCCTCTTGAAGGAATTGTCAAGAAACTTTCGATATGTACTTTGGTTTCTTTGGATTATTCTTTTGTGATTGGAATCAGTTTCTTTAAAGACAATGAGCTTTGTTCTACTGTTTTTTTTCCTTTTGATTTCTGACCGTTGGTTATTGGTTGATCATGAACAAGTTTTGTTATTTAGAATCATCATTTTTTTCATTGGTGTTTCTATTATTTATATGTTTCCTCTTGAAGGAATCATTGAAAAAGGTCATTAGCTTTCTTTTTTTTAATCATACTTGATTTCTTTTCGCTTGAAATCATTTTGTTCGCATGTATTGAGTTTCTTCAAGATTTTTTTTGCATGGGTTTCAGATTAAGACATCATTTTCACCAATTTTTATGAAATGCTAGAAATTTATGGATGCACCAGATGTTGGAATGCATTTTTTCGAGTTTTTGATTAAATTAGAATTTATGTTGATTGGTATCAAAAAACAGATGAATCAGCTGACTTAATTTTGAATGAATGAGTGCTATAAGGTGCTATATGATGATGCTTGAACTAGACTGGTGAAATTAAAGAAAAGGCTGATTGATGAATTTCTATTCTGAGAATGTAAAATGATCAGAGTCAGTAACCGATTTCAAACTAAAACCACTTAAAACACTATGTACACTACACTTACATAACATAGATTTTAATTGAATTTTAATTTTAATTTAATATTTTATTATCCGATTTGAACTCAACTGATTAGCTTGACTCTCAACTTCAAAAGCTCATCGAAATAATATAACAATTCACTTTCTTGATCCATCATCTTACATACATACTCTTTTCTTTTCTCAATTCATCAATCAAAACCTCATTCTTAATCTCAGATAACTCAAAATGGAAGGAGACTATAATTTTCCAACTAATCGATTACGTTCACTCCAAGGTAATCTTCTTCACTCCTATCAAATCTTAAAACAACACTAACTAATCCATACTCTTTACCTTTGAATCTCTTAAAACAGATGATTCCAAGACTCCTTTAGTTTTCGTGGCTTGTGGTTCATTCAGTCCAGTGACCTTTTTACATTTAAGAATGTTTGAAATGGCAAGAGACCATGCAAGAGTTCATACAGAGTTTGAAGTAGTAGGAGGATACTTATCATTAGTGAATGATGCGTACAAGAAACCGGGTTTAGCAGCTTCTATCCATCGATACAAGATGTGTGAAATAGCTTGTGAAGAGACGAGTGATTGGTTAATGGTCGATCCATGGGAAGCGAGACAGATTGAGTATTCTCCCACGGCTAGAGTCTTGGATCATTTTGATCATCAGTTGAATGGGTTGGCAAACGGGGTGGTTTCGGTTCAGACCGGTCAACGTAAACCGATTAGGATCATTCTTTTGGCTGGTAGTGATTTGATTCAAACTATGAGTGAACCGGGTTTATGGGCAGAAGAGGATGTAAGTTTTTCACTTTTCTTTGGGGCGGGTTTGTTCATCAGAGTTACTTACAACTTTGTTGCGGATTTATGTTCTAGCTTCATCATATCTTGTCTCGTTACGGATGTTATATAATCGAACGAGCCGAATCTGAAATCGACCAATCACTCTTCTCACCCTCTTCGGTCCATTCAAGATCACCTTTATCACTCTACAAACATCAAATCTATATGGTACCTCAGTTAGTAAGGAATGATGTGTCGTCAACTAAAGTCAGATTGTTTGTTCGTAAAGGAATGTCCATTGAATATTTGATTCCTTCAGGTGTGATTAAGTATATTAAATTACATTCACTTTATCAAGATGAGATGTCACATCTATCGATGAGTTCGATTAATACTCCTATGATCGAAGGGTCTTCTTCTCCTTTCTTTAAACATACTTTAGATCCTCCTTCTAATCTTCCTTTGCAAAACCCTTCTAATCTTTCGATTTAGAAACCTCCTTTTCCTCTTTTTTTCTCATTTTTGAGGGCTTGTATTGCTTTTTTTTTCTTACTTTTGGAAACCTTGATCAATAGAATTCATCTTACCAAACTCAGAAAAAAAAACCCACAATCACTTCCTTTTTTTTCATACTTGTTCTGTTCTGTTTTTTTTCTTTTTTTTTCTCTCTATCATCATTCTTTTTCTTAAGAAACCTTGTGATATATCTCTTTTCTTTGATCTTTTTTTTAAATCATGTACTCTTATCCTCTACCAAACCCTTATAGCATCTCTTTATCTATTATACTTTTTTTTGCATATTAAAATATTTTGCTTCTTTTTTTGGTTTTGATGGGTTGGCCTATATATATAGATATAATTTATGAGATTCTTTTTTTAAGATGAAATAAGCGGTTTGAGTAGAGTTTTGTTTGAGAAAACAAATCAACAAATGGATTGGATTGAATGCATGGTTTGGTTTAGATTGATTTAGGAGTTTAAATGAGTTGAATGAAAGGCTGGTAGAGAAGATATCTTATTGAGAAATCAGTTTTTTGTGCATAACTTGAGGGTGTGTGAAAAGAGAATTCACTATATTAGTGGTACAGAAACAAGAACACCCAACCTAAAAACCCATGGATAAAACCACTGGCAACCCAACTGTTTTTTGGGTTTTGTCCAACAGGGAAGCAGAAGATCAATAGCGGTACACAAACATCTCAACCCAAACTCAAAAACCCATCCACAAAAAACCCATGGCAACCAGATTGATTTTGAGTTTTTAGCGCTACAAAATCCAAAAATCAATTGGGTTGCCATGGGTTTTATTAGGTCAGGTTGAGATGTTTGTGTACCGCTAATGGACAAAACCCCACAAACAATTGGGTTGTCATGGGCTTTGTCCATGGGTTTTCAGGTTGGGTGTTTGAGTTTGTGTACCACTAATAAAGAACATATTTGATTTCTAGAGGTATGGTATTTGTATGGTTGGGTTGGGTTTGTTCTCAGCCTGTGAGATGGTTATTCTTAGTATGGTTGTAGTGACAGTAAGAAGCATGAATCCATAGACTGGGTATTTTACACAAACACAAAGGAACTTGAAGTCTACTTTGGATGATTTGAGGATGAATAGTTTTTTTAAATTGGCAACATGTTGCAAAACTTGGGTTTGGTTTTGAATTAGGTTTGTTTGTTTGATGGATTTGAGAATACAACAAAGAATACAAAAGCTGTAATAGTGTTTTTTGGTGAGTTTTGAACCCAATGACATCACTGATCTTTTGGAAAAGAAAGTGGTTAAAGTTTCAACTTGATTGTGGTTTAGTACAGGAATTGATGAAATGTTGGTTGGGGGAAATGGATGGTGAACTGGGTTTGGAACTTTCTTTGTTTTACAAAGTCTTGTATGTTCACATTAGGTTTGCTGGGCACTTAGCAAAAGCAGGATAATGAAAATAGGCTTCATACTTTTCGAAGTGTTCTATATTGTTTTAAACCTATGAAGCTAGTTTTTTAAAGGATTCCACTATTTCCAGCCCCCTATCCGATATCCGTAGCCCCCCTCGGGTCGACCCGGGGGGGCGACGAGAGTTTCGTAGCCCCTTTTCAAAAAAAGGGGGCTACAGGGGGCATCACTTTCCAAACAAATTTTAAAAGGGGGCGTCACCTTACAAATTTTTAAAAATGTGGGTTTTGGACGATTCCATGCAATTAAACGCTTGATGCAACTATTCTTGGTTGTTTCATTCCGGTCTCCATTCAAAGTCAAATCCATTCAATGACACACGCCAAGTGGCCAGTGTATGTATCACATTTGTGAATGATTGGCATAGGCATTGGATTTATTGGCATAGGTATAGTGGCATAGAACGTTTTGGATCATACAACAGACGTAAAGCAACAAACAAGAGAGAGAAGAAACAGGACAAGTGGAAAACAGTAATGAGAGATACACCGGGCATAGGCATAGGTGGCATAGGAGACGTACACACACAAACAACAAACACTGAAAAGTAAGAGGAGAGAGAAGAAATGACAATCATTACACTTGAGTGAGCCACCTATCCAATTGACGTTGATAATGCTTCATCCACTGCGGAATATGGCTGTTTTGAATTGTTTCCGAAAGTAAATGTCCGTAAATCGCCGGAAAGGGAGATGCTCTCTCATTAGCTCCGAGAGTGACAAAATGGTTGCCATTGACAAAGGCGGCATGGATGCAATCCACAAATGCAAGTATGATCGGAGCTTGGTCGTTGGGTAGTGTGCGATATGGAAAGTATGTGAAGCAGTTGGCCTCCTTTGGATCAAAACAACCTCCTTGAGCTGTGTCAAGGCCCATTCGTATTGAGGTTGCTTTTCACTGCTCATAAAACACATAGCAACAGTAAAGGACTTGTGGGTGTTTGTAGTTCCAACGATATGTAACAATGGAAGGTTGAATCGATTTGTTTTATAGGTACAGTCCAAGCTGAGCACCGTAGGAAATCGGCGAGCTAGACATATTGCCGAAGGACTGGCGAAGAATAAGTTTTCGAGAGTCCCATTGGCTGAGGTGAGTGTGCGATGGGCCCATTGACTAGCAGATATCAAATCAAATAGTCCTTGGATCGGAGTGCGTCCATCCAGCCAATTGTCGCGAAGTCGAGATCGTACATTGTGTATGTCGCGTAGAAGGGGCCGAGAATCAGGATCAACGTTAATCAAGTTTCTAATTTGAGCTGCTCGGCAGCCGGTAGATGATAATATATCAATATGGTCAAGCACTTGGGGTGGGAAACGGCGATAGATGGCTAAGTTGTGGGGTTTGTCAAATGGAGGGTGGTTATGGCTGTGTTCGTCAGGTTTATTATCATGATGCGTTACAACCCATCGGTCCATCCGGGCGTGGTAGTTGAGTGAGATCTCGAATAAACAACCGGTCTTCTTGGAGGATGTTGCACGTTTCTTTGCTGATGATTTAACTCGTTTGCCAAGGGAACATCAAAGATAGACCCTGATGGTGTGGCCTTTTTTCTTCTTATGACTCTTGATAGCCAACGCGTATCCTTGATGTCGCGCGACGGCATTCAGATACATGACACCATTGTCCATTTCAATGAATTGTTTGCCGATGATTGGTCCTTTAAGCAAGCAAACGGGGGTGGCACCTGGTACACCGCAAATTATATGTAAGTTGGTCTGATTGACAGCTGTAAAGACTATGAGAATAAAGGAAGGATAGGAAATACGAAATACTATGAGAGACAATAAAAGCATACCAATTGCGGGCCACTCATCATCTCTTTCAGTCGGATGTGCAACCAAATGATCCACAGGGTCTGTGTCGGTAATAGCAGTCGTAGGTTGAGTTATGGTAATAGCAGTGGTAGGTTGAGTCACGGTGATAGTAGTGGTAGGTTGAGTGATGTTGTGTTCAGGTGTCGCTTGGTTCATGTCAACTGACAGAGCTTGGAGATAATCTTGAGATTGATTCGGAAAAGATGATACTTGAGGATACTGATACATAACCGGCGCGCTGCCATTGGTAGCTCCACTGCGTGGATCCCCAGGAGTTTGCGTGGGCATTGAATAATGATAAGTTGGATGCTCGCGTCCCAACGGAGGGTGATTGTAGGCGATCTGAGTCTGTAAATATTGGTTAGGAGGGTTTGGTAAAAAGGGTTCAGGAGGGTGGTTGAAGGCCGTTTGAGTCTGTGAAAATTGGTGGTGATTATATCCGGTTTGAGGTTGTACAAAATGGTTAGGAGGGTGATGGTATCCGGTTTGAGATTGTAAAAAAAAAGATTGATTAGGAGGGTGGTTGTAGGGGGTTGGATGTTGTATGAATTGGTGAGGAGGATGAATGTATGCGGTTTGAGGTGGAAACGATTGATTAGGAGGGTGGTTGTAGGGGTTTGGGTGTTGTATGAATTGGTGAGGCGGATGAGGGGTGCTGTTTGGATTGGTGTTCACGAGTGGGGGAGGTGGGGTTTGGTTGGACATATTGGGATCTGTCAACGTTTCAACTGTTTGGGAATCTCAATTGATATTCGTATGGGCAAGGTTGAGGTAGAGGGTTTGGTGTGTTTGACGCGAAGATGATGGAAGATGATGGAATTTTAAGTTTGTAAGTGAAGATAGCGTGGGAGGGAGAGGGGTCGAGAGGAAGGCCTGAGGTCAATTCGACGTACTTATGAGTATGTTCACTTTCCCTTCTCAGATCCGGATGGGGGTTGAGAGGGCTCAGATGGCATGTTGCAGCCCTACAGTTGGTTTGCTGTCGCCCCTTTGGTAATGTGGGGGCGCAAAGCAGGGCGATGAAGGGCGATGAGTTTGAGTTGGGGGCTACATTGTTGTAAAGTAAGCAACATTGGTAGCCCTCGTGTAGCCCTCAAGGTCTGACCCAGCAGAAATTTGGCTGTGTGCGCTCGGGTTTTGTCGGGTCTATCGGGTAATGCCCCAAACTAAGGGGGGCTACGGGTCACTCGAGGGGGGGCTTGAAATAGTGGGATCCTTTTTAAAGTACACAGTTGCAGAAACAAAATAAAGAAATATAGGTTTGTTTAGTATCTTTTTGTGAAGGCCAATTACATAGACATTAACTTTCTGGTTATCTTTTTAGTTGTTTCATAATTATCTTGGGTTTTAGACTTTCAAAAATGATTTGTGATACCAAAGAGGTGGCCTTGATAAGTCTTGAATGAAAAATTATAGTAACCAGCTATAATTCCATTTTACCTCATAAAGAATTTGAAAACTAAGTGTTAAGCCTTTTTCCAAGAAATGCATCAAAACATACATTTTGTAAGAACATTCTTGCCTAATCTTCACCCTTTTTACCATCAGTTAGAACCTTACACTGTGAACATCATTCAACTTCCTCAGGTGGGAAGGGGGGAATGATTAGGAGTAAAAATTTTCATGGAAGGATTTATCGCTGCATACCTGAGCCATGACACCCACACTGCATAGGTGCAGCAGGCTGAGTGAATAGGTGGCTACCATTTACATACAGTTTTGCTCACTTATGTCCTGGTCTGGATGAGTGAATCATATGGAATATGTGCTGTAACTCTGTTTCAGATTGACAAAATCATTCCAAAAATTGACTACAACATAAACTGACTCAAAGTTTTGCTGTAATTTTGTCAACTAAACTTCATGTAACACCCTTTCTGTTACTGAAAAATGGCTACAGGAATTTTGCCTGAGTAGCCATGATGATAGATGTAGTGGATTTTTGGTACAATGTTGTTGATGACAAAAAATTTATATGCACTGTAAACATCATTCAACTTCCCCAATTTGGCAGAGGAAAATGATTAATAGTACAGTTTTTCATAAAAGAATCTAATACTGCACACCTGGGCCATTTCACCCACACTACATATGTGCAGCAAGCTAAGTCAATAGTTGTCTATCATGTACATACAGGTCTGCTCAGTTTTTTGCCCATCAGAATAAATAAATCACATGTTATACCACATGTAACTTTTTCGACTTTGAAATTTTTTTCCCAAAAATTCACTACATATAATTCTGTAGCTGCTCAGGCAATATTGTTGAAGCTATGTCTTAGTAACAGAAAGTGTGTTACATGCAGTTGAGTTGATGAGATCACACCAAAACATTGAGTCAGTGTATGTAGTCAATCTTTTGGAAGCTTTTTTCAATCTGAAAGAAGTTACAGCATGTATTACATATGAATAACTTGTCCTGATGAGCAGATAACTGAGCAGAACTGTATGTACATGATAACCACATATTCACTGAGCCTGCTACACATATGTAGTGCGGGTGTTATGGCTCAGGTGTGGAGTGATAGACCATTTTATGACAAATCATACTCCCAATCATTTTTCCCTGCCCACTTGGGGAACCCGAATAATGTCTGCAGTGATGATGTATCACATGTGATTTATTTTGTCAGATTAGCAGACAGCTCATGAGCAGACCTGTATGTACATGATAAGCAACTATTAACTAATCCTGCTGCATATATGTAGTGTGTGTGTTATGGCTTACATTACAAACCACACTCTTAATCATTTTCTCCTTCCCACTTGGGGCAACTGAATGATGTTTACAGTGCTTAGGCTGGTAAGCGGGCTTTAAAGAGCTTTGCTGATATGTTTCAAGAGTTTATGGTGCATGATTTGGTTTTTCTTCTGTGTGAATTTATGGTTTCTTGGTATCTGATTGTTGAGAAAAAGCTATGGGTTATGGGTTTTTGACCCATTTTCCCTGCCCGTGGAAAATATGGAGACAAAAAACGATGGGTTATGGTATATTATGGCTTACATATGGGTTATTTCAGAGTCAACTGTAGCACTCAATTTGACAGCAGAACAAACCCAAACCCACCTGGACCAATAAACTTGATAAATTCCCATGCTTGCCTTGCAAGGCTTACATTTTCCACGCTTTTATGTGAAGATAATTTCAACTCATAAATGACTACAAGCTGTGACCCAGACCCAGACTTGCCTGGCCAACTCTGCCCAGCAATATCTTTGAAGCTCACAGTCTGTGCCCTGTCAAACTGAAACCTAGTCACAAACATCCTGCAGGAACACCAGAAGCCCTGACCATCCAGGTGCCTGCTCTTTTTTTGCTCAACAAACAAAAAAAGATCTTTTTTCTTTCAACATAGGCTCAATATAGCTTTTTTTAATCTCCAAGTAGGCTCATAGTCTCTAGATGAGGCCTGATACACATATATAATGGCAATATATGTCAAAAATTTTGTATTTTTACCACATTTCTGCACCTACAAAGCATTCAAGGTGTGCCCTGGTTGGCCATAAAGAATGCAAAGATACATTAGGCTTTGACCTTTTTTGACTTATATGATATATTGGAATCGGATGTCCATCAGCTATCATTTACATCTCCTCGACAAAGTGCTTTCAGATTGCTTTGAAGTCTCTCCAAGTTTCCTCAGACTGCACCTTCAGACCCTCAAGCCAATACCCTGTGTCACTTCCAAATTGAACAAAATGGTTACTCTGTGATTTGCAGACTTACATCAGTTTAAAATCAAAAAGATGTGATATATGCAATCTAACACTCATGGATCATTGGCCTCTTCAAGAAACAACTACTCTTTGAAATTAACAAGAGTGGAAAAAGTGCAATTGATTTTAATATATTTGGGCCTCGGAGCTGATATCATGTAGAGAAAAGCAGGATGCACCACAGAATAATAGTCGCATGTGGCGGAAGATGTTTGGCATCAAGATTGTCATTGGTATTGATCTCATTCAGACACACCAAAATAATGAGAGACAAGGATTTCAGCCAACATTGGAACTAGTACAGTTCAGCGAGTTCTTAACACTTTTGTTCTGAAGCGCTTCTTACGACCACTTCAGTCGATGTTTCGCCCGTCCCGATATCGATCACAACGTAACCAGCCTGATTCAGGAAATGATATCAGACCTTACGCCTTACGACGTGGTGTCGAGACACGATACGGAGTGAATCGAAAACTTACTGCTCCGTTACACACTTTGAAGACATTCGAAATCGCAGTTTGGGCACCTCCGACGGAGCTGAATTGATGTCAAGATAACGTGCGGGGTTCAAGAGAGCGTTTGATTGATCACATTTTACAAACAAGGCTCAGGAGAAATCGACTTACGTCAAAACGTTCTCATCCGAATTCATGGCCTCCAATGTCACCTGCATGAATCATGGACCAAGAAAAGGATGGAGTCAAACAAAAGTTTATTGGATGCTGAACTTTGTTCAAGGACTGATGACTCACTTTACAAGTACCACAAGCTATATCTTGTGTATTGACATCGAGTTCTATCTTACCATCTTTGTTCAGTGGGAATTTTCTCAAGGCTCTAGACAACACAGAATTTTATGAGTGACAATTGCTGGATGAAGATCACTTTTGGATTCGTCAGGTTATATTGATCATTGTAAGGAAAGACTCACGCTTGACACTGAGTCACATCGATTGGAACCAAAGGTGGCCCTTTGGGATTACAGGAATGTATAGGAATCTCTTCTGCTGAATTCATAGAACAGAAAAAAGCTCCAAATATAAACAAAACTTTGAAGAGGGCAAACATGATTCTAGAGGATTGTATTTATAAATGAAGTATTGATTCTGGTAGGATTTTGTAAAATATTTTGGTTATAAGTTTTGATCAAGCTGAACCGAGATGAACAGACAAACCCAAATTTCAAAAGCTTCGTGATTTATAGAGAAATATGATGTGCGGTGTACATAATGGTTATTCTTGGAAATTTCTGCCACTCGAGTCTGAGTATGCAGTGTATCGCTCAGACTCTCAGGGCGAGTAATCTGAGCGACAATTTGTTGCATCGTTGACGTGTGAGTTGAAGGTGTAGTGACAGAGTCTCGGATGAGTACTCTGTGTCTCGCTCGATGTCCAAACTCCAATGATGATTGCATAAAGATGGGATGCTAAGAGCATCCCCAGCCGCGTGCCGTAAACCGTGCCGTACGTAGATTTGGGGTATTTTTATCCACGGCCGTGACCCCCAAACACATACTTAGCTTGGGCAACTCTCTACGTGTGAGTCGAAATAGGCTAAATATGGTCATTTTCCGCTCGCAACCCAAATCCCTCTGTACCTCACTTCTCCCATAAAATACGAGTTCTACGATCCGACTCTCCGCAAATCACACACCTCAATGATCAACTAAGAAAAGAATACAACGGAGACGAGACTCGACGTTGATTTAAACTGTGTTAAAGGGCTTTAACAAGACAATGATATATTAGATCTCTCGACAGCGAGTTGACTAAGCTCGAAGAGATCAAAAAGATAATAAAGCAAACCTTTTACAAGACAATGATATATTAGATCTCTCGACAGCGAGTTGACTAAGCTCGAAGAGATCAAAAAGATAATAAAGCAAACCTAAAGGTTTGATAAAAATAAAAGAACTCTTTAGAATTCTTTTCCCCAAACGGTGAGGATGATATTACCAAGTACCACAAACAAAACGCACTACACACCTTTAACAAGACAATGATATATTAGATCTCTCGACAGCGAGTTGACTAAGCTCGAAGAGATCAAAAAGATAATAAAGCAAACCTAAAGGTTTGATAATAATAAAAGAACTCTGAGTTAAGAGAAAAGAGAAATGAGAGACGAGTTGAAAGAGTAACGAGTGTGTAGGAATATAGACGTATAGAAGTTTTAAAAGACGTCAGTTTAATCTAATAGACTATCTCGAAAAGAAACATAAGAAAAGAAAAATTGTTACCTTTAGAATTCTTTTCCCCAAACGGTGAGGAAAGAGAAATCTAAAGGGGACAAACGAGAGCACACATATAAGAGAAAAACAAGTTGGTGAAAATTGACACGCGACTACAACCCTGCGTTCATGCATGCAACCTCTCGCTAAACCTCTAAGCTACTACCAACTGACAACCGACCCCTTTCACAACTAAGTACCCTCGTTTTGATCAGTTAACCGTTAAGCTAAGTTGATTGAATGTTTTCCGTTAAACGTATTCATGACGCTTGAAGGTCTTGACAAATAACTATTCCAATAACTAATCCATAATACATCTCCCCTATTATGCTACAAACCGTACTGTAGGGAACCACGGCTGTACATTGTTTGAAATTCATACCTCAAACCCTGCCCTAAACAATCTGTGCAACCCTCTGTACTCAAGATGAGACCCGGACCCGGGTTCTGGCCGGATATCCGTTGGATCAACATCCAATTCGCACCGCAATGTTTTTCGATTGCGGTGCGGTTTCGTTGCGATTTGAGGCACTCAACGCAATCGAAACTTGGTTGCGGTGGTTTCGCACCGAAACACAATGGTGGAAAACCGTGTTGCGGTTTGAACGCACCGAAACCAAAATATGTGAACCGCAACTCGCAACTAACCGAAAAATATTTCGGTTAGTTGCGAGGTTTTTGTAGGTAAAAGGTATGGCAGTTTTGGGTAATCCTCTGGTGAGGATTACCCAATCATGTGAAAAATATCTGCCGTGCAGATGGCAGATAATTTCCCTGTGGAGATGTTGTTAGCAAATTTTCGCCATGATTGGATGCATCAGTTTTTTTTGAGTTACTGAAAAGGGACTCGCTCTTCCTTTTCCTTTTGTCTGTCCAATAACTTCTTTCCTGTCTTTGATATCATGGCAGGATCATCACTTGCTATCCCTGAATCCGCTCCCGACATTACCCCTAACCCTTCTTCATCGTTACAAGTTCCAGAAGGTGGAAGAACTCTCCGTCCTCGAAGTCCTGCCAGGAGGGACCCGGCTTTTGTTGTGGGCTCGCCAGATGGCCGACACGCTTGGAATCGTACTATTCCACAATCAGACACAGATAATGAAGACGATGATTTCAACAAAGATCAAAGCGACAAATCAGATCCTGAGCTCGATTCAAACAGTCCGGCTAAGTCTGCTAACGGAAGCCAACAACCTTCAACATCCACTCAACCCCGTAAAAGAGGCCCCCGACGCTCTTCTGGAGGCCTTGCCGACTCTCAAGCAGCTCAGAAGAAGCAACGCACCAAGTCGGTGGTTCCTCCAAAAAGAACAAAGCGTCTTGCCCCTCTTCAGAAGGTAAGATATAAGTTCCGCCACTCAAGTTAAAGTTGATAAATTAAAAATTCTCATCCTTTTGTAAACATATGATATGATTCCAAAGGTTATCATAGTTACGGAGGGTATGAATATCAATCAGGATGACAATGATGAGGAGCGACCAAAGATCTCTAATCCAAAAACACGCACGACTAAGGTTCAAAATCTATTTGAATTCTTTGAAAAGGACCCACGTAAAGCGATGGAAAAATACACAGTCGAGGATGAGGTATTTGATGGTTTAACTTTGACACAAATCGGACTTATTCATCTGCTGACACAACTTTTGTTTGAATTCAACAGGAAACTGGCAAGTTCACTGAAATGGAGCGAGAGGTTTATTGGTACAAATGCAAGTGGTGTTCTGGAGAGTATAAAGATGGTCAAACAAATCACTATAACTTGCAGACACATCGAGACGGCAAAGAGAAACGTAAACACTGTACTCAACGTCATGTTGCGATTCGAAACGGTGCTATCTTGCCTCCAACGTGGAAAGAAGAGCATGCACCTAAAGATTCTTCAAATTCGAAGCAGTCGACAATATCATCTTTTGTTAAATTTTCAGTTGAGACCCTTAATAAGATCATGGTATTATGGATACTGCTTCACGCTCTCCCATGGCTCCGAATCGATGACCACGAACTCGGTGCAGCGTTCTCATGGGCCAACCCATCTGCTATCCTGAAATCTCCAACTTGGATTGCCAACTCAGCCAAAACGTTGGCTAGATCTCTCCAAGACGAGGCTATCGGAACCCTGAAGAAAAATTCGAGTAAATTTTGTTTGATACATGATGGGTGGACTACAAAAGGAAGTCGATATGCGTTTCTTGGTGTATCAGCATCATATATTGATGACAATTGGGAGTTCAAGACTATCCATTTAACTCAAGAGAATAATTTGGGATCACTATGGTGTCTTACTTGCTCGGCCAGTTGGCACCTTTCTCATGCAACATGGGCTCCACTCAAAGATAGGTTTCATTTCTTAAGTTAATATTCCAGATTGATTGGTTCCAGCTAACTTTGTACTTATATTATCTACATGGTCGCTCAAACCACGGACTCAGCAGCAAGTAATAACTTTCTCGCACGCGAACTCCAGCGTATGTTCATCAAAGATAAAACCAATCCGTGCTTTTGGGATTCTCAAGGAAATCATTTGCGATGCTTTTGTCACAAGCTGGCACTCGCGGTGAAGCACGGTCTGGACAAGCTTGAGCTCAAAGCTGGTCATGTAAAGCCCACGACCCAACCTGATGTTCGAATGCCTATCCCAGTCCTCAAAATCAATGGTGCCATTGTGCAAGATGAAGATGAACCTGAGAGCTCCGATTCTGAGATCGAGGCTGAAGGTGGCTTGGAACGAGTCATAGTCCCCGAAAGCGAAGATGACTTACCTTCTGACGAACTAGTCACCAAACCTACGTGGGGCTTAGTCACAAGCGGAGTCAAGAAAGTGAGTGTACATATCAATGGTTCAAATCAATGAATCCACACGTTTCTCATTCTTACTTATATGTATACAACAGGTCGAACAAGTTAGCCAAGCCGTTGCTTCTTCACCATCCAAGCGTGGTGAATATGAAACGGTTGCATCAAGCCTTCTATACAAAGGCTTGATGCTTATATACGGTTATGGGGTACGTTGGAACTCAAAGTTGGACAGCTGGCAACGTGCCTGTGAAGCCCAAAACGTATGTACTGTTCCTGTTCATTTGGTTCTATTGGAATTAAACAAAACTTTATACTTTTACAGGTTATCAATAAGTATCTCAACCAGGATCGGAAGAAAGAAAAAAAAGATCAGAACTTCAAAGGAATGCAAATATCCGATGAGGAATGGAGTGCGGTCGAAGCACTACTTGATGTATTGAAGGTACTACTTTTGTTAACTTTGATCGAACATTTTTAATCTGACTGATCAATCAAATCTTCAGATTTTCAAAGAAACTACTCTTTCCATGGAGGGAAACTCTTCAAACGCGTATCGTGTCCTTCCGGAATACGTCAATATCCTCAAACGGTTGGATGAATCAAAACGCGAACACGCCAAGACTTATCCCGAACTGGGCCTAGCAATTGATACCATGAAAAGCGAAATTGAAAATTACAAGGACAAAGCTCTTCAGTGCGATGCGATACTGATTGCAACAGCTATGCATCCTCGATATCGATTAAAGTTCTTCCACAAGTTTTTTCCCGACCATGTTGCAAGGGTTTGCAGCGTTGTTGAGGCTGCTTTTGCAGCTGAATTAGCCTCTAGGACGATCACCAAGGGTCCAACAGCTTCTCAACCTGTCTCTTCTGTAGCACCGACCTCTGAAGACTGCCTTGATGATTTCAGCGACGGTTCAGGTGATGAAGAATCCCCCGAGTCAAACATAGAGCTTAAACAATACCTTGATAAGAAATCTATTGCTCCA